CTCAGCCTTCCGAACAACCATTGCCCAACTCAACGTTACAAGATGAAGAATCATTTTGCCATGGACACACTACAGCGCGTGATCAACCTCCCGCTTCAATCTCACCTCATTACCGATCTGGAAATAGAGCAACACATACCCCACATCTTTCTGAAAGCAATGCTTCTAGTCTGCCTAACGACAACGAAGCTGAAAAGCTCTTGCCCTGTAAGCCTTGCCTAACTAGAGGGATATAAAAACTCTTGGATATCGTTGTATCATGCAGACTGATGGTACGTATTCTAATATATTTCCGGCTAATTATATAAAGCTAACGCTGCTCTAAACTCTAGTGCAGGCTAAAGCCTGTATCAATTGTGCAAGAAATGGGCATACTTCTAAGTGTGTTCCTGTAAGTTATAGCATAGCTAAAACTCATTAAAGCAAAGCTAAACATCCTTAGTTACCTATCGCTGTTCATAACTCTGTTATGGAATGGTGGGCGCTTAATCGAATTCTTGGTTTTAGTAACTCCCCTGCAGTTCCTGCTGGCCATAGAGAGCGCGGACGAGAGCTCGTCCGACTTACACGCGCCATTTATAATAAGGAAAAAGCTATACGGCAGGGGGCGATATCAGCCCTAGTCTCTGAGTCTATGACCAGACCAACTATAAGTTATATTCATAACGTAACAACCGCTGAACTTATTGCTCATCGCGCATTACGTAGCCAAGGTCCTCTTGTTGACACGCAATCTCTAGAAGAGCAAGCGATTGATACTACTTAGATCAAAGCAAATGCTCTACAGCAAATTGAGAGAAATTTTGAAAGGATTTTTGAAAAACTGGTATGTTATAGCTCTAATTATAACCATAGAACTGCTTGATTATATTAACATCAACTAATCGTTCTTAGGATATAATTCTTGACTCTCTTACAAATCGGAGCTAACTGATAACCTTTATGAGATATGGGATGTTGCATTGAGCTATCGCGCTAGCGGATGTAGTTGAACGTTTGATGTATATATATATATTGCTGACTAGAGAATTCTTCTCATACTTCTGTGTGGAGGACAATACCGAACCCCTCGCTCTGGTGGCTAGCTGGCCTGCACCTGAGTATCTACTGGACAAGGAGCGGCATCCTTTTCAGCCTTCTCGCGGGCAAGCAGCCTCGTGAAGATCCGGAGGGTCCTTTGAACGAGATGTTGCAACTGCTGGATCATATCGCACGGTCAACTACCAGTTGGTGTTCAAGCTTGCCAGTGTTCCTCACGCTTGTGCTTATATAACAACGCGAGTGTTGCAAATCGATAGGAACAGCCATGGTAGGTGCAGCTGCAGATATCACTCTCCGCGCTGGCGTAGTCCGGACGTTGCAGCGTCGCTTCACTCCACACCGAATCCACTACGGGCGGGTCGGTGGAGCGAAGTCTAGTTGTCGATACTGAACTCTCAACCAAAGGAATCGCACTGATTCCTTTGCCCTTGTGCGTACCTCGCCGTCTTCTGCGGTCTTCAGGGGTTTTCTCCACTGTGGCAAGGTTGTCTAACTCATACTTGGTGCCCCCCTTATATTTCTTGGGCTTTACCAATCAAATATACCTTTGCCCTTCTCAGCTCCTGTGTCGCCAGTGTTCCATGTGCTGGTTGTCGGGGATATTTCTTCTCCTTGGACTGCCGTGTCCATGTGACAGAGGGAGATAAAGGGGAGAATATTCAACCAATATATAGCTTTAGGAAGATGAAGGAAAAAAACTTCACACTGTGTTTAAAGAACGCGAGACAGTGAAAGAGATGGAATGAATGTGTAAAGCTAACTGGATTTGATATGTAGTCACCAGAAGCCGAACCAGAAACTTCTATGGGTTTCTAAACCAAAGAATAATTTCCATCTATAATCGTTACAAGGGTCCCGTTCCCCGGGTTAAGTTTGATCCAGCAAGGATGAGACCTTCGAACACGCATCGGGGTTCTGGGTCCATCTAGCGGAGTGTTGAGGAATTAGGTATAGAAGAGCGGAAGCGAAAGCGAAAGAAAGAGATTATTGGACGAAAAGCGATGTGGGAGCCCAGATAGCAAGCATGGAGAAGCCAGGACGAGAAGGCCCTGGCCGAAGGAACGCAGCAAGGCACGAACGGGTAGATGAATAGAACCCTTATACACCTAATCCTCTTCTGGATTGAAATGTACGTAGAAGAGGTAGTCTACTTGTACCAACGCTCCTAGTAAGTCAGAAGATTTAGCATATAGCTAAAATTACTATACACTAAGGCCATAATTTGTTTTACTTGTTGAATGTTTATCTGGCTCTCGGAGCAGATGCTCTGGTGAAGGAATTCAGAATGATATCTCAGCTGCTTTTGAGAACGTATGGGCCGAGAGTCTTCAAGCCACCGCGTGGATAACTGCAAGGAACCCGCCTGTGGTAATTCACATGGGCCATTTCCTATGTGGAATTTGCCAAAAACGAGATGCCAGTCGGTCTTCTCGTCTCTTCAGGGCGCAACTGTAGCTTCAAGGTTCCGCAGTGGCATGCCGCGCTCCTGCGTGCCCTGCAGTCAACCGACCGCTCGCCACCATCCCGTCACACTCTGGCAGCCGGGCTGCGCCGTTCCCTTGGCAAGTACGCCCCAATACACATAACTCACAACGCAACGCAATACGAAAATCTATGTTCGCACACCTGAACCCTAAACCAGCCCTGATTACTAATCCTAACCACCTGGAAGTTGTTTTGTTGAGTTTTCTTGGTGATTCGAATGTTTGGATGACCATTATGGTGCTTGAAATGCAGCTGTTTTTAACAGTGGCGGAGTGCCAGTAGGGTGGAACCTCGTTATAGTCTCCGCCCTCGGAGTGAGGACTGTATGATGTATGGTTGAAGTGAGTGCCTGTTGTCAGCAAGGCCCCAAACTTTGCGAGGATCCCCGCCAAATGCGGGGCTTAGGTTTCCGGTCGATCCAATCAGTAGGCGCATGCGGCTGTTGGCTCCGGGATAAGTTTCATTTAGGTAAGGGTTCAGGCAGCTACCTTGGTATGTATAGGTTTTGTGCGAAATACGAAAGCACGCGGAAAGCTAAGCCTAGTCCGGTAACCTCTAGGTTGCTTGTGTGCAATCGTTTTGAGCCGCAGCAAAGAATATTGCATGATCAAACAATTCTTGCATATATTAACAGCCTGGGCATGCCGGACTGCACGTACCTCAGTTGTACCTCACACACATGACCTGTAATTATGACCGAGAATTAACTGTGCCGCTTAACAGGTACCCTCCGTTTTGGAACCGTTTGGGCCGTTCCAATCTTGAAGGATGCGAAAGAGACGCGGTATCACCTGACCTGGGCCACCCTCACCGTCCGTCTCACAAGACGAACAGTATGTCTGGGGTGCGATTGGGCTTGAAAACACCAAGTAATCTCAGTGATAACATCCGCTGATTCTCTTAGTGGCAGACGTTCCTCTGAAGACGTCGCTTCTCCTTCCCCAATCACATTTGCTTCACCGACCATGAAGCCATGCTACCAACCCATGAACACGCCCCCCCCCCCACGACACTTTTATGACGCAACATGGATGGATCTTTCGCTGCGAGTGTTTTTGGCGCCGGATGCATCGTAAGCTGGGCCGTCAGCCAGGGAGTTCCACTTGGTGTCTGGGAAACGGCCAAGGATTCTGCTGGGTGCCACAGCAACGGACGAGCATTGGTCGTCGCAAAAGTACGAGAGGCGGGGACCACTGAAAAGTCGGATAAGAAAAGCCAACAAATGTATTTCAATACACTGTATGGACTATTTGTACAGCCCCTGAAATCTCGCCGGAAAGTTGCTTGGAACACGATGTGTACCTAGTCAGCATAACTGAACAGTTGTAATAAAGGGCTTTTAGATAACGATTTTCATCTTACAAACAAAAGTCAAATATCCCTAGATAACGTAGAGACGTTAGGAGGTTTAAATATAGTTGTAAAGACGGTTTGGCATTCCTGTGGAGCACTAGGAGTTGTGGAGAGTCTTCGGGAACCCACTGCCATTCTATCGGTCCGTGTGGGCGGAGGTCGGTGACTCCGGGACATCCGCAACGGGATCACTGGTCGGGGACCAGGCTCGCTAGGGAGAGAACCCCGGTCTTGACCCTGTTCAAAAATTTGTTCCATCTTGCGGCCTGCGGGAGTTTGGCGACAGGTCTTACGGCAAGCCCAACTTCGAGATTGCATGAGGTTCAAGTCGATACAATGATCTACGATTCATAGCCGTGAAGAGAAAATTTTGTGTAGAGGAAACCCAAGTAGTGCAGACCTATGTGCCGCATTCAGAACCATCGTTTTCTGGACATTCCTTGTAAACAGCCAACATCCCCCGCTCTTCAGCAGTTGAAGTCTGTTTCCACAGCGGTGGACTCTAGCGCCGCGTCGAAGTCAAGGGATTTTTGGACGGTTGGCCACGAGATGCGAGCCGTAAACTCCGTCGTACAGCTTGATATTATGACAGCAGAGAGAGCAAAAATAAAGCAATCCATACGCATTGTTGAGTTCTGCAAGTTAGGAAGAGTATACGATTCGGCTGGACAAATCTGTGTTTCTCTGCAAGTTCTTCAAACTTCCAGTTAAGTCTCTAGACGCAATGGACGGAGACAATTCCTTGAGCATAACAAGTAGGTTTAATAAACCCCATCACTACTATATGGACTCCCTGAAATTCTCCTCGACTCTGATCAGGGAACATTTAGGAAGTTCCTTGTACAAGGGCTGGGGCTCAAGGATGTTCTCGACGTGTTCGATAGATGCAACAATTGGAGTTCGGAAACTCTACATTATGCAACAATTGGGGTGCCTCTCTTTGGAAATATCTCCCTTGTCCTTACTTATCGACCGGGCGGTCAGACACGGCAGAAAAAACGCCCCGCTAAATTTTTAGGTACCAGAAGGCCTGTATGGAAGCAATGTGATCGCTGTCCATCGTGGATCCTGCAACACCCCGTCCTCTCCTCGTCCGTCCCAACGCCGCGAATCACTTCACAATGGGTAACAAAAGGAAGAGGGTGGCGAAGGAGGCCCTAGCCGATAACCAGCCATCTCAGAAACGCTCAAAGAAAGAAACCCCCGCCGTCAATGGCTCGACGAACTCGAAGCCCGTGAAGGTGCAGCAGCTCTCGAAGAGCGCCTTCACCGAGAACCCCACTGTTGACGAGCGCAAGCGCGAGATGCTCCTCTACGACAAGCTCGGCAGCGAAGATGTCAACGAACGGATTGAGGCCGCTGACGCTATCATCTCTGGTCTCCTCGGCGGCAACGGCGTGCCCGAGCCTGTCCTCTTGCGCCATCTTGAGAAGCGCCTGTTCCGCGGCCTGGCTAGTGGGCGCAATGCCTCGCGCCTTGGCTTTAGCCTAGTATTGACCGAGATCCTTGGTCAGCTCTTCGGCGAGAAGAACCTGGCTGGCTCGAAGTACACGGGTTTGACGTTCGACAAGGTGTGGGGGATATTGGTACAGAAGACACAGGCCGCGGGTGCCAGCAGTGGGCAGGAGGAGAGAGACCATTACTTCGGGCAGCTGTTCGGTGTCGAGTGCTTCGTCCGGTCAGGCGTCCTGTTTAGCGATAGCTCAAGGTGGATGGTGGCTCTTGACTTGCTGTTGAAGCTGGCGGCCAAGAAGTCCTGGCTCAAGTCCCAGTGCGGTTATGTCATGGTCCAAGCGATCTCCCAGATGAAGCAGGACCTTGCCGAGAAGACGCTGGGAAAGCTGGCTGAGGAGGGATATGCGAAGACTCCAGAGGGTGTGGGCATCTGGATTGCTGCTCTTGACCGGTTCCCAGACATGAAGGTGCCGGCTCAGCCTTGGAGGCATCCACTGTCGAACACATCCCTTACGGCTCTGCCCGCAGCGCTGAAGGACAGCGGCAAGGAGCCATCAAACAACGAGGATGGAGCCAAGAAGCAGCAGCCTAAGCAGGGTGGGTGGACTGCCCAGCTGCACTTTGTTTGGGACTTGATCCTCGCTCACTACATTAAGCTCGTTGGGACCAAGTCTGAGGATGAGGTTGCCAAAGAGTTCGAGCAATTCTGGAACCGGGTTGTTGATGGTTAGTTACTCTGTTTGTTTTGTCTAGATCACTACTAACATTATCGCAGAGAGCTTTTTCTCCAAGAATGCTTCCGACCCCCAGAAGTTCTCCGGCTTCATGATCTTCGGCAAGCTGCTCGAAAGCTTTGCCACCACCCCTGCGCTCATCTCGCCCCTGTTTAGCAAGAACCTCATGGTCTGCCTCATGAATCAGGCTGCCAAGGAAGATCGCTACCTCCACCGTGCTGCCATCAAGGCCCTCAAGGCTATCGAGACCACCGTCGAGAAAACACCATCCCTTCTTCCCATAATCCTCAAGGAGCTGCTCGGAAAGCAGGGGGCATACAACTTCGATCAGCGCACCAATACCAAGACGGTGGACAAACTGCTCCAATTCACCACTCCCGCTACCATCAAGGCTGTTCTCAAGATCCTCCAGGTGAACAACGCCTCAAAGAGCGGCCTCGAGGAGCCCAAGTACTATCAGGCTCTTGGTGGCTATCTGTTCAGGTTAGCCAGCGTCTCCTCTGAAGATGCCGACGGAGGGTCTTCGAAATCGGTTTCTGGCACGGCGATCAAGGTCCTCACGGAGCTTGCATACTCGAACAAATCAGTTCCTGAAGAGATGAAGCAGCCCCTTCGAACGAGGACTACCTCTGCGTTCGCCAAGCTGGTCAAAAGAGCTGAAGACTTCGGTCATCTCTGCGATGCCATTCTGTCTATTGAGGCTGATGTGGACTCTGAGGATGAGGTTGCCAGCTCCATTCTCCTTACGGCCTATGAGAGGCTCAAGGACCTGCTTGATCCCAAGAAGGAGACTGATACCACAAGGGCTCCTCGTCATGCCCTCGCGCTTCTTCATGCCGTTGGCATTCTCCAGTTCTATAACCAGGATCCTGACGTCGTCGACATGTTTGAAGAACTTGGCGAGTGCTATGAGAAGCTCGAGAGACACAAACAAGGGTCAGAGGAGGAGGGCATTTCGGAGTTCCTGGTTGAAATCCTGCTGGCTATGGTTGCTAGGCCGTCAGCGCTCATGCGTCAGGTGTCGCAACAAGTGTTTGAGGCTTTCACTGGGTTTATGTCTGCCGAGGCGCTGCACCTGCTCACCGATCCTCTTGCCGCTGAGGAGAGCGAGAAGGGCCAGCAGGCTTTGTTCAGCACCGAGGACGAGGACATGGCGGATGCCGAGGCTGGGTCCGATGAGGGAAGCGATTTCGAGCTTGACTCGGATGTGGAGATGGTCGACCTGGACAAAGCTGGCTCTGAAAGCCCTGAGGCCAGCGAAGAGGAAGCCTCTGACGACGAAGGCGGCGAGAAGAAGGCTGACATGAACGACGAAGATCTCATCATCCTCGATGACGAGTTGGCCAAGGTACTCGGCACGCATCGTCTAGATAAGGACCTCGAGGTCTCGTCAGACTCCGAGCCCGAAGACCTCTCCGACTCCGAAATGATGGAGCTCGACGCCAAGCTAGCCGAAGTTTTCCGCCAGCGCTTCAAGGCCAAGAACAAGAAAAAGGAAAAGAAAGACGCCAAGGACACGGTCGTCAACTTCAAGCACCGCGTTCTCGACCTCCTCGCCATCTTTGTTCGTAAAGAAGCGGCCGTCGCCAACCCCCTCGCCTTCGACGCCCTTATGCCCCTACTCCAGCTCATCCGCTCCACAACCGTCCGCCCCCTTGCCAATAAGGCGTGCGACATCATCGCCAACTTTTCCAAATCTCTCAAGAAAGCGCGCAGCACCGGTGCCGGCAGCCTCGAGGAGCTAGACAAGGACGCCCTGCTGGACCTGCTGCGCGATCTGCATGTGGAGGTGTCCAAGGACATGGCGCATGCGTTTTCAAGAGCTGTGTCAACGGCTAGTTTGGCGATTGCGAGTGTTCTGTGTGCCGATAGGGAAAAGCAGGAGAAGGTGTTTGGGTTGTATGCGGAGACACAACTCAAGTGGGTGAGGGGAGAGGTTAAGATCCAGCCAGCTTTCTTCTCGGACTGGTTGAATTGGTGCCAGGGGAAGGCGAGTGCTGCTGCTGCGGAGAGGGAGGAGGTGAAGCAAGGTGAGTTGGAGCAGGGTGAGAAGGAGAGGGAAGAGGAGCAAAAGGAACAGAAGAAAGAGAAGACGCAGAGCAAGAACGACGAGAAGGCTCAGGAGATCAAGGCTGAAGAAACTGAGGTCCACGGTGACGAGGAGAAAAAGAGCAAGCAGGACAACAACAACAACAACAACAACAACAACAACAACAACAACATGAAGAAGAAGAAGAAAAAGAAGAAGGAGTAGGCGCATGAGGAAGGATAATTTGTTGGAGTTAGATGTATTGGGCCCTGTGTAGCATCTGGACTTGTCAGAATAGAGCCTACCTGATGTTTAGCGTGTATCATGATTTGGTGGTTCATCTGAGGATCCTCATATTCATATGGCTTCATGGTACCTTGAGATGTCTCCGTCCACCACTTTTGAACTGTGTATCGCATCACAATCATTGTCGCTGTCATATGGTACAATCGCGTGTCATCGGGAATCATGTTCCATTCATAGCAGCCCGGACCCCCAGCCTCATTACTGTCTCTACTCCTCCATCTTATCATCATCCTTCTTTTCCTCCTTCGCCTCCTCTTCATCATCATCCTCCAGCGCCTTCTTCGCCAACCTCTCCGCCTCCTCGCGCAGCGCCTTGGGCACCTCCTGATGCAACCCCTTCGTCGGCCCATCCGGCCCGCTAATCCACGTCATCTCCAGCTCAAAATCCTTATCCTTGCTATCGTCATGCGCCACATAAATAATCCTTGCCGCCTCCTTAACTGCCTGTTCCAGCGTCAAGCTGTCTCCCTGCAGATCCAGCTTCTCCAGCTCTGCCTTCGCCGCCTGCCGCCCCTTGCCCGTCGCCGCCCCATAGTACCCCCAGTACAGGCCCGACGGCTCGATCATGTACAGATACGGCCCGCCGTGCGTCTTGCCCGCTACCTTGCCGCCGGCGCCGCAGGATGGACCCCGTCCTACCTCGCCGTCCACGCGCTCGTCTTCGGGGCTGTCGTACCCTGCGATGATGGTTGTGATGCCGAAGGGGCGGACCGATTGGTAGAGGGTGTAAGCTTGCATGTAGCCGCCCATGCGGCTGGCTAGGTCGGCGGTCGTGATGGGCGTCTTGAAGGTGTCGCGCCAGGCGCGGGCTTCGTCGCGCGCGCGGTCGATGAAGTGCCTGCCGTCGGGGATCATGCCGGAGAAGGCCTGTGGGGATTAGCGAGGTGTTCTCCATGAAGGAGGAGGGGTTGTTGAGAAGGGAAATGCGGGGCGCTTACAATGCCAATGTGCCTATCAACCGTCGCAATGCGCTTGTTGGCGCCCGGCTTGAGCAGCTTGGATGTGATGATCTTCTCTACGGCCAGCACCACGCCTTCCTTGCACCGGATGCCGATCGACGTGCCGCCGTTTTCGACCGCCTTCAGGGCGTACTCGACCTGGAAGTTGCGGCCATCTGGGGAGAAGATGGAGTTGGCGAGGTCGTAGCCGGTGCCTATCGACGTCTGGGAGGGGGGAGTGGTCGCTAGGTTAGTTTTGTGGTTTGAATAGCTAAAGAGGTGTACCCCAAAAGGTGCATTTGCCGTAAGGCTTGTCATTTAGCGGGGCGTAGAACGTACCATTGTCGACGTTGATCTGGGTGATTTGGATTATGTAGGGAAAGGGAAGAAAGGTAAGACCGTCTAGAAAGCAAAGCGCTTATTTATTTTGGTATGAACGGCGCGTAGACGCGGTGATGTTGAGAATGTCGTTTAAGGTGGGGGGGGAGAGGTTTGGGCTGGCGTTGACTGGCAACCTGCTAGAGCTTCACGCATCATCAGGCAACTGGAGCTGCGCGTTGCTTCCCCAAGGAGCAGGTCGCTGAGGCTGAGTGTGGCGGGTGTCCTCTCTTGCCTTGTCTCAGCCTTGAAACGCCACAGTTGAGGTGGGGTGTGGGGAAGCTTGGTCTTTATCGATAATGTTCAATGGGCATAGAGCAGAGTCGCACCCCTGGCCATGACCTCCGTCCGACATACAAAGTTCAAATGGTTGCAGACAACGGTGACAACTCAGCAGCTAGTCAAACTGCTTACTCACCTCATGGTTTTGAAGGAGAAACTTTGACCAGAAAGTGTTCATTCATTCCAGTTTTGGAGTGTATATCCTGGTTTCAGTGTTTCTTTGGAAATCTTTCTCCTTGAGTCTGAACTTCTCGCTGACTCTCTTGCCCATTTTTCACGATTTTTATGCAAAAGCGAAGAGACATGTCAAATAGCATATGTTCCCACTTTCCTATATCTAGGTACTTCCTCTACAGTGTTGGAGCAAGCACCAATATAGCAATCGTCTGTTATTTCTTTTTGAGCCAGCGCTTTCCATCACGGCAACCCACACAAACATGTCACCATATGCCACATATAAGATAAGGAGGATAACCAGGTCTTTTAAAGTATGTCAGCAAAGGGGAGTTGCTCAAGTTCAGACCGTCGAGGCCTCTGCTTCCCTTATAAGAGGCTTGCAGTCCTTGTAGACCACAACTATCCTGAACCCCTTCACCGCTCTCTTCTCTCTTTTCTATGCGCCAATTTCCATGACTCGATAGTCATTACAGAATGATGAATCCTTCTGGCTCTTGCAATGGAGAATCCGAAGCATTCAAAGGCTTCCTTTGCCACAATTCTATTTACGGCCGTTGTTTCGATCGTGTTCCCTTCGAGAGCACACTTTGCAAGGTTTGCATGGTGAGCTGAACCGGTCTTCAACGGTATCTAGACAGTAAAGGAGCTAACATAACCGTCAAGGAGAATGCTACCAGGACTGGGAGTGTAGGGGCGATCTCAAGGACTGGCAAACCCCTCCCCACTCTCCCAACAGCCTGCCTTCGCCTACCTACTCGGAGCTAGGGGTTTATCCCTTCCCTCCAGCCCCCCCTCAGGTTGAAGCTGGTTCTACAGCTACACCTACTCTAACAACCACCAAGGAGCTTACGCCACCGTCAAGCGAGCAGAATAAACCCTCGACTCCTAAGTCAGAGCCCACCGTATCTAGCAGCACTGGTGTCGGGGGGGTAAAGCACCCAGGACCAGTTTTCAACCGCTGCCGCATCATCAATATCTACAGCTGTTCTGGGCCTCGCGATTGGATGCGGGAGCTTCGGTGGACGAGGGATGATCTCAATGTTTTCCATAGAAGCCCTACCTCCGATCCAATGAAGCTGGACGACTCTAACGACGATTTTGATGGATGCTCTTCGCTCCACCTTGGCCGTCCCACTTCAGGTGGACAAGCTTTAGGCGACGACCTGATCAGCATCGACGACTTTATCCTTGATGAGTCAGACCCTCGCCACGATCACCGCTTGTTCGGCATCGATAATGAGAAGCGGCCTTCATTGGTCCAGCCCATGACCTGGGGCCCTCGCGGTGTCTCTTCTCAGTCAAGCCGTCCGTACGACCTCGGCTTCGGCTTCGACCTGGGGCTCGGCGACGACAACATATCCACCCGAACTCCTCGCTACTGCCGCGATACGACAGTCGATCAGTCTCTTCCCCTCCAGGGCAGCGCTGGATCCCGGCGAGCCTCCAAAAGGACCCATAACGTCGACGGCGGTGATGACATCCTTTCCTCGTCACTCCGTCAAACAATCCAGACCTCCTCTGGAACCTCTTCTTCCCGCAATCATCCCTATTCTGGCCTCTGGAAAGGCTCAGAGAGCCGTCATGACCCTAGTCTTTCTCCACGAATACCTCAAATTCGTGAGCCGCAGGAGTTCGATGTTGATGAGATCAACGCCCGGCTTGAGAGCTTGCAGAGTCTGAGCGATGATCCTCCTTGGTATCCAAACCGTCCGCGTGAGGGGTTTTGTGATGATACAAATGATAATACTGGCTTTTGTAGGCCGAGTCTTCGTGGAGGAGCGAATAACCATGCCCCTGACTCGGCGGCGCGCACGGACGAGAATGATGGTATTGAGTCGGGCTGGTATGAAGTGACGGCTAAGGACTTGGCTGGCTCCTCGGATGCTTCTATAGATGCTTCGACCAGCTGTTCTTCCTCTGCCAGCACAGATTCCTCCTCTGGCTCCTCAACTGTCACCAAGGACAACACATTGATCTCTGTCCAGACCTATAACAACCAAGAGCAGCAGAAACCCGAAGAGGAACCTCAGGGTGACAAGTCCGGTCCCCACAGCAGCATCAACTCAACAGATACCCAGCTCTCCGGTTCGACCTTCCACACCTGCCACATCTTCAACGTCTATACCGGCTTCGCCGGTCCCAACGGCAGCATCCACCGCTTCATCGGTGAGCCCTACCCTCACCCTCGTGTCCCTCAACCCCCAAAGGCTAGCTCCTCCGACGATTACGACGGCCACGACTACGACTCCCTTTCAAACTCCTCCTCCGATGACATGCTTCACCATCCCCCTGTGCCAATCTACCGCCCCGTCTCCCGCTACCCCCCACCCTTTCCGTGGCCTTACCCTCTCAGGCCCCTTCGTCAAACCTCCTACGGCGTCCCAACATCCGGTGCTTATTTCCACGACCCTAGCATTGCCCGCTTGCGCGCCGTCACTCGTGAGGCTCTCAGCCGCCCTATGCCTATACTCGGCACCACCACAGCCCAAGCTCCCTCTCCCAAGAGCATGCCGATGACTGCTGGCACGAACGACATACCCTCTGCGGCCGAGGTTTCTCATACAGAGAACTTCACGTTCACCGAACACCCAAATGGGACAGTAACTTGGGAATGCCGCATCCCGTTGTTCCAGTCTCGGTCTCCCTACCAAAGCACATTCCGCCCTTTACATTCTGGACCCAACGCTGGTCCCCTCGGACCGGATATCCCCAACTCGGGAGAGCCCCAAGGTGAGGTAGTCCGTGATTCAACTGGGGAATGGACCATTCACCGTGGTCGCTTCCACCCTTTTTATCCCTCCCTCAACCCTACCTCCCCCATCGAGGCCAGAGCGCGCCGCATATGGCAGAAAAACCACTCCTTACTAGTTCACCACTTCCAGCGCATGACCCTCAACTCTACTGAAGACCCGGAGCGGAGGAGAATTGAAATGGAAATGGAGAGGGAGATTGAACGGCAGAGGAGGAATATGCTAGCGAGGAGGGAGAGGGAGGAACGGGATTGGATGTCTGAGATGCAGAGGAGAATTCAGCAGGGAGTGAGGTATGTCGGGAGGGTTAGCGAGAGGGGAAGGAGCAGGACGGTTATGGGTAGTCCCTTCGGGTCGAGACAACGACGCCGTGCGAGTGATGAGTTGGATGGATATGGGAGTGTCGCACGGGAATGATGGAGCTGGTGAGGAGGGGGAGTGAGGGTTTGTGGGTTGAGGTTAGGTTGAACTGATGGTCGGCCGGTTGGTGAGGTGATGGCAACGGTGAGGTCACTGGGTTGTTCAATAAGGAATGCTCCGGTATACTTGTAAATTCTTAATTACTTTTAGAACGGACAGGGTGGCTAGTGGTCAGTTTTTTTTTCTCAGTCTTGAGTTCATGAACAGTTAATTTCGGAAGTTTCTCAGTGATTAGTGTCCTTAGAGGCCCAGAAATTCTTGTGTCGATTTTCACCCAGTTCAGCTAGCATCCCCTTATGCCCACACATTAAGCCAATCCTAGATCACAAGCTATCCATATTTTCCTCTAATGGACTTGGCAACATGAAACATGCAATGCTTGTTTTTTTTTTTTTAGAATTTTCTCAAATCAAGCAAAAACACTATATACCAGACCAGTAAATACAAACCAAACACACAACAAAGAATTGCACACTCGCTCAAAACATCTCCACATCCCTCCACCCTACACATCTCCTCCGCCACTCCTCCCCCCTTCCCATATTCATATCCCTATACACCGAATCCACACGCCTCTTCTCCTGCTCCCTAAAAATCATAGCATCTCCATCGCCGATGACTGTAGCACAAGAAGGGTCTGTGCTGCTGCTGCTGCTGCTGCTGCTGCTGCTGCTGCTGACTTGCTGTGCCATCCCACCGGCATCAGCACTACTGAACCCGTTATTGTTTGATAATGAGATTTGGTACTCACTGCGTGCCAAATCCTCATACCCAGCCGCCATATATGGCTCCATATAGCTCTGCGCCATTTCGACGATCCAGCGGCCGTCTACGTCTTGTGCGGGTTGGGCTGTGGCGGGAGTGCCGTCTAGGCTCATAACCACTTCCTCTGTCTCAGTCTCCATCTTTTCTTCTTCCTGCCCCTGCTGCGCCTGCTGTTGTTCCCACCTAACTCTAGCCGACTCCTCTTCGATTTCCATGGTTGTACTCCCCCATCCATTGGAACTATTGTTGTTGGGTGTTGGTGGGCACGTCCGCCAAAGATCAAGCAACCTCAGCTTCTGCGGCGTATCCACGCTCTTAAACAACTGCAGTTGAGCGGGTGATAGGCGAGTAGTGTCGACGCTGTGTTCCCTCAGCACCCTCTCAACCTCGGCGAATTCATTCTGAGGCGGCTCGGACGCCGGACGGGTTTGCTGCTGCTGTTGTTGCTGTTGCTGCTGGCGAGCGACGTGGGCAGAGTGGTTGTAGTGTTGGGAGATGTAGACAATGGGACGACCTTGTTGGGGTTGAGGCTCAGGATTGGCCTGAACGGGTTGAGGAGTAAGAGATTGCTGGACTGGATCAGGGATCATGATTGGGTCGGGCATGATCCGGGGTTGAGACATGGGATCGAGGGTCATGTTACGGGAGAAGAGGGCAGCCAGCTCTTCAGGGGAGTGCATTGTTGCGTAGATGGCGGCCATTGTGAGTATTATCGGGGAATACTATTGACAATGTTAGAACGACCTGTTTGGTAGACAGCTTGACAAGTCCCGAGGAATAGTACCTGAAGAACACAAGATTTGTTATTGGTATGTGGTATATCAACGCTCAAGTGTTGGCCGTGTCCTTATGTCAAATGTACGCTGGCCGAGGAACCGATTCTTCTGATAAGGTCAGCAAGCAATGTTTATTTTCGGGAAGAGCGTAGACCCTTGAGCTTGAGAAACTCGAGTATATTGTCTAGACTAAGTACTGAACAAGTCGTTACCTTTACTCAGTCAAGTCTGGAGCAAAGGTAGAACGGAAGTCAAAAAGAGAAGGCAACCAGAATATAAGTTGATGATGACTCGGTTGTGCAGGTGTGGTCTGCCGGGGGGATGGCCGGATATTGGTGGGGCAAACAAAGGTGTGCCAGATCAGGAGGTTACCAACCAAGCGGGGGAAGAAGGGAGGGGAAGATGGGGAAATCAAAGATGGGCTATCTGAAAATCTGATTGTCGAGGAGTCGAGAGAGATTGGGTCTCTCGGGTGCAGGTGCAGAGATGAGAAATCAAGTGGCAGAGCAAAACTCGATGAACATATTTAAAGCGGAGGGGAAACCTCCATGAACAGCATGATGCGACTCAAAGAGGGGCAGGTGATGCTCCTCAACAAAATTGCCTCTAGGCTGCCCAGAAACCACCTAACAAGACCAAGGACAAGGACCAGGAACAAGCAACGGCAGTCGGTGAGGCCTAGAATTGCTCAGACTCTTAAACAGGTGACACCAATGAGATGCACTCATTCCACACGCAACCCAAGATTTTGCTGATTCAGATTACCAGAATCCAACAACATGGCGCATTCAATCTGTTTGGAGTTTAGGAACCAGCCATGTTGGGACTGGTAGGGGTGACTCTGTAGGTTGTTCCTGTTAGGTTGGGCAGTGACACATCCAAGCCATAAGCCATCCATCACTCGCTAGCAGCTAGCTGTCATGCGTGCATCGGCCGCGACGCTGAACGGCCTGAAACAAGCCAGTTAAGCACATTAAGCCACAACAGCCCGCGGCAAGAAACCGAGCACCCCGCGGCTGTCGTCACGCAGCCCTCCAATAAGGCCGTGACACGAGAAGGCTGGTTTTTTTTTGGGGACGCGCAGACAGGACTGCTGTGCGCGGGATGATGAGAGCCAGAGGAAGGAAGTTGAGAGAAATACTGAGATGGCTGCGAAGAATTGAAGATGGGATTCTTCACAACAATCAGCAGGGCTGGAGCTGGGGTTGGAGTTGGAGCGGGTCACTGGTCTGGAATTAGGCGCGAGACTTATCAGCGGTTGGGTCTGCGGGGTATCACGTTGTTTCCGAGAGCTCAGGCGAACAAGCCACAAGCGCCACGGAATGACGTCGTCGAGAGTGGCTGGTAAGACAGTTGGCTGCCTGACCTGCATTAGGCTCTCTGTAGGCGGATGGAGATACAACAGCGGTGAACTTCGAGCCGAGGAGCTTTTGTGGGTATACGAGCTGAGTTTTCCCAGGGCTCCGGATAAGATTTTTAGGAGGAGGGGTTCTGTGGGTTTTGTTGAACTTTTGCTTCGGAAAACCATCTCTTGACATCACCCCAAGAACTTCCCGAGTTGTCATCCTTTAAGAAGGCCAAAATGGATACCAAGTCAGGGCCGCCACCAAACTACTGTAAGCTTCCTATGTCTCACACATAATGAATGGAACTTAACTGACTGGAAATCAGACGCAATTCTCGAAGTCCCCGAGAATGCGACGCAAGCTCAAATCCGCAATGCCTACAAACGGTAAGTGAACTAAACATCGAGATCACGCCCCCACGCCCTCAATCGCGTCAAACCTCGACCACTTGACTCTCGGTCCATGAGCTTCACGAGGCATCGACAACATCCCTCAGCTTTTGAATAGATCGTGGTCCTAATTCACAATGTAGGGCGGCCCTAAAATGCCACCCCGACCGCCTGCCCGCCAACCATCCTGACCGACCCCAAATGACGCGCCGCTTCCAACTCGTCAATGACGCCTACTACACCCTCTACGACCCTGACCGGCGCCGCGAGTACGACGCCCAACGCCACCTCTGGTCCAAATCCTCTTCCTCCTATGCCCGCAGCACATCCCAAACTAAGCCCAGCGCCACCTACGACCCCTTCTCCGAAGCCGAAGCCAACGCACCTCCACACCCGGGGGAGTCCTTTTTCTCATGGGCATTCAACTTCTTCAACGGTCGCAGCCGTACTTCATCCGAGTACGGAGATGACCCTGAGACGGCGAGACAAAAGGCAGAAGACGCCCAATTCGCGGATGTATTTGAGGAGATGTTACGCGAGGAGGGGATTAGCGAGGAGGATCTGGCCAAGGATGCTAACAAACAGGGAGGGGGAAGTAGTTTGTGGAGTATCATTGGGACAATTAGTGGCGGTGCGCTGGGATTCATTGTGGCGAATGGGCCGGGAATGATTGCGGGTGCTGCGGCGGGGAACAGGCTGGGTGCGGTCAGGGACGCAAAGGGGAAGAGTGTGTGGGAGGTTTATCAGGTGAGTTTGGGTTTGGGCTGGGAGAGCAAGGATGACGATGATTTTGAGGCTGACGCTGTGGTTTAGGATCTGCCGCCCGAGTCGAAGGCCAAGTTGCTTAGCATGCTGGCTGTTAGAGTGCTCAGTCATGCGGCTGGGATCTGACGGGTCATTGGTTTTGAAGTTATCATGGTTGGCTGTTTCATGTGGCTAGGTAGGTTTGGGATGGTATTTGCAACTTGTTACAGGCGGCTTGGAATGAAATTTGGGATGAAGTTCACAGGTGGAGTTCGTGAAAGTTTATGCGATGCATCATACACTTCTATAAGCCAACGAAATGAAACATCAGTTGATATACCGTAATGATCAGTATTACAACCAAGCCATCACGTTTTGCCATCGACGCATCTCTTACACACCCTTCACCCTCCTTCAACGATTCACCTCTTCTTGTTCTTGCGCTTCGTCACCTTGGAGCCCTTCGGGTTGTTCCCGCTGGCCTTAGCCCGGCCGAGCTCGTCGACCGACTTCTCAAGCATCTCAAAATCCTCGGCAGATCCGCTGCTAGGCGTAGGCCTGCCCGGCTCCGAGTCCTCGCCATCGTTCTCAGCCGCCTCAGGAGCGGCCTCCTCGGCTTGCTCCTCAGACTCGATGGGCGAACGCTTGGACAGGAGACGGCCGACAGTGATGCGGTATACCCAGAGGGGCAGACGAACCACGGCGGTGTCCTTGATCGTCGGCTGGGGGAGTTCATTAGGCTGCTCGGGTCAGCAACGTCTGTACGATCATAACTGGGGAAGAGGGGGACTCACATCAAGCAGGTACTCCGCGACATTTCCATCCTCGTCCTCCTCCTCCAAATAAACATTCCCCATTGAATCAACGACCAACACCTTTCCGTTTTCTGCCACAACCCTCTTCTTGGGCCCAACCGGACCAGCTCCCTGCCCCCGAACCTGTGGCGTCGCAGTCCCCGACGCAGCAGGCGAAGCCTTTTGCGCGCGCTTGGCTCTCCTACCACTACCTCTCTCCTCCTTGTTGGCCTCCTTCCGCGACTCCCTCTCCTGCATCCGCCTCATCTTACGATTCATCGGCACCGGTCTGCCCTCCTCATCTTGATAGACCGTCTGCTGTGGCTGCGGAGCAGCCGCCTGCGACGCAACGGGCTGCCCATCAATCCCGGGAATATTAATCCCCAAATTATCCCCCCACGCCGTAACCCTCGCAAACCGGATATACCTCTCCACGAACTCCCTCTGTCGTTTCCAGCTCATATACAACGCCAAATAGTGCGCCGCCCCACCAAACATCAAGAAAACTCCTGTCAAGGCAGTTCCCAAGCCCGGCCTATACCGCGTATAATAATACTCCGTGCCCTTCCACGTTGGGAATCCATAATCCAAGAAATAATCATACCGATCCCGCAACGGCCCTCTCAAAACATCCGCGACGATGGACAGCCTGGCCTGGCGCTGCTCGGCGCGCTTGATTGCAGCCCGAATCTCCGCTTGCGAAGGCGACTTGGCGACATGCACACCCGGCTTGCTTCCCTTCTTCTTAGCCTTATCCTTCGACTCCTTGAGACGCTTCGCAGTAAGCTGCTGGCGGACCTTGTCCGGGTGCAGCTCGCGCGACTTCTTTTTGTAGGCCTTGTTGATTTCCTCGAGGGTGGCGGAGCGCTTGACGCCCAGGAAGTCGTAGAAGGTTACGTCGGGACCTTCATTGGCGATGATTTCGTCGCGGACGCGGAAGATTTCCCGGTCTGTTCGGGAGACGAGGTCAGTCGTTTATACAACGCGACAAAACAAATATGACAGTTAGCTAGAGGTTAACATGCCTTCCTTCGTCCAAGCCGCACTCAGCGGCGTGAATAGTGCCAGCAGACCCAGAGCAAAGGTTGACAACTTCATGATGGCAAGCACCCACGCAGCGCGACAGCAACAGCCTGGGCGATGCTTCAAGGAGGTGTTCTCAATTCAACTTCCCCTTTTTCAAGGGACACGCTGGAACTTTTTGAAGGTCCCGCTATCTAGCGTTTTTGCTTGTAGTTTGCGACAAGCCAAGACCCGCGATACAGCGCCAAGAATCCTGCCTTGGGTAGGGGCCCACCCTGCTTACTCCTTACGTTACAGGTCACAGGTCACGTAGTCACGTTGTAAACGAAAATCATTACGTACCAACACAGGGACAACTTCGATCCTCACATTCTCCATGTCATTTACCCCGTTACCGTTACCCTCCCAACTGCCCCCCTTGTATACACTATCTACACTACACTAAATACATCTCAAACACAACTCCAATATGAGAAAAGAAAAGAATGTCCCTCCCATACATCTTCTCAGCTACCCATGATGACAGGATAGCCAAGTGGTCAAGTGGAGGATTTTAATCTTGCTGATGCTTGAGAGAAGCTTCGACAGTGCAGCAACCCGCTATGAAGAAGACAGGAGGACTGTACTATCGTCAAACAATTGAAGGAGAAAACGGGTTCTGAAAAGTAGCTGATGAGAACCCAAAAATTGGTTTGTACCTCACACCGTTTCCTCAGCTACCCATGGAAAGAGAGTAACCAAGTCGGTCAAGTGGAGGACATTGCTCTGTGACCCGACGGTCAGGTCCAGGATCGACAGTGCAGTGCACCCATTAGGGAGACTACTCAGTCATATCAGAAGACTGAGAGTCGAAGTAAGAAATGTCCCTCCAACCGCATCTCAGCTCTACATGGAGAGAAAGGAACAGCCAAGTCGGTCTGGTGGAGGATTTTAATCCGAGTATCATTGTCAACAGTGTGGACTTTGCCATGAGTGTAAGACAGGACCGACAACTGTCGACAGGTCTCGAGCTCGAGACATATCCCCCAGTTGTCCCCTCCAGCGCCATTCGCAGTGCAGTATTATGCTATCGGAGAGCAGAACTACTGCTGCCTTAGGCGGCGCCCACCCGGAGTGCAGCATCCCTACCATGGTTGGGGCAGGGCTGAGCCACACCAGAGTCAGTCAAGGTCAAGGTTGAGAGCCATTCACAGTACAGTCTTTGCTATGGGTGAGCAGAGCTGCACCATCTTAGGTGGCGAGCCCAAGAGAATGTGCAAGTGATTTGACTAAGATGTGGCATGTCCCTACCACGAGTGAAGGAGGCAGGATTGAACCACACCAGCCGTCCACAGCACAGTCTTCTGCTATGGGACAGCAGAGCTGTACCATCTTAGGTGGCCAACCCGAGAGAGAGAGATCAATCACCGTTCACCGTGCAGCCCCTGCTATAGCCAAGCAAGTCTGCAGCGCCAGGTGGTAGATCTCTGATGATCATTTCCCCCCCCCCCCAGTGCCCACGCGCCGTTTACAGTGCAGCTACTGCCACAGAGAGAGAGAAGGCAGGTCTACACCATCTTAGGTGGCGAGCCCGATCAGTCGAGAGCACAGCGTCCCTACCATGATGAAGGCAGGGCTGCTCACTATCGACTGCTTTGTATGGGAGGAAGAAAGGAAGAAGTGGAAGTTTGAGAGAAGATTCAGGAGTATTTATACCTTGGGCCACGTCGGTCAGTGCTGCAGTGCGCGTCGCGACTCAGGCGTTAACCGATTGTTGTGATGCTGGGTAGGCGCGATCGCAACTATGCAGCATTGGCATCATGGTTAGTCGCAAGGCAGGTGTCGGAATGTCAAATTTCTTTCTTGGGGAAGATATTTCGGAGGGAACTCCTGCCAGAATCTCAACTGCGCTTTCCAGGAGAGGCACGGCAGGCAATGGGAGATCTAAGTAGGATGGTGATGGCAGGTTTGGAATGCGGGTGAGAGAGCAGATCTCGAAATCAAAGGTCTTGGATGGGCGTGAGTTACACAAAGACCTTCTCTTGTGCAGTGGACATAAAGAGGACTTGGGGGTGATTCTGGAGGTCACATTTATCATGCATCAGAACTCATAGAGACTGAAATCATCTTTGTCTTGTGCCTAGGAGCTCTTTGGAACTACAGTCAGCGAAGATGCAAACAGTTGGACGGTTGTTAATGGAACTAGTCATGTGAAGGTCAGGGCTGCTGAAGGGAGCAAGACGATTGAAAAAATCTAAGAGTTCCAAAGTGATACTATTTGGCTCATCGAGAGCCAATGTCTCCTAGCATTTAAAATGGCCCCCATGAAAGTTTCTCCCATTTGGGGTCTCTTGTATGGGCAGACTCATACCAACCACCTCTTAACCTTCTTATCAATCTTCTTCATCCTCTTCCACTTATGACTATCCTGTCCCAGACTCCAGACAAAGATCCCTCCCAAGCCTTCCGGCCTTACAACTCTCTTGAACTTTCGGTGGATATTGAACGGCGTGTCCCACGTCCAGAAGACGTTGTTATCTGCGTCCCAAGACCACTTCGCTCCCTGCCAGAAGTCATAATGTTTGTGCCAGAGTGCTTTTCGAAAGAGCCGCTTGATGGACGGTCCCCACTAGCATCGTCCATAGCCCTCCTGGCAACCAAGCTTGCAGTACGCGGGTCCATCTCCGCTGACAAGATAATGGGTTATCAGGCTCGGCTCAAGGGTAAAAAATGTGGCGGGGTGGGGGAAGACTTACCAAAAGCCATACTGACTGCAGCACTGTAAGCCCGGACACCTAAACTTCGTCCCGAACCCGCAAGTCCCATCGAGACTCTCAGTCAACAACCTCGGTGGACGGGAATAAGCCCTGTTATCAAAGCTCATGATCCCCGACATGCCCAGGTCATTGCCATCAGCGTCTTGTAAACGTGCCATGCGGCAGCTCTCGAACTTGATTGAGAAGTATCCGATGCCAACCTTGCTCTGACAGACCTGGCCTTGGGCTGTTGCGAACCACCTGGCGTGGAAGGCGAGTCCGAGGAGCGCTTTCCAGGGGTCCAGACCCCATCGGATGTAGTTCCGAACGCAGAACCGCGAGCCTTTGATGGATGTGTGGTGGCCTGTCATTATATCACGATGGTCTACGAGGTCGTAGGTCATGACCTGCAAAAGTCAGCTGAGAGGCGTAGATTAAGGATTCAAGGGCTCTCCATACATTGACAAAGTCTACAGTCTCGTTGATCAATTGTATGTTTTTCGGCGTAAAGGCTGCCATGTCTTGTTCCAAACAGGGGGCTGAGATGGACAATTCTTTTTCTCCAAGATGAGCTTTGATTTCAGATAAAAGCAATGGGAAAGCCTCGACTTCGTGTGCTTTGTCGTAAACCATATTTTGTTTGATGCTGCTATTCTTCTCACTTCCGCCGGGATACCACCAATTGATGTCTGAGAACGTTAGCAAGTGATAGACCTCGGTCATCCAAAAGGTAGGGCAAGAGGGGGTTGACCACATACCGACACAATCATATCCAAGCCTCTCAACTGTGGCTACAATGTTTCGCGCAAACAGCTCTCTCGACTCTTGAGTTGCAGATGCTCTGCTGAACCCTTCTGCATCCCCATATCCGCCAACTCCCATGCAGAGATTTACCTGGGGTACAAACAACGAGCGAACTTCGCTGAGGTTCATGAAAGGCTCATACTGGCCAGGAGGGTCCGTGACAAAGAGTGACGAGCTTGCAAACGCAGTGATGACATGGGTAATGTATGTAGTGTAGATACGGTTCGGCGGTGCATATGGGTGTTTACTACCAAGGTTTTGGGTGAGGTTACTGGTAGTGAGTCGCAGACAAGGGGGTTGTTTACATACTGGTCAAAGTAAACAACATAGCGATACGGATAAGCAGTAACCTGAATCCCCCGCAGCGGGAGGGCCAATAGCAGTAGCACAAATGCAAACTTCATCGAGTTCGATATCTGAGCTGAGATATGATGAGTGAGTTATCCTGAGTTGCATCTGATCCAAACCTTTTGCCAGGTTGGTGAGCTACGTGATTCTGGGTGTGAACATTCATTTCTCAAGACTTGATTACGATTCGATCCTTCCTCCACAGAGTTCTGAGAGGATGTCCCTCAGAAGTCGGACGCTCTGGAAGGAGTTAGGCGCTCTTTCCAACCAAACTCTAACAAATACGATCAAATACCAGAGGAGACATGTCTTCAATGCCACTACTTGATTCTGTCATCGTCAATCGAAGGAGGAGGAAGATGACCTGGGGCCACCACGTCCATGAAACGCCGTGAAAGAAACGATAGTTATATTACAACTAGCATACAAAAAAAGCTTTCTAACTGCCGATCAGAATCTGAGCGCTAAAGCTACCATCAGTTGTAGTGAAGTAAAGAAACTAGTAGAAGTGCAGCTTTTCATACTTGTCGACGGCTGACCGTTCCCCCAGCAAACAATCAGACCCAGCAAACCTGTTAGTATTCAACTTCCATTGGAAACCTGCAGCAGAGGAAGACGGGAAGGATACTCACCATTTCACGGAAGCACACTCCTGATCGACATTACTCGGGACCCGAACCTTTTCCATCTCCAACCGGTGCTTGCTCTTCAGTTTCCCTTCCTTAATCCTTCCTTTCACAAAGAACATGTAAGCTTGATAATACAAAGGCGTGTTAGCTCCAGGCAAGGGGTCATTCATGTTGCGGAACCGTGCCAGCTGCACAATCTGGAAAGGCTTGATATTCTTTCTTTGGGCCCTTCAGCTGCGCGTAGATGCCGCGGCATAGCTGCGCCTGCGTGACGGCTGGCCGCATCAGATAAATAGTAATCTTCTTGCGGATCTTGTCACAAGAGTCGAAGATGGGGACGGAGTCGTCGTCCTGGCTGAAGAGGAGGTGGATGTCGCTGATGTTAACGGCGCCAGCCGGCTTTTTGGCTGTGGACTTGCCCTTCGAGCCGAGAGCGCCATTGCCATTGATTTCAGAGCCTTTGTAGGTGAAGCCTCTGCAGGTCCTCTTTAACTGTAGTTCCGTTCAGGTCACTTCCAGTGCTATCGTGAGCGTCTTGAGCCTATTAAACGTTCTTTTTTTCCCCAGTACTATAGAAATGCTAACGGGCCAGATGTAGGAACCCGGCAAGCAGGACAATTTCTGGGTCAGCGCACATACAATTGCGAGCGATAATGCAGGGTAGGAAAGAGAGTGTAATATCAAAGATCCACTTAGTCCTGAGCACCTACCTTAGCTACCCCTCAACGAGTAAGCTACGAAGCAGAATGTGAGAGTGATTAGAATGAGCGAGAACGAAACTTCGAATGGCTCCGGTATGACTTTCTTATAACAAAGTTACGTTACTATCCCTCCCTGAGCCTGGTGCCATGAAGTGAGCTGCGAATCCAATCGCCATTGATACTCATTTCGGGCCTCACCAGAGCCCCACTGTGTCTGATTACAAACACATTGACGACTCCCGACCTCAAAAACCACCATGAAGTTGGAAGTTTACTGCACAAGCTTCCATAATCTTTACGGAAACTCCGTGGGAAATGATGTCGGTGGCCGTAAATGACAGTTCTTGGAGACATTGGAGCCCCTTGTTTTTTTTTTTTGTGAGTATTCAGGCAGAGTATCACCGGGGATTCTCATCATGTTCCACCAAGCAACATATATCACACATATACTTTCCAAGGACCTATTATTTGCTACCAACTGTTCGATGGCAATTAGGAAGTAGCTAAGTGTCTGAGGATTCGGCGCCTGCTCTGTTGTATCTTTCTGAAGCCCCGCTTGGCACCATTTCTAAGCAGACGAGATCCCTATCGCAGGCCATGTCTTCAGGGAAGCTTTAAGGGTTGAGGGGCAGGGTTGTCAATACTCCTTGAAGAAGGTCGTGTATATTGAAGGCGAGTGTGGAAGAAAGCTGGATATTTAAGACATATTTCCGCTCGACGTTGGTAGAGGCGCGTGACTACACGTCATCCTTGACGAGTGACGGCTCATGTCCCCTAAGGCCTAAACATGTCCGAGGCATCTGGCAAACATAGGGCTAGGAGAGCAACGCCATAACAAGCGCCCGAACAGTGGAAAACTATGTCAAAAATGGAAACTTGGCTTGAGTTACGGCGGTGTAAGTCGAAGCCATCCACACATGTGGCAGGCCTGAGCGGGCCACCTCTCCTTGCCTCTGTGATCGTGACTGTTAACCAAATGGCAAGTTCAACAGGCATGTGACATGCGCTCAGTTGATCGTTTACTAATAACCAAACGTCGTAAGTCATCAGTTCATGTCTAAACCACTCATCTCTAACCACCTCTCTAAGGTCACCCCTTTCTTCTCAACCCTTCCTTTAACCTAAAACATCCCACCAGACATCACCCTCTCACTTCTACGAGCCCTTCGACGAGGATCCCGACGATAAACCAGACGTGGTCCCATAATACCTCACACCACTAGGCGAAGTATAGTGGTACCTGCCCTGGCCGTTGTTGTAGTAGGTGCTGCCGTTGTGGTTGGAGTAGTAGTACGAGCCGTCGCTTACCATACAGTCAGCTCTTTATTCATCCCATAGTCCAGAGGAGGTCTTCAAGGGGGGACGGGGGAAAGTAAACCGGTTGGAATAGTGATAAGCATTGGAGCCGTTGCCATAATCACGGGCCGCAGTAGTGGTTGCCCTGGATAGGGGTCGGTTAGTATGAGGTAGGGCAGGGGATAGGAGAGGGGGGTTAGTGTACCCGGCTATTGATGCCGGAGGACTTATAGGAGTAACCCCGGCCAGATATGTTGTCGGAATGAGATCTGTCGTAGAGATGGGCTCGTAAGTGAGTAGATACTGGTAGTGAAGGTAAAGCTGAAGATGATAAGGGCCAAAGAATCAGGGGCACGATGAGAGCTGAACAGGTCTTATATCCTCGTTCGTGGACAGCAATCTTCACTCTCCGCGGTCCAGCTGCGTAGGAATGGCCATCAAGCGGCTCAGGTCAAAGTTGCATTTCGCACCGCCCGTGCTGAGGCCCACGACGTCGATCAAGAACCGGGGTGCAGGTGATAGAGGAGTGGAGTCAGCGTTTGGGAGATGGATATGCCCAGTCATTCTGTGAAGCAAACGATCAACCTTCAAACGCGGGGGATGGGATCCGGAGGTGACGTGTGTGCTTGAGCAAACGGGGGGTGAAGCAAACCGGTGGGGTAGCCAACCGTCTTGCCGACAAGCCATAGACTCTACCAAAACGTCTCTGATGATCAACAGTCCAGGAGCAGCACCGTGCAGTGTGGATGCCTCTATTCATGACTGAGCCAACAGGTATCGCTAACAATGCAAGTCTATCCAGTGATCCGTACCGGTATCGTCTCAACAAACTCCCGTCATGCAATCAAAGTCATCCATCACAAGTTGCCGTTGGCTGCCTTCGTCTCTTCCTGGCTCTCCTCCAGTTCAGCCAGATACTTCTCCGCGTCCAAGGCCGCCATGCAGCCAGTTCCTGTAAGTGAATCCGAATTAGCCCTGAACAACAGAACTCATCTGCATGGGCAAACTACAGCTTGAGAGTCACATACCTGCACTAGTAATCGCCTGGCGATACCTCTTATCCTGCACATCACCGGCCGCAAACACACCCGGCACACTAGTAAGCGTGGTCCCCGGCTTGGTAACGACATAGCCATCGGCGTCCAGCTCAAGCTGGCCCTTGACGAGCGAAGTGGCCGGCTCATGGCCAATGGCATAGAACAGGCCGTTGGCCTCCATGGTTTCTTCCTTGCCAGTGAGGGTGTCGCGGACAACCAAGTGGCTCATCAGGCCATTCTCATCGCCCTTGACCTCGACACCGACGGTATTAAAGCGCACCGTGATCTTGGGATGGCTCAACAGACGCTTGGCCATGACAGCACTAGCACGCAGCTTATCGCGGCGCACCAGTACCGTAACATGGCTGCCATACTTGGTGAGGAAGAGAGCTTCCTCAGCAGCGGAATCACCCCCGCCAATCACAACAAGTGGTTTATTCCGGAAGATCGGCACCGCCCCGTCACACACGGCGCACGCGGAAATACCATTCTGCCAGTACTTCTCCTCACCAGGCAAACCAAGACGTTTGGCGGAGGCGCCGGTGGCCAGGATGACGGCGTCGGCGGTGTGGATGTCGTCGGGGGACCACTCGGTGGCGTACTCGAAGGGGCGCTTGGAGAGGTCGAGCTTGGCGACAGTCTCGCTAATGATCACAGTGCCGAAGCGCTCAGACTGGTTGCGCATCTTCTCCATGAGCTCCTGGCCTGTAACGCCCTCCGGAAAGCCAGGGAAGTTCTCGACTTCCGTCGTAGTGGTGAGTTGGCCGCCTGCTGCGATGCCGTTGGCCATGAAGCCTTCGTAAAGGACGGCTGGGGACTGTTAGACTACTGTCTGTCTGGAACCAATATATTTGGGGGGGGGGAGGCGTGTACGCTTCAGCTCGGCGCGAGCCAAGTAGATAGCCGCGGTGTGGGCAGCAGGGCCAGAGCCGATAATAACGACCTTGCTATGCATCTTCCGCTTGCCGACGTTCTGGAGGCTCTTGATCTCGGACTGGAGGGGCTGGCTGCGGTGCGAGGAAGTGACAGCAGCGGCAGCGATGGACAGGCCGGTAGCGCTGGAGCGAAGAGCGCGGCGAACCGTTGAGGAGAACAGCTTGACGGTGGTTGAAAAGATTACGTCTAATGAAACAGCGTAGAAGGAAGGCTACGTATAAACCGGGACGGCGTGGGGAAGGGAAAACGTGATGGGGCTCCCGCTAACTTCTTGTTAAGCGTCGAAATTCTTCTGCGGCGATCGCCTCGGCGCGTTCTGCTACGTAAAATAAAACCAGGGGCACGCGGGGCGCGTGGACGTGGGGTTGATCCGAAATCGCTGAGAGGGGCAAACTCGAGGGGTCGAGGGGCAAAGGGGGGCAGTCGGGCAATGATGGACCGAGCAGGGTCCTCCGAGGGACGCCGAGAGCTCAGGGTTAGGGTTTATTACAGAGGCTAACAGCGGTAGATACAAAAGTGGGTCATTCAAAATCCCAAGTAACTCAACGGTTCGATCAGCCCGACTCTCCTCGCATTCACAGCTTGCTCTGTCCTTGCGGCACCTTCACCACCACCTTGCCCCATGTCTCCCGCCCGCCAAGTGACTTAAGAGCCTCACCCACAGTCTCGAGCCCAACAAACTTCTTATCAGTGAACACAGTCGGCCTGAACTTGCCCTCCTTGATCAACTTCATGATCCCCTCCCAGACAACCGGCACAGTCTGCGGCTCAAAGTTGGCGTACTGGCCCCAGTGAATGCCAACCAGGGAGATGTTCTTAAGTAGCACCTTGTTCATGGCGACCTTCTCGATGGTTCCAGCGGCAAAACCGACGATCAGGATGCGCCCGTTCCAGGCGATGCACTTGGTGCTCTTGTCGACGACGCCGACCGGGTCGTAGACAATGTCGACGCCGCGGCCCTTGGTCAGCTTCTTGACCCGGTCGGGCCAGCTCGCGTCGCGGTAGTCGATGACGTAGTCGGCGCCGTAGGACTTTGCAACGTCCAGTTTGCGTTTGGTGCCTGCTGTTGCGATGACCGTTGCCCCGAAGGCTTTGGCGACTGCGGACCTTAGCATCCTCTCTTTTGAAGAATCGTGAAGTATCACTCACCCTGCACAGCAGCGAGACCAACACCACCAGCAGCAGCATGGACCAGCACCCAATCACCCGCCTTGACACCGGCACGCACAACCAGCGCACCGTAGCTAGTAGGAGCAGTCACGAACAGGCCAGCAGCCTCCTCGAAGGACCAGCCCTCGGGCACGGGTAGCATGCTGACCTCCTTGGCCACGCACTTGGTAGCATAGGCGCCCTGGGTGGCTCCAAAGACGCGCGAGCCCACGGGGAACTTGGGGTTCTTGGAGTTCTTGGGCGTGGCGAGCACCACGCCGGCGAACTCGGCGCCCGAGATCCAGGGGAAGGCTGGTAGAATAGTTAGCTCTCTTCATCAAGGTAAAAGTTAGTGTAAAGTAGGCGTACGCGGCTGCAACTGGTATTTGCCCTGGATCTGCAAGATGTCGAAGAAGTTGGTCGCCGCCGCATGCACCTCGATCAGGTACTCATCGTCCTTGGGAACAGGGTCCGGCAAGTCGGTGACCTTGAGCTCATGGGGGCCCTGCTGTTGTCAGCTCATCTGGTCATGTCTGATGATTAAGGTTGCGCTGAAGGAGTTAAACACGTAGAGACACACCTTAACATACTCCTTGATCTGGATGCCTCTCATCTTGCTTGAGTGAACAGATGCCACAGAAACAAATCAACGGATTATATTTTTTTTGGATGGCTCCGGTAGCAGAGGTGCAAGGAAATACAAATACCAACTCCAAGATAATGTCTGCAGCGATGAGATGATCAAACGGCCGGACTTGTATAACCGGGCTCTCTTATACGGAGCCGGCCAAGCAAGAGCGACGTAGCGGGGCAAATACCGAGCCGAGGTATGAAGTACATCCGTAAATGTGAGCCTTGATTGGCTACTCACCGTGGCCCCTCGGTGAGCCGCTGTCAAATGTCTTGGCATCGCTTGGCGTATCGAGGCGCGAAGCGCAACGCGACCCTCAACTTCAACTCGACTTTGAAATCAAAACCTCTAGATTTCATCATCGCCGCCAACAACACCACACAACGTTTCCAACCACACATCAACATCGCAATTTGTGAGGAATCAACCGCGCAAACTCGAATTTTAACAATCAAAAAACTTCTCAAAATCTTCACAACAACAACTATTCAGCGGAAAAGGAACCACAACCCTCAACCATGGCGACGACCACATCTCCCCCTCCAACAGGGCCCAACCCCATGGCCGCCCACCTCCTTGCCCGAACTCACCCAACCTACACCTTCACCTTCACACCCTTCCTGCAGAAAACCTACCAACACTCCCTCCCCGCCGACCGCCCAGTCTGCAAAGCCTACCAAACCGGCTCCTGCCCACTTAAATCCCACTGTCCCGAGCGCCACACCCTCCTCCCGTCTACCGCCAATGCCAACAACGGCAAAGACCCCCAAACTGGAACTGGCGGCGGCGGCGGCGGGTTTGGCTCTTTGGTATGCAAGCACTGGCTCCGCGCGCTCTGCAAGAAAGGCGAGACGTGTGAGTTCCTGCACGAGTACAACCTGCGCAAGATGCCCGAGTGCAACTTTTTTGTTCGCAACGGGTACTGCAGCAACGGGGATGAGTGCCTCTACTTGCACATCGACCCCTCCTCGAGGGTGCCCCCGTGTCCGGCGTACGAAAGGGGGTTTTGTCCCGCCGGGCCCAAGTGTGATAAGAAGCATGTTAAGCGGAAAATGTGTCCGTATTATCTGGCCGGGTTTTGTCCCGAGGGGAAGGCGTGTAAAGAGGGGGCGCATCCGAAGTGGGTCGGGGATAAGGAGTTAGAGAAGTTGATGGGGAAGGAGGAGAAGAAGGATAATGCTGGGACAGAGGGGCAGCAGCAACAGGGGCAGGTAAGTGGGCAGCAGGATGAGAAGGAGAAGGAGAAGGAGCGGGAGGCTAGGGAGCGGGAAGAGAGGGAGAGGACGGAGAGGGGAGAGGGAGAGGGAGCGGCATGAGGGTGGGAGACATAAGGATCGCTTTGGGAGAGGCGGTAGGTGGAGAGGGAAGGGGGGTAGATGGAGGGGGAAGCATTGATTGGGCATGGTATATCTTGACGATAAAGGGGAAGATTGATATCCAGGGAGAAAAGTCATGGCCAGGTAGTCTCATGACATTAATCATGCTTCTAGTTTCCCGAAATCGTATGAACTTGTGTGCACTAAGAGAGGAGACCAACCATACCAATCATATATACAAACAGCCACCCATTTTGATTTCTCAAGCCCGATACTAACCAATTGTAACCCAATCCCAAGACACCCACAACAGAAAAAAAAAATCCTTCCCTATCTTAACTCTCCTTCCAAACATTTGCTTCCGCATGCCCCATCGCCGTAGGCACGGTAACAAACGACCCGCCATCCTCAACCTCAGCATCACTCGAGCTCGAGCTCGAGCTTCCGCTCACCGACCGCGGCGAACCAACTCTTGACCGCGGACTAGCCAATTTCAACTCTTTTCCTGTCGTCCCATTCCCCTGCCACTCCTTAAGCTCATCAACCCTCCTAATCCCCATCATCCAAGCCACCAACCCCCTCGGTACCCACCTCCCCACGAACCCATACACACTCGCCCCCAGGCCAACCCTCACCGTCCCGCTGGTGATACTCCCATCGATGACATCAAACACGGCATTATGCAACTCCTTCAGTGACGACCCCCTGAGTCCCCTAATCCGCCCCGCACTAATAGCCGACTCGCTCTGGGACACGTAATTCTTGCCGTACGCGTGGCGCGCCGAGTCGGGCCATTCGTCGACGTTGCGGTTGTTTTCGCGGAGCAGGCGGGATTGTGCCGCGGGCGTAAAACCCGAAAAGTCGAAGGTGCCGAGTTGTACGTGGGTGACGGGGATGCCGAGGGGGCGCAGCTCGGCGGTTAGGACTTCGGTGAATGCTGTCAGGGCCGAGCAGACTGTTGCTTCGGGGGCGTGGAAGGGGGGGTTGATGGAGGAGATGATGGATGGGGTGAAAACGAGGACTTTGGGGGTGGTGGAGGGGAGGTCAGTAGGGGACTGGGAGCTGTTGGTGGTGATAGAGCTGGTTTGCTCTTTGGTGTTGGCAGAGGGAGGGGGCCCGAGACGGGCGGTTAGAAGAGGCAAGAAAGCCTGGATGGTAAGGATGGGCTGCAGCAGGTGAGTGTTGAAAAGGTCGGCGAAGCTGGACGGCGGGATGGTGGCGATCGGGGAGGTGGTGTAGTTGAGCGAGGGGATAAGGATGACGGCCTTGAACTGGAGATGGTACCGCTTGCCATTTGGGATAGCAGCATGCGGCGCCTGCAAGTAGCGAGCAAAGCTATCAATCGAGGCCCCAGCAGCCGTAGGATTGGTAATATCGAGAGTCAGCGGGCGGATGTCTGGGCGCGAGAGGTTCTGGACCATGGTTTCGTCGTCGTGGCCGTTACAGACGACGAAGACGATGAATCCCTTCCGCTCCATATCGAGCGCTAGCGACCGAGTCAGCGGCAGGGCGGGCGAGCCGGCGATCACGACTACCTCCATGCGGCCGCCATTGCGTGCGCGACGGGCACGGCGCTTCTTGCGCCAAGACGCCGTGCTGCGATAGGTGCGGTAGGCGACATAGCCCGAGGTTACTGCGATGACGCCGACCAAGATCTTGTGCCGGGCCACCCAGTTTTGAATACGCTCAAGGAATGAGACGGGCACGGTAATGATGGGGGCCGGTGGCGGGGGCGCCGGACGGAACTGCTCGGGGAGCCATGTTGCATTGGCGAGGGTGTCTCTAACAACTTCCCTCAAAGCACCGGCGATCTGGTCGACGTGCTTGTCCACGAAGCTGGCCACCTCATCGGTGTACTTGCGGAACTCCTGGGGGATGGAAGCTAGCTGAGAAGTGTGAGAGTCAGTGTTGGGTCTCTTGAAGCTTGAGTTGGACAGGGTTGATGATGCTGGACGAAAGTGAGGACAACAGTGAAAGTGAGGAACGAGGACGATGACGAGGAGTCAGAGTATCACACATACCACGTCCAGGAAGGCCTGGTCGTCTGCAGACATGCTGGGCAACTGCTCCCGTGTCGCTTCAAGTTTTACTGCATCCAACAGCAGTACAAAGCTTGAGACTCGAAGAAAGCAAGCTTTGACGCCCAACGATGTTGACGTGAGTGGTGACGGGTTGAAAATCCGTCTTTATCGGGTCAACGCCTTGGCTTTGGTCCTTATCCTTATCCTTATCCTTATCGCATCATGCCCCGCAGTTGGTGGCCCTGATTGGCCGTTAAGGTACTACTTTATCCGGCTAGTCATATGATTTATTGGTATTTTACACAAAATTGTGTATTTTTATTTGTTTTCTTTTCTTAACTACACTTCAACTGACTGACTTCCTCAAGTTCCTCGACCTCATTGTTACCTTCACCTCACTCGCCCTTATTCAAGTCCTGACCCGCGACCTTCCTTGCGAGGACTCGTAACCGCACATAATTTATGATATGCCCCCCTTCCGGAATCTTGCAGACTTCATTCAGCACGTCAACCACTTCCCTCACAACCTCCTGCCTCTCACCCTCCGGCACAGCGTCAAAAAAGTTAGCTCCCATGAGCTTCACCCAAGCCTCAACACCCCCCTTATCCGCAACAGTAGGCCTCCACTCCCTCTCTACCTTCTCAACCTTCCAGCCTCCAACCTTACTTTCAAGCATATCCGTAATCCTGTGCTTCGTTAGCCCTCCAAGAACAAGCATTACATGAGTGCTTAGGAGGAACATACCACTTCTCGTCAGGGAAAAACCATGGATCCGCCTCCCTAGCCTTCTCAATCCCCACCCTCCTAGCCACAGCGCCCAGCAGCGCAGCCCTCATCTCAGCGACATTCCCCAGCCCGCCCATCTCGAAGGCAAAGGTCCCATTGTCAACGAGGGAGTCTCTCACGCCGCGGAAGACAGCCTCACGCGTCTCTTCAGAACGTAAAATCCAGTGGAGCGCGGCGTTGGAGAAGGCTTTGGTGAAGGCTCTTTTGTACTGGGTGGGGACAGGGTGAAGTTTATTTGCGTCAAGGACTGCGAGTTTCACAGGGTTTAGTTTCAGAAGATGGGTGAAAGGAGAAAGGGGAAGGGCCCTACTTTCGAAGGAACATCTCTCCTCCAGCCCAGCCTCAGTAGCTTTTTTTCTGGCGGCCTCAATCATAGAAGGGGAGCTATCAACACCGTGGAGCTTGGCGGTGATGCGGCCGATATCGACAGAGAGGACACCATCCAAATAATAGGTGAGTCATGTGCTGGGAGGGATGATGGTTGGGGACAACTTACCTCCACAGCCAATGTCGAGAACGACGTCGTTAGGTTGGGGGTCGAGCCATTGCACGATCTTGGTTGCCAGCTTGGGGACGAACGAAGCGGCGTTCTGGTAAGCCTGGTTATACCGTCAGCATAATTTTATGCTCCTCCCAAAAAAAAAAAAAGCAAACGGGAGGGATACCTCTGAGGACCAGTGATCTTTGGTGTTTGAAGCAGCTGCCATTGTTGTGTAGCAAGTGTAAGTTGTATTGCCCTGGTGGGATTCTCCGTAGAAACTTGGGTTGATGGATTTGTGTCCCGATAAAGTCCAAGTCAACGTACGCACTTCAGAAAATTTGTCTTCGAAGTTCTGCCTGAATGTACAGCGCAGGCACACGCTCCCTGGAAGTTCCTACCACTTATATGCCATTTTGATCCAGTGTTGTCACTTCAACACCCTGGCACCAGCCTCAACTCGACCGCAGGCCCCCCATCCTTCGACCCGGCCCAGCGCCGACATCGGCGCCTAGAATTGTGCAACAGACGAATACCATCAATACGATCGACCAAGAAGGAAGTAAGCTCCTAGCTTTGATTCATCATCATCAGACAACTAACGCGTGCGGTGTCTACGGTGAGGCCGATTGATTGAAGCAATTCTGGCTTGGAATCATACAACATGTCAAAAGCATAGATTCATGCAGTCATTGCCCCCACTACCTTCACCCGGTCTAGCCTCTGACCCTGAGAAGAGAAAACAGGACACCCCTGAACCTCTCTCAGTCTAATCCAGCTCGTCCAGACTCATCAACTTATACTTTTCTTCCCCAAGCCCGTCCTCAATTCTCTGCATCACCGCCAGGACCTTCTCCTCCTCCAGCCGGCGGCAGACAACCTGCACGCCGACCGGCAGCCCGTGCATGCGATCCGCCTTGTAGTGCTTGTAGGCCCCTTGCGCGACGCCGTTCAGATTCCTGAGCTTGAACGATGCCGGCAGCGCGTCAAGTTCCTTGTCGACGCGGGTGACGGGAAGAACGCCTGCCGAGTAGTCGAGCTGATCCAGTCAGCATGATGCTCAAGAGCTTAGATAGACAGAGGATAGAAGCTGGTCACTCACCAAGTTGAACAAAAACGTATACCCACAACTACTAACCGCATCCTTCATCGCATCATGCGGTAGCGCAGGCGTCGCATTCGGCGGCGCAATGATCGCGTCAAACCCCTGGCTGTTCCAATACTCAAACCATTTCGCCCTATAAGCCTCCCTCTGCATGACCAGCTTCCAGTTCTCAAACGCCGACTTGGGGCTCCAATGCCTGACCAACCCAGCCCACACCTGATCGCTCCTTACATACCTCACCCAAAGGTAATAAATATACCTTAGCGGCGCCCACAGAGAAGCCAACCTCCGCATCTGCCTTGCCCCAGGATCGTTCCACTCCCCCCAACGTCTAAACGACTCAAACATCTGGCACCCGTCCGCATTCAACAAAAGACTGGCCAGCCTCAACCCTTCGTACATATCCGGCGCCCCCTCCACCGTCACAACCTCACATCCCTCCCTCTTTAGCGCCTCCTCAACCATCCCCAGCGCCCGCACACACGCCGGAGACGGGTCAACCACGCCATCCGTTCTTAAAACCCCCACCTTGAGCCTTCTCCTCTCCTGGAGGACATCCTTTTCAAAAGAGTCACGCCATGGCAAGGGATGCACACTATGATCGTACCTCCACACCTGTGTCCCCTCATCCAGCACAGCCCGCACAAAATACCTCAAATCATCCAGCGTCCTCGCCATTGGACTATATACGCTTGGCACCCCTTCTTGTCCAGGCATGCTGGTGCAAATCCCCGCCTTCGGCCAGCGGCCTGTGGAACACCTCAAACTATAGCATCCGCTCCAGTGTGCGGGAAGACGCACGCTGCCTGCTACGTCAGAGCCGACACCGATTCGTCCTCCCATCGCGAGAAGCGCGGCCTCCCCTCCTGTGCTCCCGCCGGGGGAGTACGCCGGGTTGTGAGGATTGACACAGCGCCCCCAGACAGCATTCGTACTCTCAAAGGAGAGTAACGTAATCGGCAAGTTGGTCTTGACATACGGCACCGCCCCAAGATCCTTCAGCAGCCTCACAATCGCCCCATCCTGTGTTGTTTTATTCCCCACAAAAGAGGAATACCCCACCGTCGTGTCATACCCGCCTACAACAATCGTATCCTTCAATGAAACCGGGATGCCAGCCAACGGCCCCTTGAGGTTCACCCCTCCTTTCTCGCGGTCGCCTTCAGCCCACTTCTCCGCATCGGAAATCATCACCTCGGTAAGGCAGTTCGTTCTAGCGTGTGCTTTAACCGCGAGCTTGCCATAGGCATGGAGGACCGAGAGGGGGGAGGTGGTGCCGGCGTGGATGCCCGCGACGAGGGAAGCGATGGGGGACGTGATGATGGATTTGTCGGAATCGGAGAGGGGGGTGTGGTAGATCGCGGGGAGGGAGGAGATTGTTGAGGAGCGTTGAGACTGCTTTAGGCGGCTGTTTGGGAAGGGAGCGCGGGGTTAGTTAGGGGAGAGATGGGAGAGGGGGAGGGAAGAAGGGGGTTACCAGTCCCGCCGGTGATGTAGGTAGGAGATTAGGATGGACATGTTGGTTGTCCTGTCTTTGGCGGTGCTCAACAGTGGTATCTATGGTGTTGCTGCTAAATTGGAGAGGAGAAAGGCGAAGGCTGGGTCGCTGAATTGAACTAAAGTCAGAAGACGTGGTTGTTCAACGCCGACCTCGTGCTGGTGATACCCTGTACGACCGCTCACTCCTTCAGGCAAAGCACTCCAATCAAATCAAATCCCCTCCAGTTTATCAAGGTAGAGCAAATCGCTGGAGATACTGACAACCCAAATCCCCATTCCGGGGCTCCAATCCTTCATATTCCCCCCAAACCGGCCAGCGCATGTAAGTGATAAGATATCCCTAGTGGATCCTCCCAGGAACTCTCCCCCAATCCCCTCACACTTCCAGCAGTCTTCGTGTGGGGAAGTGGGGTATCTCCCCGCATCCGGCTGCCACGCTATCCCAATTCCAGATAAACCAGCCCCACCGAAAGCCAGCTGGCGCGCCTTCTTGAGCCGCCTAAAACCGAGAGAGACCCCCCGAGAGAGACCCCCCGAGACTGACGGTGAGAGAGACAAGTCAAGACGGGGGCCAAGAGGATGAGACGATTGGGGGGAGGAGGGGGGGGGGGGGGAAGGGAAAGGGGGGAAGGGAAAGGGGGGGAAGTATAGGTTTCATTACAAATAGAAGACGTGTATTTTCTACTACCAGTTCTCGTTTGTTTACCTCCATGTCAGTATCTCGACCGAAGTTATTGCACCGATGTACTAGAAGCCAGTCCAGTCCTACACTCGTAGCCCAAGCTGCCCAACATCAATCAGCCACTGAGACCTCGTAAGCTAACAGCAGGACTGATACCGCATGATGCAGTATCGTCCTGCAATATCCGTATCTTCTCCCCAATTGATACCTGAGCCTTAGCATCCCTCAGCAGTCATCCGCTCTCATTGAGGAAGCTAATCCATCCCTCCATTACCAAAGCAAGCAAAGAGCCGTTACAACGCCGTCCGTCATACAAACATAATACACATTACCACCTTACTCCTTTTACTCACATCCTGATCCCGACACCATTACTCCTTCTTCTCCCCAGAGACAGGCTGCCCATCAAGTCCACTAACCAGCGTGGGCGCGATCCTTCTCCTCTTGGACTGCTGCTGCGCGCCATCCTTCTCGCCCGCAGCACCCTCAACACCCTCCCTCTTGGTCCCCGATGACGGAGCCGAAGTAGGAGGGGGTGCCGCCACCGCTGTAGTCGTCAACGAAGTCTTGGGCGTCTCAGGTGGCGTAGCCACCGGCACGCCAATCACCTTGCCCGAGTTCGCGGCCGCGATGCTGGGCACCTGACCGCCAACGAGGGGCGGGTTGCTGAGCACGGGAGCCTGGGAAGAGCCCGAGTTGGAACGGGCTGGGGACGCGGCGCGCGGGTTGACAAAGGCTGTGATGGGGGGAGAAGGGGCGGTCAGGGAACCGGAGTCGCGGTGCCTGTGCATCGAACCGTTCGGAAACGGCGAGGGAGGAGCAAAGAGGGAGGTTGGGGTCGCGGTGGGAGTATTGTGGTTGGACCCGGCGAGCAGCGGGCCCCGGGGAGGGCCAATCTCCCCTGTATACTGAGTGCCAAGCTCGCCGGGGGCAAATGATACGGTCGAGCAGAAGCCGTCGGAGGACGAGATCAAGAGGGTCAGACCGTCACTGGACCTGAAAAAAAAATGTTAGTTTCTCTCATCAGCGTGCTGCAGCAGGTAGATCAAGGGCATTACCAAGTCAAATCAGTGAACGTCGCACAGTGCAGATTGCTGACGACGGCAATCGGCGTGTTCTGCTGGGTATCATAGATGAAAACCGTGTCTTGGGTAGCCACGGCATACACCATACGATACGGCAGGCCGAACTGAGACTTCGGCCCGGCCGACTGAGCGTTGGTGTCCACGCTGAGGCCCTTATCCGCAGCAGTTGACCCATCTGCTGGCGGCGGCGGCGGCGGCGGGGGAGGAGGAGGATCCATCGACGATGTCGGCTCGGGTTTAGAGATGGGCTCCGGCAGCGAAGGAACGCCCTCCTCAGCTGACGAAGTGTCAATGGTGATGTATTGAGTCTTAGGCGGCGACTGCCTCAAGGTGTAGATGACCGGAGAACACCTGACCGCCACAGATGGCTTCTTAGACCCAGGCAGGTGAGCAATAGGAGGCTTGTTGATGCCACCACGGCTGTAGATATACACGGTGTTAATGATCTCGGAGGATGTCTTCCCCTCAGCAGTCTGGTGCTGAGTCTGGTACTGCCCCGCGGGGGTAAGCAGCAAGCTTCCATCAGGGGTGAAGGTAAGTCTCCGGAAGAAGGAGGTGAGAGTCTCATTAGCATAGAGGTTAGCATTCTTCATGCCCAGGGTCGACGTATTAAGGTGAGGCTTAGGAGAGGCCTCGATAGGCATCACGGCAGGCAACGGCATAGATGGCGCCGGCGAAGCTGAGCGCCTGGATGAAAAGGATGACCGACGACTATGGCTGATCATGCTTGGTGGGTTCATAGGAAGTGGCATCGACTGCGGTGTGCCCGGAGCAGACGGAACTGGTGACCCAACAGCAACGCCCGGAACAGAATCGAGCGCCCGGTGACCGGAATCCGGGGCTGGACTCTGGGATATCCTACGAGGGGGAAGGTCCGCTTTGACATGGCTCGCGACCTTGGGCGGCTTATCGTCATGGCTGTAAAGGGTATATTGGCCGTCCTTCGTCTTGAGGGAGTAGATATGCACCGAACGGTCCGAGGACTGAGTCGCAATGTACTCATTCATTGGGTCCCATGCGACACCCTGAACGTAATGGCTGTGCTCGGCGATCTGGCGCACAAGAGTGCCTAGACAACACTGTCAGCGGCGAGCCCAGATACTAACTGTGGGAGAATCGTACCTGTCCCCGCATTGTAGATCCTCGCCACGTTATCCATACTACCGATGATGAAGAACTGCGCGTCGGGCGACCAGGCAAGATCGTAGATTTCGGTGCCGAGCGAGCGGCACATGTGCTTCGTGCGCCATGTCTCTTTATCATCGAGGCCATCGCTGCCGAAGGTTGGATGATGCGTCTCCGAGGGTACCCACAAAATCACATTGCCGTCATCACCGGCAGATGCGAGCAGTTCGCCTGCAGATGTCAGCATGTTCTGCAGTCAGCGATGGTTGGGAGGGACATACCCTTCGGCGCCCAGCGAACAACGTTTACGGCCTGGGTGTGCTTCGAGAGGGTCGCTAGGTACTCAACCTTGCGGCCATCGCCGTTCTCTTCAATCTTCCAGAGCTGCGGAGGGTCAGTATCCTAATGTTTCTGAAGAAGCGACAGCACATACCCGAACATTGTTGTCGCCGGCAGCGGTCGCCAAGCGACCCTTGCCGCCGGGTTCGAAGTGGGCAGAGTAGATAGGATAGGGGTTATTATTGTCGTGATGCCAATTGACGATTAACGGGGTGGCCTTCATTTTGTTGGTGATGGTTTCGTTTTGATGGAAGAAGGATTATCACGGATCGGTGGAGGGTTTGTCGTTGTCGTCCGGTCCGATGGACCTTCGTCAGATGCTTTGGCTGGAAGCAGACGACTGGAAAATGGTGCACCAACGCAATCAAAGACTCTTCCGCAGCAGCAATTGAGCAAAAGCCTTCAAGTGCTGCAGCTAGAATCGCGTTTGAATCACGAACTCCGTGTGGGTGTAGGACGACAGAAATGTTGTAGGCGATGTGGAAATGTTGATGTGGATTTCCTTCAAGTTGGCTTGGGAAGTCGAAGCTGTGCCTGTGAACGTGTTTAGCTGGATCTTGGCCGGGAAAATGTCTAAAATCCTGCAAGCTGCGAACTCAATCTTGCAGGTCAAAATCACATGGAAATCCACAAAGACGATCAGTAAAAATAGACCTTCTGAATCAGGCGATCCGAATGTAAAAAAAAAAAAAAAAATCAGGATGCCCAACGGCGATGTTGGTTGTTGCGAAATGATCTCGGAGCTCATCATCCACGGATACGTTACGCTTTCCGTCCATCCTTCCAACATCCACACATGGATCTCCGCTGTTCATCTGGGAGCACGGAAACGGCTGCCGTCGCGTCTGACGCGTACTAGCCAATCAGCGTTCGCAGTATTCACCACTTTACGCGGGACGTGGCTTGGCGCGACGCGCATCTCGCTGCCAAGACTGTCCTGGAATGCCCACTTCCAGTAGGGCGCTCGAGATTTTTGCTCCTTTTTCCCCCAATCGCTGTTCGGGGAGCTGTTAAGGCGGTCTAAAGTACTCGCAGGGGTCAAATCGCCCAGCGTCCTTCAGTCCCACCATCCTGTCATTGTTAGATTTCAATGCGCCATCAGCCCTGCGGATGATCGCTGATCCGATCTGAGGCCTGATCAGATAGCGGATCATCAGGCCATCCCGTTTGTTTGTCCCGTAGCCAGAAAATAGTATATTAAGGATTCAAGATGCAAATGACTTTGGACTCCAGCATAACTGTAATCCTTTATGATCGCATGTGGAGCCCCAAATCTTTTATGTAAGCTTCATACTGTGTGTCACAGCAGAAACTCCTCTTTTACCCTGAAGCGCTTTGTAAGCCATGAGCTGGACGTTCAAGCTCACTTCCTCCTCAGTTCCATTCCCCAGTTTCTATGCAATTTGACATTTCCTTTCTCACTCTGCGGATCGAGCGCCTTCAAACGTGAGAGAGCATAAGTAGACTGTAGTTACCAATAAAAGTTACCACTGCTATGCTGTGCGTAGATACGTTTTGATGCTCGATGATACCAATGGTTGAGGGTCCTGACTCGTAGACCGCCCGCATTCTGACTCTTCAGCCAAAGACCCTTAATGATGACGGAAGTCTTAAAGCCTGATCTTCCCGGGGAAGCCGACTTTCCATCTTCCAAGTTGGCAGCAGTGGCCATGTTTCACTTGAACCGTGGCAATAGCTTTAAGTGAAGCATGTCCCAACAGTTAGAGTGAGGTGTCAGTTGACTGTTCTGCCGGGACCTTGTTCCCCACCACGAGATAACTCAACGATGATGACACCCTAGATATCAGACAGAAGTGTGCCTTACGTTGTGCTCTGGAATATGTTCGTGGCAATTGCTCAAGTAAAATATGAAGTATATCGTCTATCTGGACACTTGTTGGCTTAACTGATCAAACATGTGGTCAAACAAATCTGATTGCAGAGACAGAGTAACGTACGGTCTGGAGGCCATAGCCCCTCCAGGTGAGGGGAAGGTATATAACCAAAAAGGCTCACTTTGCGATCAACAGAGTTGACTCAGAGATTCTATGCCCAAAGACCAAGTCAGTCCTCAACCTGCCGGAGCACTAGAAGCTACCTAAGCAGTCCAATTGCCTGATTTTCCTGGCTTCTGAAAGGAGAGAGGGTAGAGAAGGCCTGCGGTGTACATCACTTAGCAATCTGCCACAGAAAGTCGTCGCTCTCTCGAACTCAGTGACCGGTGTCCCGCCTCGTCCTAGAGTTCTCCCATCGAAGCATGCGGATGACATGTAGTCATACAAGGTCTGGAAAACGCTGCAGCTCTATTTTCTAGGCGCTTCCGTCGCCAACCTACAAAGGGGTCTTGACGCATCAAAACATTTGATCCAACACTGCAGCTCTCGGATCTTACTCGGAGCCGAGCTGCTGGCAACCACAGCTGAAGAAAACACAGTGTCAACCAACGCCTGTTGTAGCCATCAATGGGATTCTCCACAAATAGAACAAACGGTTATCGATGCCATTGAGTGCGTTTAAAATCGAAATATCCTCAAAATGACAGGTCGAGACAGGACGAAGAACCAACCAGCCATCGCTGTCACAGCTGAAAACGGAAGGTCGACAAACTTCTGAGCAGGTGGTTTGCGCTTACACAGTGTGCAACACACGGACCAACTTACAAATCGACACGTCCTGATTGATAGCTCAAATCTGTGAAACCGGTAGCATCCAATAACAATACGCGATGCTATCAAAAATTAGTGCGCCTTTCGTAGTCGTACTGTGCTCGTTCACATCCCGCGGGGCCGCGCAACAAAAAAGTTGAGGCAAGAAGCACGATGCTACCACCCATCTTTCAAAAGACGGTGCTTCTCGCCGATGTGAGTCAAATGGGAAGCCTCCTCATGATGTGCACGTCCAGTCTCATAAGGTGTTGATGTGTCATAGGAGACTGCTCGCAATTGACAGACAAAGAGTTTCAGGGCCGTTGACGTGGTTCATCCTCCGCCTTTCGCACTTCCCCAGCCATTTGCAGTGGCATTCGACCATCAATAATCCACCCCGCCAACCATCACTTACATCCACTGGTGAACCGGAATATTGAAAACAAACTTTTTCACCGCCAGCTACGGATACCGCCCCTATCTCTTCAGCCCTGGGTGACTCCTGTGGCCCATTGGGTCTGTTGTCCTACTTAAACTACAACCAATTGCTTCCTGCTTTGCCGCCCGTATCACCAGAGCTCGATAATAAACAACATCATTGAGTACTGGGGGAATTTGAGTTTCTATATACCCCGCTGGCTCCAGGGCATGGCGACGGACTATCTTCCGTCGGCCCAAACGCCCATCACCATGCCCCTCGATTCCATGTTGACGACCTTTGCCACGGGGGTTGGCCTCATTGGGCTCTGCTCGGCCCCTGCTCTAAGTAGTACCGTAAAACGGTTTACGAGGAGACAGGAGAGGAAGCAGGATGTGTATGAAGATGAGGATGGCTCAGCCACTCCGGAGTCGATGGCCGCTTACTCGGCCAAGATCCCCAAGGCTCTGGTTCTGACGTCGGCTGGCGTTGGCCTGGCTGTCTCGACGACCTTGTTGGTAATTTCTTCCGGTACACATGGCGAACCGGTTCTCGATGGTCTCGGAATCGGCGCTTGGGTAAGCTTAATCGGCTCCTGAACTCTCCAAGCAACACCTAACTGGATCTAGGCCCTCCTGACCCTCCAAGCCGTGTCCATCGCGTCAAGCAGGAACTCCATCCAGGCCTACAACCTCGGCCTCTACACCTTTCTCTCCTCCATGATCCTCGCAGGCATTCTCATTGTCCGTGGCACAATGATTGGCGAGTCCCTGCTCCAAAGCAGCCGCAGCATCTTCACCCTCCGTGTCGTCGAAGTCTTCGCAAGCGTAGCCCTCGCATTCTCAGGCCTCGCCCTCCCCCGTAGACCCGATGTCTTCTACAAGGGCGAGCTGGTCGACCGCATGTACACAAACTCGGCCTTCAGCCGCTTCACCTACAGCTGGCCCACCTCGATCCTGGATCTTGCCGCCAAGAAGAAGGACCTCGACCTGAAGGATCTGACTCGTCCCGACCATCTCACCCGCTCGGACTCGGTCTCTGCCGCCTGGAAGAAGAAGAACTTCAAGTATCCTCTGTGGATTTCGTTGATTCTGGCTCACAAGAGGGCGCTTACCATCCAGTTGTTGCTCACTCTGGTTACGTCGGTCCTCAATTTTGCTCCTCAGTGGGTGATTCTGCAGCTTTTGAGGCTCCTGGAGAGGCATGAGCCTGGTACCAGTCATGGCCTGGACGCTTGGATTTGGGTGGGGTTGCTTTGCCTGGCTATCATTGTCCGGTCCTGGGTCGAGTCCTACACCATTTGGCTGTCCTACGCAGATTTGCACATCCCAGTGCGTGCGCAGCTGTCTGCGCTGATCTTCGAGAAGTCCATGCGCCGGAAGGACTCCAAAGGGGCTGAGAAGAAAAAGAAGGACAAGTTCCAGGAGGGGGGTGAGGATGGTTCCTCTGAGCAACAGGAGGAGGCTCGGGCGCCGGTCGATGAGGAGGAGCAGCTCAAGAAGAGCAAGCAGAGTATTGTTAACCTCATCGGTGTGGATGGCAAGCGCATTGCCGACTTCGCCTGCTACCAATATCTCTTCCCTGACAGTCTGTTCAAGCTCATCGTTTCACTGGCTTTCCTCGTTAGCTTGCTTGGGTGGAAGGCTCTTCTGGCTGGCTTCTCTGCCATGATTGCCATCATGCCTGTTAACATCTACTTCTCCAAGCGCTACGCAAATGCCCAGGACCGCCTAATGAAGCTTCGGGATGAGAAGATGGAAGTTGTTACAGAGGCGCTGCAGGGTATCCGTCAGATCAAGTTTTCGGCCCTGGAAGGGGAGTGGGAGAAGAAAATCGGCGAGGTTCGTGAGCGAGAGCTCTCGGCTGTGTGGAGCGTGTTCAAGAACGACACCATGCTTCTCGCTTGCTGGATCACCAGCCCTATCCTGCTGGCTGCCCTTTCGCTTGCGGTCTACGCTTACCTCAACAGCTCGCTCTCCCCGTCTGTCGCCTTCGTCAGTCTCGGTGTCTTCAAAGCCCTCGAGATGACACTCTCCATTGTCCCTGAACTCACGACCGACGCTCTCGACGCCTGGGTCTCTATCAAGCGCATCGAGCAATACCTCAACTCCCCCGAGATCATCAAGATCTCGCAGGACGGTGAGGAAGTCGCCTTCATCAACGCCTCCATCGCCTGGCCCGCCGACGAGGAGATTGACGAAAAGGACCGCTTTGTCCTCCGCAACATCAACGTCACCTTCCCCAAAGGCGAGCTGTCAGTCATCTCAGGCAAGACTGGCACCGGAAAGAGTCTAATGCTGTCTGCTATCCTGGGTGAAGCTGATATCCTGGAGGGTACCATGCAGGTCCCGCGGGCTCCGCCGCTGCTTGAAAGGCATGATGATAAAGCTAATAAGAGCAACTGGATTATTCCTAATGCTATCGCATATGTCGCGCAGATTCCCTGGATCGAGAACGCTAGTATCAAAGACAATATCCTATTTGGTTTGCCTTACGACGAGGAGCGCTACCATAAAACGCTGGAGGTGTGCGCGCTGACAAAGGATCTGGAGATGCTTGCGGACGGCGAGAATACCGAGATCGGCGCCAACGGGATTAACCTCAGCGGTGGCCAGAAGTGGCGTGTCACGCTCGCTAGGGCGATCTACTCTCGTGCAGGGATCCTCGTGCTCGATGACATCTTCAGCGCTGTGGACGCCCATGTCGGACGGCACATCTTCGAGAGGTGTCTTAACGGCGAACTCGCTGAGGGCCGCACCCGCATCCTGGTCACTCATCACGTTGCTCTATGCGAATCAAAGACGAAATACCTCGTTGAGCTGGGCAACGGTGGCGTCTTGCATGCCGGTACGGTCGCGGAGCTGCGTGCTAAGGGTATTCTGCAGGAGATCAACAGCCACGAGAAGGCCGCTCTGGGGAGTGACAAGGCTGACGTGGATGATCTGGCGACGGCTGTTAACTCGGAGGATTGCTCGGAAGGGGAGGGGGAGCAGGATGGGGAGGGGACGAATGGGGATGGGCTGAAGAAGGTTCCCCCGAAGCCGACTGCGCCGGCGAGGAAGTTTGTGGAGGAGGAGTCGAGAGAGCAGGGTGCTATTCGGAAGCATATCTATGTGACGTATTTGAAAGATAGCGGTGGTTGGTTGTTTTGGGTGCTGGCTGTGGTTTTCTTTACGGTGGTTCAGTGCTTCACTCTTGGTATGTTTTTTTCATCCCCTTCTTATGGAGCCCGTCAGCTAACATGTTCAGGACGTTCGTGGTGGCTTCGGATCTGGACGGGCGATCAAGAAACCCAGGAAGTCCACATGCATCGCGCCCACAGCGCTGCTGGCGTCAACGGCTTTACTTACACCGAAGGCGCTCATCAGACAACCCTCCACACCGCTTCCTGGCCCACGTTCGAGGTTCAACGCACCCTCCCCTTCTACCTTGGCGTCTACATCGCGCTGGCCATCATCTCATCCGTCCTGTCGACCCTCAAATACTTCTACATCTACACCGGCTCTATCCGCGCCAGCCGCAAACTCTTCGCCAAGCTCAACTTCACCATCCTGCGCACCCCCATCCGCTGGCTCGACACCGTGCCTCTGGGCCGCATCCTGAACCGCTACACAGCTGACTTCAACATCATCGACTCGCAGCTAGCCAACTCCCTCTCCTTCGGAGCAGGCTCCTTTCTCAACCTAATCTCTGTCCTCGTAGCCGGCCTCATTGTCTCACCTTACATCCTCGTCCTCGGCAGTGCTCTGCTGCTCATCTGTCTGCACTACGCCCTGCGCTACCTCGATGCTGCGCGTCCCGTCAAGCGTCTCGAGAGCACGGCCAAGTCCCCTGTCTTTGAGCAGTTCGGCTCTGCGCTTACCGGTGTCGCTACCATCCGCAGCTTCGACAAGGCACAGGTGTATGTGGAGAGGATGTACCGCAAGATTGACGACTACTCGACCGCGACGTGGCATCTGTGGTTGTTTAACCGCTGGATGGGCTGGCGCCTATCGCTTGTCGGGTCGTTCTTTTCGAGCTCTTTGGCGGCGTTGATTTTGATGAACCCGAATATTGACTCGGCACTGGCCGGGTTTGCGTTAGCGTTCGCGATTGATTTTACGGGGGCGGTGATGTGGACTATTCGGATGTATGCGAACGTTGAACTGAATATGAATGCTGCGGAGCGTATTATTGAGGTACGACCCCTTACACGATACATACTAGTTGATAAAGATGAAGACTAACGTACCTAGTACACCAAACTCGCAACCGAAAACCTCGGTGGCATGCGCCCCCCCGCCGCTTGGCCAACCGAAGGCCGCATCGAAGTCGACAACTTGGTCGTCAGTTACGCCCCCGACCTGCCCCCCGTCCTGAAAGGCCTCACCTTCTCTGTCAACCGCAACGAGCGCATCGGAGTGGTCGGCCGTACCGGCGCTGGCAAGTCCTCATTGACTCTCGCCCTCTTCCGTTTCCTCGAAGCCCAATCCGGCAGCATCCACATCGACGGCCTGGACATCTCCAAAATCAGGCTCCACGACCTGCGTTCTCGTTTAGCTATCATCCCACAAGACCCTGTCCTCTTCTCTGGCACGATTCGCTCCAACCTCGACCCGTTTAATCGGCACACCGACGAGGAATTGTATGATTGCCTCGAGAGGGTGCACCTCATTCCTCCGGGGTCACGCTCCGGGTCGTCTACCCCCACCATCCGAGAAGAACAGCCGAGTGGTAGCACGGGTACAACGAGCCCCAAACTAACCCTCTCCACCCCCGTCACCGAATCCGGCCTCAACCTCTCCCAGGGCCAGCGCCAACTCCTCTGCCTTGCGCGCGCGATCGCTACCCGACCCAAGATCATGGTCCTTGACGAAGCTACCTCCGCTGTCGACATGGCCACGGACGCGCTCATTCAGCGGAGTATACGCAGCGAGTTTCGGGATGCCACACTTCTCGTTATTGCGCACCGTTTGAGCACGATCGCAGATTTTGATCGCGTGCTTGTGCTAGATGCGGGGAGGGTCGTGGAGTTTGGGACGCCGAGGGAGTTGTGGGAGAAGGAAGGGGGTGTGTTTAGGGGGATGTGTGAAGAAAGCGGAGAGAGGGAGCGGCTGAAGGGGTTTATTTTTGGTGAGGGGGAAGCGAGTTCTAGCAGGGAGTGATGATAACCATGATTATGATGATGTATTTCGCAGTGATTTACAGGGTATCCGTTTGGAAAGGATATCGGAAAAAAAATTTTTTTGGCCGAATGGGAAAGGGTAAAATAGCAAAAACTACCATAGGGGATCGCTGATAGAATTTAATTGCGTAGATATCACAATAAACTATTAGACCTAACACATTCGTCACTAGCAAGACAAGCGCCATGTGTTGAAATTATCCATCAATTTGTTCATTGAGCCCATTTGGTTACTCTGTTGATACCCTACATGCAACCCATAAACTCAGATGTAATCCGTAACTGCCATAAAAAGCTTGCTAATCCCACAAACAAAGCTGGCTCATTCCAAGCCATATAGCTACTCGCTAGCTGATCATAAGTCATGACGGTCATGACTCTAAGAGATTATAATCAATTATGATCATCATCAATCGTAATATAGTGCCTTCCTATTAGTAAGGCACATGTTATCGTAAACACAAGCAAAAGAAACAAACGCCATTCCTTGTCCATTCCCCTCCATCCATTTACCGACCCATCCATCCAGTTGCGTCCATCAAGCTAACAGAGTATATTATTATCATAGTCCCGTTCCGTTTGCAACATTCACAAGTTGTCCCACCATAAGGTTGCCAAACCCCAACCATGGATGCAGTTCCCAAGTTTAGCACTGCCGTATCCATCGCCAACAACACTATCCATCATCAATGGGCAGACTGCCAATGCCACCACCTCTGCGAAATCAAACATGCAGGAAGTTCAAGTTATTCGATCCATCATCCAGATTGTGCCGTGCGATACAACGTGTAATGTAACAAGGCTAACTCCTCCAAAAGAAAGGGCTGAACCAATAGTAGCAACAATCCTGGGTGACGAAAACCTCCGCCATGTCTGTATCAAGCTCATCGCTGTGCGATGTGATGTGGTGTGCTCAATCAGCCATGAAAGCTGTAACATCTTTCTGAGGGAGCCAGGACATCCATCAAAAGAAAGGGGTGGGGGGGACAAACTGTTAAGGATTGATGACCACACCAAAGCAGAAAAACGAAGACAGGTAAGTAAAAAAAAAAAAAACAGAAACCTGAAAAGCCCACGACGATCGTAGGAAGTAGGAAGTAACCGAACATTTTTTTTTTGTTTCGTAAGTCGTCATGACATCGCCAGTACCTAAGTAAGGTAGGTAAGTAAGCAAGTAAAAAGGCAGTGTCAAGACCTCATGCAAGCTCCAGTCAAGCGCTGAAGGCTCTGTCCATGCTGAGCAGCCAGGCAAAGACCGACAATCACAAGTCAATGTGATTACCAGTTAGTAGCGTGAGCCAAACCCCAGCCAATGACCGACGAGAGGACGATGAGCCAGATGGCAGAAGAGCTCAGACCGATCCAAGTGAGGATGCGGCGCTGCCGACGACTAAAGGAGCCAGTCTCACCCAAGGTGACCCAGCCGAGCGGGGCATCCATGATGCCCTTGTAGACCAGAGGGAACATGAAGGGCAGGACAGACAGGAAGCAAAGGACGTAGAAGTAGTTACGACGACGGCGACGTGCGTCCCAAGACAGGTAGATGTCACTGGCATAGTCGCGACCCTCGAGTGCGGCAATCTCGGGCTGGTCGGTGGTCATGTTCATGTCGCGGTAGCGGTTACGCTCCTCACGCGCCACCAGACGCGGAGCCTCAGGGAATGCGTAGCGAGCATGAGGGCTTGCGCGGCCGGTGAGAGACGGGCAGACTGTCTCGAGAACGCTTCGAGTCGAGTAGGAAGGGATCAGGCGAGCCGGAACGGTCGGTTTCTTGCGATTGGTGATGGCCGCATCTGCGCTGCCATTCGCAGGACGGAGAAGAGCTTCTGGGGGAGAGTAAGTAAGTCGAACACAATCTAACGAGACGGCAGGACCAGGAGATAGGACAAAGTCGACTTACCCTGCGAGTCGTTAATGTACATGTTGCCGACAGCCATCGCGCTGTTGCCGATCAGCGCGCGCTTATGGACTGGCTGGGGCCTCGAGATGGTAGCGACCGACTTCTGGATGTCGTTTGGGTTGGCGGTAGCAGTATTCATCTTAGACTCGGTAGTCGACTTCAGAGCACTATTCTCGGTAGAGCGCTTTATGGCCTCTCGGCGCGCAGCTTCTTCCAAACTAATGAGCGGGAAGGCAAATTGGGTAGGCGATCGAGCATCAACAGACTTACGATGCTCCGTGGAAGCAAATCCGACTTTGTTACCGGTAGTGGTGGAAAGACCAAGGGAGGGAGTCTCCAGCTTCCACTTATCAACCTTTTCTTTGTAGCCCAGGTTGATCTCCGCCTGACTAACGAGGGGTTTACCACTGGTATGAGCGGCATCACCGTTGCCAGTTTGCGACTTGGCCTTGAGGGGCTCCATTTCACAAGAAAAGAACGAGTTGAGCGAACCAAGGTCGCCTGAGCCTTCGAGATTCTGGTATGGATGGCGAGACTCGTCGCGCTTGCCGAAGCCACAAGAGCGAATGGAGTTGCTGATTTTGTCGACGAAGTTGCTGCGCGTGGTATTCGCGCTGCTCGCAGTGGTTGTGGGATCAGTGAAAAGGCGTGCGGGGTTCAAGTAGCCGTTGACCTTGTGAATTCGCGGCTTGGGCACAAAGATTGGCCGCTCTGTCTCGCTGAGACGAGGGTAACGGGGATGAGTCCGGACACTCGGCGGGGGCTGGGGTAGGATGCGGTCTGTGGACGAGTAGATACCCTCGCGGGCGGTCTGAACGTCGCTGTCGTCGTCAGAGTAGTCAGCAATGCTACTCCCTGTGGGCTTCCCAATCTGGCTTTCGGTCAGGTAGCTCGACGACGCGATTGCGCGGTTGCTGTCGAATTGGCCAATGCTATCAGGAACTGTCTCCCAGTCGGCACCATCGCTGAAGATTGTTTGATGCCGGGCAGTGCGGGACTCGCGGGTGAGCTTAGATTGCGACATCGAGCTCTGAGGGTCAGGCACCAGTACAGGTGTGTTGGGAGGAGGCGGGGGTAGCTTATTGCTATCCTTAAGATCCTCCTCCACGCATGGGGTTGGAGGAGGGCGAATAGTAACTTTCACTTCGACCTCGTTCGGCTCACCAAATTCATCCCAGTTGTAGCGCACTTCAGGGGCCTTGTAGTACTGAAGTTTTGCCGTGAAGGGGTTGATGCTATGGTCCTTTTGGTTGGCTGTCTGGGGTTGCTCGTTGGCCGCACAAGGAGGAGTGAGTGGTGTGAGAGGTGACGACGTCTGGACGTCGGCAAATGGAGAGGAAGACTGCAGGTTGACAAAAGGTGAAGATGACCCGAAGTTGCAGTTGATAGATGCTGTGCTCATGCCACTCAGGCATCGGAGAGCCATGCTTACTTCACGCTCACGGTTACGGGTGAGCTTGATGTTGTCATATTTGAAAGGGTCTTCCTCAGAATCTGTGGATATAGCAGCAGTCGAGAGGTCAGGAGGGATGAGATGGTTTAGGGTGGAAAGATTGCTCGGATCAATGCAGAGATGACCTTGAGTCTCTTGCTTCGAATCCTTGTTGTCGGCAACAGCGGACGACTTGTGTTTGTCATTGGCTAGCGTGTTAGACTCAGAGTGCAGGGAGCCCTCAGGCACCTTGGTGGATGACATTGTCTTATTCACGGCAGCAGATTGCCGTTTGTCATTGTCTTTCATGTTAGGCACAAGCCGTGAAGTAGTGGACTGCTGGATGTGAGGCTTTGGGCTGGAGGTAAAGGAGTCAGAATAGGTCAGGGATGCAACAAGCTTGCTGCTCTTGGATTCTCTAGCAAGTGCTTTGAGTACCCCTTCGGACTTGGAGCTTGGAGTAGCTAACTGGTGTGCTGAGGCCTGACTGATTCGAGTGTTAGCTCCAGTGCTAGGGTTCCTTGCACTCTTGCGCTTAGTCGGGATTTCGGGAAGAGGAATCTTGGGTGGTTCTCCAGGAGGTGACCATATTTTCTGCTGAGTCTTCGAGGAACGCACGGTACTGGGGATATTTCTGCGCTTAGTTTGCGGAGTCTGAGTGACCGGAGCTGCTTTCTCCTTTGCAGCAGGCTCAGACTTCTCTTGAGCAACTGTGGACGACTGGATGACCTCCGGAGCAGTCTTCAACTCCATGAATGACTTCTCTGCACCGCCAATGGATGATGAAGGCTCAACCGAGCTGGAAGGAAGGTACTGGGAATAGATCTTCCCAACAGTGCTGTCACTATCACTGGATGATACTACAGCTGAAGTCTCAGTTTCATGACTTGGCTTGTCTTTGACCAAGTCATTGTTGCCAGTTGACCGAAAGTCATGAACTGTAGCTATAGCCGGAACAGGGGGCAGTTTTTCGATAGCAGTTTGGGTAAGAGAGGGACTATGAAAGGGAGTAGGCACACGCTGCTGCATCGGACGCGGGCCCTTGGGGACGGGAAGTTTGCGAGTGACACCCGTGCTGATGGTCGACTCCGATTGAGTCGAGATGGTGGATGCCGTCTCAAAGGGGTCTATAGCAGTCTCCGGGGAAGTAATGCCGGCAGACCGTGAAGCTGCCTTGGCAGTGATGGCTTGATGGGCCTCTCCAAGATTAGTAAAGAGCGTGCCCTTAGGAGTGATAGTGCGCTGGTGAGTCGGTCGGACGGCAGCCAACGTGACAGAGCTCTTGCCCGTGGTGCTCTCATCGGTCTGATTGTCGTAAGGTGACCGACCGTTACGGTGTTGTACTGAGCAGCCCTTGTCCGCCATCTTGACTGCAATGTACAACCTGGCTGATCATTAGCTAAGCTTCAATTAAATAGCAACTGAGCTTTGGGTGTGAGAAACTTACCATGCGATACCAGAAGCGGTGATTAGTCGAAAAGTGAGTGATGATCCGGATCAAACAACTGACAGCGGAAAGTGTCGCTGAAGAGGCTTGACGATACTAGAGAACAGCACGACCGATGGTCAGAAATCAGAATGAGGGATGCTAGCAACGCCGATTGTGAAGACAGAAACGCAGAAGGATGGAAGGAGTGTGAACGTGGAGTGGGCAAAAGAGTATATAAGATTGTTTGTGGACTGGAGTGAAAGAAGTGTGGAAAGGAAAGTATGAGAGAGGGAAGAAAAGAGTAACAAGGGTAGTCAGGGAGCAACTTCGGGGGGACGCGTTGGCGAGGCATAGGTTAGGAAGAGGACGCGTTGGGCCTCTGTAGCCTGCCTAGCGACTCTAGGAAGACTTACGAATTGAGGGAAATCAGACAAGAAAGGTGAGACGATACTCACACTCAGGAGATATTCGGTCTCACTGCAACCTTGCCAGCAATAATTAGGACTGAGAGTCTCACAGGCAAGTTTGTAAGTTTAGAGCGAGAGGAGAGCCCAGGAAGAAAGAAAGTACGGGAGTAAAGGAATGGTGGCGGTCGGGAAGAGGTGTTATTGGAGTTGAAAGAATGAGAAAGCAATTGGCGAACTCAGAGCTCAAGAAATTAGATCAACCTGAGGCACAACAGGTGGGAAAACGCTTGGGCCAGTTCAGTGAGGGCATGGATGCAATTGAGGAGGAGGAAGTTAGGGGCACGTGATGGTGAGGTGCTGAGGAAGGAGCGGTGATGAGGTGAGCACTAGTGACAGACACTGAGTAAACAAGCTCACAACACCGATTGAGAGATATTGGCCAATGAACTTCCACAATGAGGTCAGATCAATTCAGTCCTCCTAAGCGTCGCTGCTTGAGGGAGGAGTGATCTTGGTTGTGTTTTTCTCTGAAAGCAGGATGTAAGCCTCCTGGCTAGCTAGTGACATCCACACTTATGTTTTCGGTTTGTGCTTAGTATTCATGATGTAGATTATGCTATCCAGCCCTTCATGATGTCTTTGATATTTTAGGCTTACGAACTCAACAGCACTCATATCGTGCTTTTCCGAAGTTTTATATATATATATATATATATATATAAAAGAAGCTGATGGGAACAAGCTCAACGAAAGCCATTCTGTCCTCGGAGACTTTAGGGATAAAAACAAGCAGGAAGTTTATTCATGAGGTGATATCCATCTTTCACCCTGTGACATATTCCAATCATTGAGAATGGGTAAGAAAGCAGTCTCTGCATGTTAAAAAAAAAGGGCCAAGAAGCAGCAGAACAAAGATTTCATCATTCAGTTTTAGGAACAAGATCAACGGGTGACGGTCATGGTATATAACTTCGAATCTTGACTGTCCCTGTTACCAGAAATAGGCTTATTATATGCAAGTTGTGGAGTTTTCGACAACATAATGTTCACCCTCTTGGGTAAGTTACTTTCCAAAGCTTGAAGACAGAAAAGAGAGGTTGTCGATGGAAGCTTATCGATAAGGCCATGCCGAGCCTGATCTTCAAGGAACGGCCTTGCCAAACGGGATTAGTGTGCCTCAAGGGACGCGTACCCCGCGACGCACCGTTGGCTGGCCCCCACTGCGCAACAGCGAACTGGCCCAGCTTCAGGGTCTTGTTCCTGTTCGATCCAAGATTCGAAGCACTTCGGCAAGATCGGTGACCGAGAAAGCACATCAACGGTCAGTCGAGTCCAATGCTTCCAGGTTGAGTGCATCGATTAATGGCCCCTGGCCAGTGTCATGATTAATCTTATCTGTTGTGGGGTTGAGCACCTTGCTGTCTTGACTTTCAAATCACTTCTTAGAGCAGGCTCATCATCGTTCAAGAGCAGAAACATGGTTTTTATTGATCACTCCTGTTCCTGGTCCATGTGATTTGGCTTTCTCCAAATAACAAATTCAATAAAACACACCCATTCAAAACCTCTTTGCGAATATCCTCTCTGGGATGTGGAGTGCTTGATCCTAATCTGCAACTATGACGGCAAGACTTCTTGCACTTCCGGAGGAGATCCTCCTCCAGATTCTGTCGTGTAGGTACAACTCACTCAATCCTACCACCGCTGTGTACTCCAGCTAACCAGCTTTGGCTCCCCAGACCTGAGCCCTTCTGAACTCGCTACCCTCCAGCTTGTCTGCCATGCCCTCCTCAACCTGGCCCGCGATAACAACCTTTGGCGCTACCGCTCTTTCGATGAATCTGCTTTCCTCAATAGATGGGAATACTGGCAGGCGCTTATCCATCCTATTGATGAAAGCGACGACGAGGCCGGAAGTGCCAACAGCGGAACACAAGCACCGGAACCACGCGGTCCAGCGCTATTGACTACCCGCGAGCGCGAGCGTGTCCGCCTCTTGGCAAATTGGGACCCGGTATTCCCTGACGAGCGCGTGTCCTGGTATCACGAGTACATCCAGCGTCATGGACCGGTCGTGGTCAATTGGTTGCAGAATCCGTACCCGCACCATATCGAAGGTGATGGCCATGACAGAAGCCTCCTATGGAGAACAACAACGCCAGACGAGGTTCGGGGCCTGGGGCTTTACTATCCTAATGCAGAACCACTAGATGCTGTGATGGTAGTTTCGCCCCTGGAAGATGGGAGTATCTGTTTCTGGGATGTGAGCCACTATGCCAGTCGGGAAGAAAAGCGAAGGGGAAAGATTGTGACAAGGAGCAGAAAAGGGGTGTTAATGGTGGATCCAAAGGGGCTAAATCCGGGGGTAACGGAGTGTGTGGGTGTGGACAGCTGGAGACATCGTGCATTCTTTGCCGTCCAGAAACGTATGTTAGCGAACCTGAGCGCTTCATCATCCCAAGATTCAAGCTAACTGAACGCAGACCTTGTTGAGGTGGACTTGCAGCAATTGGAGATTGTCGATCACGGGGAGTTTCCATCGTTGATTACAGCCTTGTCTACGGCAGACGCCGCTGTGCCGCTGACCGTTGGCACCACCGATGGGATTTATCTCCACGACTGGAGAGCCCGAACCAAACATGGCTCTGTCAGCGACGAAGTAATCGATCTGTTCGATCGGGACGCGACCAACAACCCCTCCATAACCCACAGGCGGACACTCACCCTCCCCGTCGCGAAACTCCCCCCATGCCTAGATGGCACTCGCCAAGGTCCCCTAAGCATCCTCCACCTCCAACAATCTGACCAAGACACTACTCCCTCCCACGACATCTACGTAGCAGGGCGCTTCACAAGCATCCTCCATTACGACCGGCGGATGTTCCCTGCTTTACGCGGAACCATCCACTCTGGTGCCCGGCTCTGTAGTCTTTCCTCCCTCCCCTACCCCTTCTCTGCCCTCGACAGTGAAGTCCGGCGCAGGGGCGAATATACGCTCGAACAGATCGAAGCCAACCGCGCAGCCATCGCTGCGAGCCATGGCAGGACACTGATCGCCGCGGGAGAATACAACACGAAAGGTTCGCTCGAGCTGTACGGCCTTAGGTCCCATCCCGATGGGGATATCAATACCCTCGGGGCGCTGCACAATTCTGTGCACAAGAATCGCCAGACGTGTTCACAGTCAAAGTTGTTGTCGGTGGTGACCCACGGCACGCGGATTGCATTCTCCGACGGTTCGGGCGACATCAAGTGGTTTGAGCGCGACGGCTTCACTGAGGTGCGCCGCGTACATATCGGGTCAAGTGACCGCGAGGACCCCGCCGCCCCCGACGCTGCCTCCGATTCAGAAACCGAACCCGACCGCCACCCTCCCTCCCGCTCCCACTCCCTCTTTGCCCCGTTCCAGTCCCCCGGCGCAAACGATGAGATCGGGCGCAAGCTGCTCCCCACCCTCCCCCCCCGACATTCCTCTTGCTTCGACTCCAAATACGGCCACAACCCGGTGAACAACGACGACCTCCTCTTTTGGACAGGCGATAAACTTGGGCTAGTGACATTTTCTTCCGTGCCAGGGTTCCATGCGGATGAGTTCGAAGAGATTGTGTTGGATGAGGAGGCGTTGGCGAGGGAGAGGGAGGAGAGGGAATATGTCGGGGCTATGAGGAGAGCGCTGAGGAGGCATGCGGATGATGTTTGGTTTGTGAGGGGGTTGGGGTTGGGGGGATAGGGAGTTTGGGAGAGGTTGAAAATGGGTTAAGCGGGAGGATTTGGGGCGGGTTGCGGGTGTTGTTGGGATGGGTAACTAGGAGGAGGGGGAGAGGGGGTGGAAGGGAAGGGAAGGGAAGGGAAGGGAAGGGAAGGGAAGGGAAGGGAAGGGAAGGGAAGGGAAGGGAAGGGAAGGGAAGGGAAGGGAAGATGATCTAAAGTGCGAGGATGCGATCGTAATGGCAGATGGGGCAACGCAGGCCAATCGTCTAGACGACTGGGGATGATATCCTCAGAGTGTTGTACTGATTATAGGAAGAGGATAGTAGGTTAAGCTAAACCCTTACTGTCTGACACTATGCCAACAGTTTGTCCCCTGACAATGTCCTACTCTTGATATCAAGGCTGGTGGTAGTGTCTGGTGCTGCGTTGTGCGGTGGGCTGCTGCAGCGAGGAAAACTGGTTCCGATGTGGAGAGCAGGTTGATGTTCTGTCCTGATCGGGAAGCTCGTTCTCGTTTATGACTCTAGTTCTATTGAATACTAATCGGAGATAAGCAAAAAGTGTTTTTTTTTTCATCTAGCTATTTTCGTTCTGCTCGTTTTATTTATTTGAAAATAGACTGTGTTGTTGTTTGCCCAACGTTCCCGAGCTGTGTGTTTCAGTTTCCTCACTGTCATCGTGGCTTCAAAACGTGCAAGGTACCTACCTCCACTCTCGCAGCAAAAGCCTGACGTTAACACCACCGTATTTGCTATGGTAGATGGCATACAGGGCGGGAAGAAAATATTATCTCCCTTTGATTTCTGTTGCGGGCCAGCCAGCCAATTCATTCTCCATTGAACAGATATATGGGTCAGCAATCTGGGGTCTCGATGCAGTTGGTCACTATAGCTCAAATAGCTGACACCAACGACTAAAGAGTTCAGACAACCCCTCTTTTGTCGAGTCTGTGGCTTTTCAAACAGCAGAGGGATGTCTCGGCGCAAGAGGATACATGAAGAGGTTCTAAGAATGACAGGAGAATCTGCCTAGGCATAGCGTTGGGTGTTACCCACCGCTGAAGCACATCCCCCTTCCGGCTTGGATAAGACTACGGAGAAGGGCTGGTGATATTACGCACTACATTCCTATCATGTTTCTTACCCATCCTTCACGCTTACCTGTTCTTTCGTCTCACCAGCCAACACGGCTCATGAGCCCTAACTTCGGTGACTCCCATGGCGTATGCTCTGAGAATCAAGCATTCAAGGGCTGCTGTTGTTGATGCTATCTTCTGCTCCTGGAAAACTGTTCATCACCTCAACGACCATAATTTTTAAGGGGGTAGATATGGAGAAAAGGACAAGATGTCACCGGGCCAGCAACAACGTGAGACAGTCCTTTTCTCAAAAACAGCTACTCGCCACTTGTGTCTATGCCGGTTCTCCATGATCTGTAGTCCCTGATGTCGAGGTTGGAGAATGGTTGCTGGGTGCTATTCACAGGGTTCTTTTACCTGCTCCTCGGATATCGCGGTCTCCCCGAATCTCTCTAGAGGCTCGTACATAGCAACTGAGTGTATCATAACATCGTCTCACCCGATACCCCTTTGTATCTAACAAGATATCTTAGTTGCCACTTCACCCTGTAGAAGAGGCAACATGCAGAGTTGGAAATAAGTTTCAATGGTAAACGTACATTGTATTAGTTCTTAAACGACTTCATCTGTCACTAGCACTCCAGTGTTCTTGCAAGTTCTTTCCATAATAACCTTTAATATTCCCAATAACCCGACATTATCTCAAACAATAACCCTACACTCGAAGACCCGATATTACCATCCCATACGCCTTCGCCTTACCCGACAATTATCAACGTCATCATCATCGTGGTAGTCCAACAGCACGAGAACAGTCATAACTCCAAAACCACACCTACATCTAGCACTCCGCCATCGCGACGTCCCCCTCCTCTTTCTCCCCATGCCCATCCCATGATATGTCCTTCGGCGAAGCGCCCTACGCCCCGCCCTCACTTTCCGGACTATAAATTGCGTCCCTACACAACAACGCCACCTTCTTGAAAAACCGCCTCCACTCCAACGGATCCCCCTTAATCTTCACGAACCGCACCTCCAACAACTCAATTACATCCTCCTCGTCCCCATCGCCACCATGTCCCGAGGTACTTGCACTGATTCTAATCTTCTCGACCAACACCTCGCCGTGCATCGTTTGCCGACGTCCATCAACCGTGCGCACTTTAATGAGTGCGACCATGTCACTTGCCACGCCGGCGGCAACTCCGTTGCCGGATTTGGCGGGAGGAAGGGGGACGTTAAGTTGGTGTAACGCGTCGCGGAGCATTTGAACGAGTAAGGACTCCGGGACATGCGAATAGAACCGCGTGAGCGAGTACGCGGGGACAATGTCGCGGAATTTTCGGGCGTGCTGGGTCAGGGACAGGGGCACGCCAGGAGTTTGCGAGAACTGGGACATGGACGGCTCGTCGGAGAGAGCATTGAGCGCAGCATGGTGCCGACCGTTGCGAGGGATCTGGGATGATAGTCCGCTGGACGAGGCGCTGCTTGTGCTGGGCTGGGTGGAGGAGATGGTGTAAGTGCTGCCGACGACGCGGGGGGCGGGGCGTTCCCAATCAAAGAGGGGGTCATTGAGGGGGGTCTCGGGCTGTGTAGCCGGAAGACGAGACCAGTCTGGGAGGTTCTGGTGCGAGTCAAGGTCCATGGGTTCGGGTTGGGAGTGGCGCTGGGAGAGGGTAGGGTCAGCCTTAAGGTCGATGCGCAGGTTGGCGAGCATCTTGGTGGCGAGGGTGATGGGGTCTGAGACACGGCCGTCGGCGGTGAGGAGAGGGTTGCGGCGGGTGTACCAGGGGTGCTGGCGGATTTGAGCAAAGGAGAAACGCTTGCTAGCTTCGATGTTCATCATGCCGCGGAGAAGGGAGAGCGCGTCGGGGGGGATGCGCGACCAGAGGGAGTCGGTACTGCGGCCGTTGGTTCGAACGTATTCTTGGAATTCCCAGCTCGAGGAGGTTGGTTCGTCCCAGGGGGTGTTTCCGACTAAGAGGACGAAGAGGATGACGCCGCACGACCAGATGTCGACTAGATCGGCTGAGTATTTCCCAGCCGATTTTCTGTCCTGCCTTGCTTGTCTCGCACACTGAAGGACTTCGGGAGCAATATATGGCGGGCTGCCACACATGCTAGTGCTTTGCTTCCTCACGCCCTTGTATTCGAACATCGTAGCCATGCCGAAGTCGGCAATCTTGAGGTTCCCGCTCTCTGATAGCAGGATATTCTCGGGCTTGAGGTCGCGGTGGGCCACGCCTTTGGAGTGCATGTAGCTAACGCCGCTGATCAGCTGGATGAAGTAGAGATGGGCAATGTCCTCGGGCACGCCCACGTCAGCCTCAATCTTGTCAAACAGGTCGCCACCCTCGGCGAACTCCATGGCAATCCAGCGCCAGACCGCATCCTCGCCGGTCGCGAACCACTCGATAATGTTTGGATGCTGGCCAACATGCGAGTGGAGAGACACTTCCATGGCCAGCTGCTTGGCCGAGATGCCGCCATGTCGGATGGCATAGCCTTTATGAATCAGCTTGACGGCGAAGACGGGCGACGGGGCGTCCAGAGGGATGGCCTTCTTGATACTGGGGCAACAGTCAGTGTGTTGTTTACTTTGGGGATCTAAATTCGGAGCACCCACGATGCATAGGCCCCCCTTCCAATCGTCTTGGAGATGATCCGGAAGGGAAGATCGTTTGGCAGAGGATCTAGCTGTGACTGCGACATCTCTGGCTGTCTGAAGTCGCTTTCTGGAGGCCGATTCTCAGTTTGGAGCTTTCGCAGAGGAAGATAACAAATTTAAAGAAGAGTCAAGCTGCATCAGGGAAAATGTCAACATTGGGGTATTCCCTCGGCGCTCTTGGCAAACACCTATCAATGCAGGGAACCAGAAAACCGGGCAGAAAACCGTATGATTGGTGCCGAGCTTGCAGAATGTCCGGGATCATTGCAGGAAGACTGCATGTATGCAGATGGTAACTTGTTGACCGCGTATACGTCTTTTGTCACTTGACACAGATCAACAATCTTGGGGTAGATTACAATGATCAACAAGCAAATCAATAAGTGACTGTTTACACACTTATGGATGCCGGGAGGAAGCAACTCACACGTAACCTTGGGATGTGAAATCATACGTGTTGAGGGGCAGCACCGACGCGTCCCTGTGCATCTGCTCGCGTAAAGTGGATGGGGTCAATCTACAGCGTGTTTCAGTGCTGTTGACAGGGAGGGGCACCGATTGTTTTGCTTGGCACTTCAAGGCAGCACCTCGTAATCATTGGTCGAGAGCAGGCTCCTGGTGGAGACACTGTCTGGACCCCACTGTCAGCCAGTGGTTGCTGGAGGGGCCGCGCTGGTCGCCCCGTGGCCGGTGGGGCCCAGAGCAGTCACCATTCTTTCCAGAGAGCAGTGTAAACATTGGCCCCGGCCCGGCTGCTGCTGGCATCTGGCACGAGCTCTTCACTGGCTCTTTTTGGAGCGCTTCCACTTCCTCCATCTGCTTCCTTCCCCAATCTGCCAGACTCAAACACTTTCTATTTGAACCCGTTGCAGGTTCTCACTACACCAAGGCTCTGTGCATTCTGAAGTAAGTCTTGCATGCATCACCACCCCTAAAAGTTGACATCCCATCTTTGTGTGGCTGCAGGGTCTTGGGTCACCTAGTTACCACCTGCGCTGCCCTACATTCAGGAATTCCCTATGTATTGACGGGAGACTCTTCACAGCATCTGTCTTGAGCATTCCGCTACACGTTCCTTTTTTTTTGTCTTTAAACGTGTGTTCCTTTGCCTTTCCTCACTGAGTCCTTTGTTTGCCACGAACCATGTCTTTCGTGGACGACAGCCAAAACTCTGCCCAGAGCAAGCTCGGTGGTGCGCGGAAGGCTGCTGAGCCTGGCCAGAATGCGGTCAAGAGGTACGGTCTTACGGATGATTCTATATGCATTGGACTCAAGCTTACAGAGGACACAGGTTGCAGACGGAGCTTATGCAGCTCATGACCTCGCCGGCGCCAGGCGTCTCGGCTTTTCCATCGGCCGACGGCAACCTGCTTTCGTGGAGAGCAACAATCGAAGGGCCCGATGATACTCCCTATGCCGGTCTCACCTTCAAGCTGAGCTTCGAGTTCCCGCCCAACTATCCGTATGCTCCGCCGACCGTGTTGTTCCGGACCCCTATCTACCACCCCAATGTGGACTTTTCCGGCCGCATCTGCCTTGATATCCTCAAGGACAAGTGGACGGCTGCCTACAATGTCCAGACAGTCCTGCTGAGCCTGCAGTCTCTGCTGGGCGAGCCGAACAAGTAAGGATGCTTCATCGCTTTCCTACTTAAGAACTCTACTAATTCTTACTTCAGTGCATCTCCATTGAACGGCGAGGCTGCTGAGCTGTGGGACAAGAACCCAGCTCTGTTCAAGACAAAGGTCCTGGACCGTCACAAGGACATTGAGGACGATTGAGCAACCTAAGAGTCGTTTCTCTTTTCCCATATATTATTCTCCTTTTCGGGTTCTGGCATGGAATGGGTCTTGGTCATTGGAGCTTCTCGGAGTATAGGTTCCCTGGGTAGGACTTGCATTGCCAGGGTGGATTGGTTCATGGATATCCCGTTGCTCTCTGCTATGTGCAGGCTGAGGTACATCAGGCATTGGTTTTGAATGGACATTGGTTGTCCACGAGCGTATGACTCTCTTCTTGAGATAAATGCCAGCGCATCTCTCTCGGATGTTTTTTTTCTTCCCTTCCCAGTAGTAAACCCCCAAGCCATCGCAGCGCCCTGAACCGTCCCGTCGAAATGAGTTGCTGGTATCACAGGTGCCGTGCTTAGGAACCCATGTATTCGTAGAAGGAAGCTAGATGCCATGCGAAACTCCGGAAAAGCCCAATGCCGCCCTGAAACCGAACCACGGCCCAATTCTCAATCCCCCCCGGGGTTTTGCGAGCGCCCTTTACTCCTCCTCGACCACAGAGGTCAGCAGGCCCTTGGGGTTCTTGACGTTGACAGCCTGGACGTAGCTGTAGAGCTTCTCCTTGGCACCCTCCTCGTCGTTACGCCTCCGGGAGATGCGGACGCGGATCCTGAAAGGAACGCCCTTAATACCCTGCTCCCAGACCTTCTTGTTGAGCTGGGGATCCAGACGGACATCAGAAGTGCCCTGTAAGCCTAGTCAGCCTTCCTGTCCTCTCATACATTATCCTGCCAGAGTCCGAGTCGTAAAGGGCACATGTATCCATTTCAAAGACTCGAAATTTTCGCAGGGCAGCATTTCGGTTCTCTAACGTACCATAGCCTTCTGGGCGAACTTCTTGATCTCCTTAATGGCGCGGGGAGCTCTCTTCTTGAAGGTCACGCCGTGGAGCTATCCAACATTCCGTCAGCGTCCTCTCATTCTAATCACTCCCCCCAATTACTCTGAAAAAAACATACACGCTTGTGCAGGTGGATCGTGTACTCGCGGGCCACGACGTCGGCGATGGCCGAGCGCTGCTTCTTCTGAGTCGACGACATTCTGGGAGGGTTTTTCGTCAGCGAAGTCTGTAGCGGCGAGAAAATGTTTCTATTGTCCCAGTCGTAGAGAAATGATCGGTCAATCCGCGACAGATATTGAGGCGCAATTACGTACTTCGGAGACGTCAGGATCTCGTGCACTCGGAGGTCGTTGAGAGTGGTGTCGAGGAGTCTCGGTGTGCTGGGTTCGACAAACCTACCTCTGGGAATTTTGCACCTAGTTTTTCCGCGAAATCTGCGAAAGTGCGGGCCTGGGCTCAATGTCCTCGCGTAATTGCCCTAAAGTGGAATGAGGGTCTTCTGGGACCCTGGCAGCCCTCGCCGGCTGCTGCCAGCCGTGCATGCCCGGCGCCAAGAAAAGCCCAGATTCCCAGAGTCAGGGTCTCCACCCAATTAAGATGGGACCCGCTTTTCTGCTCATGCAACGCAAGGGTCAAGGGGCAGAACGGGAGCTCTCAGTCTTTGTGAAGCTTGTTTGCCAATCGCAACACTTGAGCTCCTTCCGGTTCAAACTCAAACCGCTCTATTCGACACTCACACCCGACAATTTTCACAATACCAACCGCGTCGCGTTCGTGCGCTGCGCGCACACTACGTTCTTTTTCCGCCTGAGTTGCCCGACCAACTGACCCTCTTTCTACCAACATCCCCTGACTGCGCGCGCGACGACCACGGTAACCCGAAACCTTACCTTCTCGGCGACAACCACCTCGCGTGAGCTGATCCTTTGGCTCTGTGGTGACGGTGGCTGCTCAGCAGTTTTCGCCTCTTCCACTTTGAACACCCAACTCCACCCGACAACTTCAACCTCTTCGATCACGCGTTTCCAAACGGCTTATTTTTTGCAACCATACCACGATGTCAAGCCGCAGTGCTAGTGCAGCCTCCCGCGCGGCTGGGACTCCTCCTCCTCAGCCTGAGGCCCCACGCAACCGTCTGCCGACCCTCTTTGAGGTCCTGAGTCGGCGCACTCTTGCTCCAGTCGATCTCTTCTCATTCTATATCTACATGAGAGATCAGCAGCGCTCGGTAGATTACCTTGATTTCTGGTTGGTCACCGCGCTTTTCATGAAGCACCCTTCACGCACTAACACTCCAGTAGGCTCGATATTGCCCAGCACATGTCTCTCTGCCGGCATTATGTGCGCGAGCTCCGCCGCTCTGTTCTCCTTGAGACTCCTGACCCGGAGCAGGCTTCCAAGCGCTCCTCGGGCATCCTTGAGGCCCTTGGCGAAATGAGCCACCCGGTCGCCGCCCCCGCTCACTACATCACAGAAAAGGAGCGTGAACAGGATGCCCAGATGTCAGCCTTCCTGCGTGAGGAAAATCCAGCCTTTCAACACTCTCCTCCTGGCAGCTCTGGTGGTCATGACCGGCTGAGCCCCACCGGCAGCCACTCTCATCGTCTCAATGGATCTAGCTCCCCTGCGCACACGGTCTCCCGCCAGGATATCAGAGCTTCTGCTGAGAAGATTCTTTACACTTACCTCATGCCTGGTGCCGAGCGTGAGATCATCCTGCCAGGGTCCATCACCCAGGATATCACTGTTGCTGTTGAGGAGCATGGGCGTGACGACCCTGAGGTCTTTGACGTGGCCAAGGACTATGTCTTTCAGGCGATGGAGCGCGACGCTTTCCCCGGTTTTTTGAGGATGAAGGGCTTTGGCAACTTGATCCCCTCGACTATGATTATGCGCTTGATCATCGGTCTGATCTCTATGTTTGGTGCCTTTTGGGCTGCATTTATTTTGATTTTCCTTGATAAGGATCGCGAGACGAGACTCTGGGTATGTGATCACCTTTACTTCCCTCATTCTCAGGGATACTGACGGTTTAAAGCTCATCCTCCCCTTTACAATCGGTGTCTACTGCCTCTCAGCCTACCAGTACTCCCTCGACCCCATCCTCGCCATCATCGGTCTCAGCGAGTACACGCCCTTCCACTTCGTGCGCATCCAGGAGCCCTACGTCCGCAATCTCCTCATCCGCCGAGCCATTGTTGCCTTTGTTGTTGCCCTGCTCGCTGATGCAGCGCTATGCGTGCTGTTTGTCCTTGTCCCTGGCAAGCGGCTGTAAAGGGACGCTGGGGTAGTGCCAGTTGGCTTTCCGGCTCTCTCATTCTTATGATCGGGAGCTGTGAGGCTGGCCTCGCTCCCGATACAGTGGGCCGGGTTTATTGACTACCTCAAGCAGGCAGGCGATCTTCGACTCATCTCATCTGACTCATCTCGGAGAGCAAAACAGACAGGACTAGCTTCACTTCAGCAATGGTCAAAATGCTCACTGATGAGGATCATGGATGGCGGCTTTCTTCTGGGTGGGCATGTTCCTGACCGGAGAAAACGTTACACTCGATTATGATGACCGTTACGACCATCTCTTTTTAGGGCGTCAAGCGGGGCGTTCATTGGGTTTTCTCTTGATTTTTCTTTCCTTTTTTTTTCCTTGTTCAATGATGCGATGGTGTCATTTGTGGGCAAGGCTGGTAGAGAGGCGGGTAGGCGGGCAGGGTCGCAAACAAACAAAGTGTGTATTGGGTGATCAGGATACCGGGTGTCTCGTTGCTCTTTTTGTTCTTGCTTTTCTCGTCGTTCCTTTGCTTCACGGAGCTCATTATCTTATTTTAGTCATCTCATTCACGGGAACCCGGGTAGTTTGCTTTGCTTTGCGAGTTTAGGGAGGGAATTGAATCAATCAGTCCGTTGAGTCTTGACTTGTTGCTTGTCTTAGTGTGAGACACCCGGTTATTGAGATGAGTGCGTCTGCCTTGATTCGATGCTTATGTTGCGTTTGACTTGATGTGTTCTAGTCTTAGCCTTTGCCTTGGAACTCCCCAGGTGTGCAGACTCTTTGTAGCAGTTATCCTGCCTGATATCCTTTCGGGTCAACTGCCAGACAAGGACATATTCTTGTAAGGTTTGAGGAGTCTTGGTCTTACTTCCTAAGATCACCAGGGTTGGTTGCCCTGATGATTAGGTCTGTCCGTGGTCATTGTAATCATTCTTATTTTTCTGCTGCTCCGCAGACTGAGGTCAAGTCTGCTTGACATTGGCGTTGACGGCCTTAACTCCCTACTTGGCGGACTTGTCGACCGGCTGATATAGTAGGCCAACCGAGTAGGCTTAGAACATGTCAGCAAGCATCTCCACTCTCTACTCATAGCTTTAGGTAGTGCTAGGACACTTGACACCTCATAATGACGTGGCTCCATCAAGTGATCATTCCGTTCATTCATTCATGTCTGACCATTGTCATGGCCATCGATCCCGGGTCTATGCTATCCCCATGACAGATCACAGGATCCTCTAATATCCATTATCATCCATCAGGATTTTGATTTCACGAGACCAGGTCCATATGTCCCAACCCCCCTTCATGAAGAAAAAAAAAAAAAAGATCCCATTACGTAGTAAGGTAAACTCTCATTTCCCGAGTTTCCTTTTCCCAAGCCTTATAGCTTCTCCTCCGGTGTCCCCAACTCCGTTCAGTTCCATAGCCGCTGCTATGGCAATCCTATTACCATCATTCTCAGTGGAGGAAGTTTGTTGCTGATGATCACCATCATCGTCGTCATTAACGCCCACACTCGTTCGCTTAACAGCCGTCGTCTGACCTATTTGGAGGGACGCCGCTGTGCCATCGGAACTGCTTGTTGGGAAGACTGACCAGGTTGGTTTGAAGTCAGTGCTGCTGTTGCCAACAGTTGTCAGTACGGGGTCTTTGTGGTCCGGTGCGAGATCGTGACGGTGTTTTAAGGCTGTGGAAGATGGTGGTAGAGGGAGCAGGGGGGTCAGTGGTTATGGTTGCTGAAGGAGAGGAAGGGGGCTCGGCAATGTCTAGGTAATTGAAACAGTGGTATGAGCTGGGCGTCTTGATGGATGTGTTGAGTTCACCTTGTTGTCAGTGTTGGCATCGTCATCGTCCTCAGGCAGCGGGCTGCCATCCTTGGCCTTGACCTTGCCCTTGAGCTTGAAGATGGCCAGGACCTTCGTCCACTTGGAAGAAGGGCCCTTATCGGACAAGGCGCTTGCCTCGTCGCCGTCGGCAGGGGCAGTACCTGGCTTAGTGCGGATGGGAAGTTCCATGGGGTTGGGGCCGGGGAACATAGTAGAGGGGCTTGCCACAGCAGGAGTAGAAGAGGGCCCGGCCGCAGAGGATGCTGCACTCGCAATCGCAGCCGTAGCGGGACCGGGAACGGTGATCGCCTTGGTATACTTCTTCTCGAAAAAAAGAGGGGGCAGCCTCGGGGCATCCTCACCATTCTGCTCAGCCTCTATGAGCTTCTTGGTCTCCTCGGCGCGGGCCGCCTCTCTGGCTGCGCGTTTGTTAGCGTTATCCCGAACGCGCTGCATCTCCCGCTCGAGCTTAGCGAGCGTGTCGTCGCAACGGTCAGACCAGGCCTGCAGGCTGGCAAGCAGGCTGTCAACGGCAGTGGGGGCGACGTCGCGCAGCGGGGCGACGCTGTTGATCTGCACGACTGATTCCTTTGGGTTGAGCTGCGCCTTGATCAGGCCCGCATATACGGCGCTGATGACGAGCTCTTCCAGGGCCTGGCGGGTGGGGAGATCGAGGGCCTCCTGCAGGGCCGCATATGTCAAGGCGGGGGAACCCGCGCCGGCGTCCTTGCGGGCAAGGGTGAGTAGGGAGAGCTGGCGGAGCTTTAGGCGCTGGGCTTCGTTGAGCTCGGGCAGACCGGGAGAAGACTTGTAGTCTGCGTAGGTACCGTAGCTGAAAATTTGTAGGAGGTTCAGGTAGGAAGCGAACTCCTCGGACTTGGAAAGAGCTTGGATCTGGGGTGTTTCTAGGAGCTCGGTGAAGATGAAAGTATTCGGAGCTGAAGTCGCCTGCATGACCAGGTCGGCTGCGACGCGGGGAGACGCGGCCGACTTGCTAAGAGCCACGAAGGGCTACCGAGTGAGAATTAGCATGGGGATTCAATTTCAGTCGACCGAACCAGCTCATCATGAGCTTCATAAGCTTCATGAGATAGATGAGGTGGGGCAATGGGAATGGAAAAGGTAGAATGACATACCTCGAGCGCGTTCAGAGCCTTGACTTGTTCCATGTTGTCAGGTCTTGACGGTTGGATGTCGAAGTGGTGAGAGGAAAGAGAAAGACCTGAGAAAAGAGAGGGAAAAAAAAAAAAACGTTGCCTAACAACCACCACCTTTGTAGAAGTCGGTAATCTTGATGGTTTGTTTGGGAGCGTGCTTCAGGCTGCAGCCTCGTGGTGGGGTTCCCGAAGCTTGGGGTAAGGCTGAGCTTGGCGGGTCTCAAGGCTTACGTAAGCCACCGCCCCGCTGCCGATCACAACCCATTGGCTTGGAAACTTTGCGGTCCAATCCGGATCCCATAGCTGGACTGCTGGCAGGTTGCACCAGAGGCTTCCTACTGACCAATCGTGTCCCAATTCTTCCCTTGCACATGTGTGTCCACGCTCCTCGAGGCTCGTACTTCTTCAGCGCTCATCTGGCCTCCTTTTCTGGCTGAGCGCCTCAGATCTGTTTGAAGATTGGACCCCCAACCCTGGGCACGGATCCACACTTCGGGGACGGTCATCCGCGCCCATGCAGGGCTAGCGCGTGCTTCGCAAGGGACCTAGCAAGCGGCAACGGCCGCTCTTGCCGCTTGCGGAGAGGTGCACAGTGCGAGGCTTTGGTGGCACTTGTGAGGGGATTGGATTGTTGTAGTGAACTTGGCCAGTTTCTCAAGAGACGCTCTCCGAAGTCCCGTCTCTCCATGCAGGTGAGCAATATTGCTGTGGGGAGGTTATGCAACCGTCAGTACTATCGGCTTGCAAATGCCGGAAGAGATCGATGGTGCGCGTGATCGCAGATAACAATGAAACTCAAATTTTCCCGACAGATCAACCTCCGGCAAGGATAGAAGGTCTGTGTCCCAGCCCAATCCTCTGCGGGGGTTGCAGCGAAACACTCACTGCCATAGGCGGCTTTGGGAGAGAGACGGCAAATTCCAGACGCTTCGTTCTGCAATAAAAGATAGCTCTTGTATCGTATTGGTCGAACCCCATAGACTTGGCAGTCTCACTCAGCGCTCATTCATCTTACACACAGCCTCTCTGGCTGAGCGCCGGGATACTCGGAATAGCTCGAACGATCTTGCTGGAGAGATAATGCGCTAGAAAAGTTTGCTAGATAGTCAAAATGTACATGACTGTAGAATTCAGATGTGTAACTGCTCGGTACGGCTCAACTTTCAATATCAATCAAGCGTAAAATTGAGATTGTTTCAGCACTCTACTCTCACAGAAACCCCCAACGATGATGTCAGCTGGCCGAAACATGGTGAAGCGAGGTGGCCATGAACCTACAGTCTGTCGCACTGTAGCCATCTGCCATTTAGCAGGGTTCCGCAGCCACGCTTTTCACGGAAGCGCGCCCGAAGCGGCTGATGACAAAACTCGGTTCCGTCGGTCCCGGCCAAGTCCTCCCACGATGCGCCTGTAATAATTCCCATAGTAGCATTCTCCTTCGCCGAGCGTTATCGCGCCGCTTCTCTCCTATTCTTTTGCTAAACTGAACCTCTGGCTCATTAGAGAGCAGACCGCCATCGCTGGCTGTTGGCTTCCTCTGCCCTCTTCTCTTTTCTTTTTTCTTTTCGGATCTAGCACTTTGCGTATGCGGCAACGACCCTAATACTACTACGGATTCCTCGTCCTTTCTTCCCCTGCTTCCCCCCCCCCCCCCAAGTTTTTACCTAATGTTGTAGCGACGGTCCCACGCCGGTCGAGCGATCTCGAGTGCCACGCCGCCCAGTTCAGCCGCCTTGACGTTGGTCCGACAGCAGCGAGTGTCCGTATTTATCTAGAAAAAAAGTGATATTAGTATTTGAGTTCGATTAGAGATGGCGCCGTCATACATTCAGGTCCCCTCGAGGGACACATCACTCGCCGCCCCAACCGCGCACATGGCGACGACGACCTTAAAGGTCGAGGGAATGACGTGAGTATGCGCCGCATATCCCCGTTCCCCCCCCCCCCCCCGATTCCTAACCCCCTTTCAGGTGCGGCGCATGCACATCAGCAGTCGAGGCGGGCTTCAAGGGCGTCGATGGCGTCGGCAGTGTCTCAGTCAGCTTGGTGATGGAACGCGCCGTGGTGATGCACGACCCCAACAAGATTTCTGCCGACAGGATACGCGAGATCATCGAAGACCGCGGTTTCGACGCCGAGGTCTTGTCGACCGACCTCCCCTCTCCCGCGATGCCGCGCCAGTCGTTCGGCGCCTTCCCGACAACTGATAACGAGCCCAATACGCTTGTAACGACAGTCTCGATCAAGGGTATGACTTGCGGTGCGTGTACTTCAGCCGTGGAGGGAGGGTTTAAGGATGTTTCGGGGGTCAAGCATTTTAGCATATCCTTGCTGTCGGAGAGGGCGGTTATTGAACACGATCCGAAGCTCCTGACCCCTCAGGCGATATGTGAAATCATCGAGGAGCGGGGATTCGATGCCGAGATCGTCGAAAGCACAGCAAAGTCCTCCGAAGCCGGGGCTAATGCTGCAGATGGAGCGCAGATTGGGACCATGGCAGCCACCACGACCGTGGCCATCGAGGGAATGACATGCGGGGCATGCACCTCGGCGGTCGAGGAGGGCTTCAAGAAGGTGGACGGCATGCTGCGCTTCAACATCAGCCTCCTCGCGGAACGGGCCGTCATTACTCATGATCCGGCGAAGCTCTCAGCAGAAAAGATTGTCGAGATCATTGAGGATAGAGGTTTCGATGCCAAGATCCTGTCTACGACCTTCGAGTCTGCCGGCATTACGAGCGGGTCTTCGACAGCCCAGTTCAAGATTTATGGAAATCTTGATGCGGCTACGGCAACGGCATTGGAGGAGAAGATTATGGAGCTTCCTGGTGTGACCAGTGCAAGGCTGGCTCTCAGCTCATCTCGGCTGACGGTCGTCCACAAGCCCCATGTGACGGGTCTGAGAGCCATTGTCGAGGCCGTGGAGAGCGCTGGGTACAATGCCCTGGTTGCAGACAACGAGGACAACACAGCCCAGATCGAGTCTCTGGCCAAGACTCGGGAGAGCAACGAATGGCGACAAGCGTTCAAGATCTCTCTTGCTTTCGCGGTCCCCGTCTTTCTCATCAGTATGGTCTTCCCCATGTGCCTGCGCGCGCTAGATTTTGGATCTGTCAGACTCATGCCCGGGTTGTACCTCGGCGACGTTATTTGCTTGTTTCTTACGATACCCGTACAGTTCGGCATTGGAAAGAGATTTTACAAGTCTGCGTGGAAATCCGTTAAGCACGGGTCTCCGACCATGGATGTCCTTGTCGTTCTGGGCACGTCCTGCGCTTTCTTCTTCAGCGTCTTCGCCATGGCTGTGTCTCTACTTTTCCCCCCTCATACGAGGCCGAGCACGCTCTTCGACACGAGCACGATGCTTATTACGTTCATCTCACTGGGCCGTTTCCTCGAGAACCGCGCAAAGGGCCAGACATCCAAGGCGCTCTCCCGTCTGATGTCGCTGGCTCCGTCCATGGCGACCATTTATGCGGATCCCATTGCTGCTGAGAAGGCTGCTGAAGCATGGAACAGCGATGCCAAGGATGAGGCGAAGCAGCCTTTGGACGGCAATGCCATGGAAGAGAAGGTCATCCCGACCGAGCTCATTCAGGTCGGCGACATCGTGATTCTTCGACCGGGAGACAAGATCCCGGCAGACGGTGTTGTGGTCAGGGGAGAGACCTACGTGGACGAGAGCATGGTTACCGGAGAGGCGATGCCGGTTCAAAAGAGCAAGGGCAGTCTCGTCATCGGCGGCACGGTCAACGGCCATGGAAGAGTCGATTTCCGTGTCACTCGTGCCGGCCGTGATACCCAGCTCAGCCAGATCGTCAAGCTCGTGCAGGATGCGCAGACGAATCGTGCTCCTATCCAGCGTTTGGCTGATACTCTGGCTGGCTATTTCGTGCCTACCATTTTGACGCTTGGCTTGCTTACGTTCCTCGTCTGGATGGTCCTCAGCCATGTGCTTCCCAACCCCCCTGAGATCTTCCTCAAGGAGACCAGCGGCGGCAAGCTTATGGTGTGCATCAAGCTCTGCATTTCTGTCATCGTCTTTGCCTGCCCCTGTGCTCTCGGCCTGGCTACTCCTACCGCTGTCATGGTCGGAACGGGTGTTGGCGCTGAGAACGGCATTCTGGTCAAGGGCGGCGCAGTCTTGGAGACGACCACCAAGATCACCCATGTTGTCTTCGACAAGACTGGAACCATTACGTATGGCAAGATGAGCGTGGCCAAGGCCAACATCCCATCTCCCTGGAAGGACACCGACTGGCGCCGTCGCCTCTGGTGGACCATCGTTGGCCTCGCCGAAATGGGCAGCGAGCACCCCATCGGCAAAGCCGTCCTCAACGCCGCCAAGTCCGAACTAGGCCTAGGCCCCGAAGGCACCATCGACGGCAGCATCGGCGACTTTTCCGCCGTCGTCGGCAAGGGTGTCAGCGCCCATGTGGAACCCGCCACCTCGGCCGAACGCACCCGCTACAAAGTCCTCATCGGCAACATCCCCTTCCTCCAAAAAAACGGTGTCAGCGTGCCAGAGCCTGCAATCGAAATTTCTGAAAAGGCCGACGCAACACAATCGGATCCCAAGCTCAATGCTGGCATCACAAACATATTCGTTGCCATCAACGGCATCTATGCCGGCCACCTCTGTCTGTCTGACACCATCAAATCCGGCGCAGCCGCCGCTATTGCAGTCCTCCACCGCATGGGCGTCAAAACGGCCATGGTCACCGGCGACCAGCGCGGAACGGCAGTGGCTGTCGCTTCCGCAGTGGGGATTGACCCAGCCGACGTCCACGCTGGTGTGTCACCCGACCAGAAACAGGCCATCATCCGCCGCCTGCAGCAAGAACATGGTGCAATCGTTGCCATGGTCGGCGATGGCATTAACGACTCCCCCGCGCTGGCCACCGCCGACGTGGGCATCGCAATGTCAAGTGGCACGGACGTGGCGATGGAGGCCGCGGACGTGGTGCTTATGCGTCCCGACCATCTCATGGATGTTGCTGCAGCCCTCCACCTAGCACGGACGATCTTCCGCAGGATCAAGATGAACCTTGCCTGGGCGTGCATGTACAACGCTGTTGGGTTACCGTTCGCAATGGGGGTTTTCTTGCCCCTAGGATGGCACATGCATCCCATGATGGCAGGCGCGGCGATGGCGGCAAGTAGTGTGAGTGTTGTGGTGAGCAGCTTATTTTTGAAGTTTTGGAGACGGCCGAGGTGGATGGTGGAGGCAGAGGAGAGGGGGTCGTGGTGAAGGGGGAGGGTTGGTTCGCTGGGTGGAGGGAGATGTTTGAGAGGGTGATGGGACGGAGGAAGAGGGAGGAGGGGTATGTCCCGTTGGCCACGTTGGATGGACCGGAACAAGAGGTCTAGGGGGAGGTTGTTCTGGGTTGAAGTTGTATATATCTCGTTTGCCCCGGGTTGGGGAGGAGCCGGGCGTTTTTGGTATTCGTGCCCTAAACTACTGCACCGTTCGTTTATAGGTGGTATACTTTACTTCAATGTTAAATTGGTTATCGTCAAACAAGGCTTCGGTCAGCGTTTGTATTGTCGTATATTATGGCTTTTGATGATAATCATGATATGCAATGCCCTATGCTCAAACCCGGGTGGACACGAGAAGAGGTTGGTTCTCGGGTCTGTTCAGGTCTGTTCAGGGTTAGGGTTGTACACTTGATCCCAAGCCCGTTCATCCCACATCAGTGATAAAAGTTGTCCGCTCTCATCTTTATGGAAGTTTCTCTTCATCACTTGACCACCCATCAATAGTAACCACATCTTCATATAGTGTTACATATCTGAAACTCATGTGAATTTTCTTTTTTTTTTTTTGATTTCATGTCTCTTTGGATAAAATCACAACCCCATCAATGAGCTGATGCTGATCTTGCTCATCCACCAGCGCTGTTTCACACAGCCTTGACTCCTCGAGACATCATCCCATCTCACCCATCAATATCACCACCATGATCCAAGGCATCTTCTACGCCCAATTCTTCCCCAATGCGGGTACGGACTTCCCTAATCTTTTGCACGATCTCTCTTGTCTAACATTTCCCCTTAGGTACAAAAATCGTAGCCCAATCCCCCCCAGGCTGCATCGTTCCCTCCGAAGGAAGCACCAAGCCCACGCTCTTCAACTTCGACGTCCTTGCCGAGTATATCATCCCGCGCAATCCCTTCTGCAACCGATATATCACAGTCGACGACCCCGAGGGCAAGTACACTGTTCTCAGCTACCCGGTGTCAATCTCAAACTCGAAGTACTGTCGGAACACGTTTTATTTTAATTTTGGGATTGTAGTGGAGAGCGATGTCGACCAGGCGCCGTATGAGAATGTGGTAAGGAGGATTGCGGCTACGTTTGCGGAGATGGAGAAGCAGAGTGGGTATTTGAGTCAGGATTTGGAGAGGGATGAGAAGGGGAATGAAAAGGGGGAGGGGGATGAGAAGGGGAATGAAAAGGAGGAGAGGGATGAGAAGGGGGATAAAAGAGGGAGGGGATGAGAAGGGGAATGAAAAGGGAAAGGGGGAGAGTGTGGGAGGGGGGCTTTAAGTCGACCAGGAGGAGCATTCAGAGTTTGTTGGAGATTGTGAAGGAGGATTTGAATAATTATGGAGAGTGCATGATTCCAGTTGGTAAGTCACTTCCAACACTCATCGCTAATCCCATCTCAACAGTCATCGCTAACTCTATCCAGACGACGCCAACACCATAAACATGAAGCTCTTCCCTCACCACCCAACCCCCCGGAAGTCCGCGGATGGCACGTACCCGTCGCGAAAATGAAATTCGCCGACATCGTCGACCCGACTTGGGACCTGACCCTACAACGAGTAATACAACACATCGATGGCGTCAACGACGTCCGACGCATCGCCCACCTGGCCGACGTCTCCCTCGAGCTCTGCCAGCTGGCCCTGCGCCACCTGCTCTACTACGACACGATCCTGCTGCTCGACATGTTCTTCTTCAGTAACTGCTATGCGCCCCGACCAGGGATACATGATTTCATCGCCAACGTGGGCGGGATGGTAGACGAGTGTGCTAACTATGTCTGCATTGGTCCCCCGGAGGAGGACGACATCGTCGTCGATGACAACCACCACTCCCACTCCCACCGCGACCACGACAGCATCAAACCCGGAGGAGAGAGGAGCACCAAAGCTAAACCAAAACCCACCGGCACCCCCCGCCGCCACCGCCTTCCCAACCACACCCTCATCAAGCTCATGACGACCTTCTGCGTCGGCAAAACCGTGCTAGAATGGCTCAAAGACCACATGGACGCCGGCCTGGACGTCCTGCGCTTCATCGACGTGCGGCGCTTTGTCCAATTCGGCGTGATCAAGGGTTGTCTGTACCGCGTGCACAAGTACGTCGTGTCGAAGCAGTACCTGGCGGCGCTAGCCACGGGGCAGGCGAGACCGGTTGAGGGCGGGGACCCCCTGCAGAAATATACGGATGGACTGCATTGCTTTGATCAAATTATTACCGAGCAGAATAAGACGGATGCGGAGATCATGGAGGGACTTAAGAATTTGAAGGGGTTGAATGGAGAGAAGGTGCCGCCTGGGGATTTGACTGTGTTGTATAGGTGATGTGGATGGACTCTATTCTATAATGACAATTGTACATTGGTTCGTACAGTACATGGAAACTATATATGTAGTTGTACATTTCCTTCTTCTGGGGTCATGAGACAGACCTGGCACCGAACTGTGTATGAACCAGCCTTCCGCCAGCCAACAGAATGTGATTCTGGGTATCGTTTCTCTTTTAGTCCCTTCCAAATATCCCGCCGCATCATGCAACCATCATCCTCCAATCATGGCTTTACTCCTTCTTCCCCTCATCCTCACCCTTCTTCCCCGCATCAACCTCATCCAACAACGCATTCAGTTGACCCTCCAAATACCTAACATAGCCAGGCTTCTCATCCGGGAACTCGATCTCATCCCCACCCTTCTTCCCCTTCTCCTCCGCCTCCCTTTTACTCTCCTCCATAATAAACTTCCTCACCTCCTCTGGCGTCTTCAGCCCGCTCTTCAACTGCTTAATTTGCTCCCTTAACATGCGCACCGCGCCGGTATACGGCTGACCTGGATACGTCTCTCCCGACTTGGCATACTCTTCGTCACTAACCATCTTGATAATCCGCACATTATGCTTGCCCCTGCGCAGGATAAGAATCTTCCCATCAATCAGGTAGCGCTGCGTCTCCTGCGGGAACCACAACTTAACCGGGTTGAACGTAAGCTGGGACTCATCCATGGGCTCGGCCTGGCCGACCTTGCGACCTGGGGCACCGCCGATGTACACGGCTTGCTGCACAGCCAGACGATGGCCCTCGCTCGCGCTTTTGGCGAGACCGGCCGCGTACAGGATCTTGCCGATGGACTTGCCCATGATGAGGGACTCGGGGAGGATCATGTCGATGCGTGGTGCATTGTTGGGCGTGATGATGCCCGCGCGCTCCTGGCCCTCGGCTTGCGCGGACTTGGGCAGCTGAATCTTGAGCGCGTCGGGGCCCTTGCTGTACATCAACTTGTGGCGGGTTTGCGCTTCGTCGGCGGCGTCTTTGCCGTGGCAGAGTCGGACGACTTCGTAGGCTAGATGGTGGTGGGCAATGCGCTTTTCGGGGGCGGTTACCTGGTCCATCATGATCTTTTGGATCTCGTCCATGGGGAGGAAAGTGAAAAGCTTGAGCAGGCGCTCGACTTCGTCATCCGGACGGCGAACAAAGTATCCATAGAGATCGTAGGGAGGGGTCATGAACGGGTCGAGCCAGATAGCGTTGCCGGCACTCTTGCCGAACTTGTTGCCAGCCGAGTCCGTCAGGAGGGGGACAGTGAAGCCGACAGGGTCGTCCAAGAAGTCGTTCGCGGGAAGGCGCTTCGCCGGATCCGGCTCGCTATCCCGTGCGGCCTTGACAATCTCGATACCGGTGATGATGTTGCCATACTGGTCGGAACCGCCGATCTGCATCTGGACTTTGCGCTGCTGGAAGAGCATCCACCAATCCCAGCCCTGCATGATGGGGTAGGAGAACTCGGCGAAGGACACGCCGTCTCCTTCAGTCATTTTCCTCTTGACTCTGTACGATTGTTAGAGACCCGGCTCGATTGGTATCGTACTGTAGGCTCAGGAGACTCACGTTTCGCGAGACAGCATGGGCCCTAGCCGCATGTGGGTACCAACTCTCTTGAGGACCTCTAGCATAGGCTGCTTGTTCCACCACGTATTGTTGTTGATCAGACCGCGCCTCCAGGCCCACTCCTTCTTGTAGCCAAAGCGCCTCGCTTCGTCCTCGACGTTCGCCCACAGTTTCTTGAGCTGAAAGTGCATCTTGGTCATGTTCATGGCAAGGTCGGCCTTCGAGATGGGCTCTCGGGACTTGAGCCGGTCTGTCGGGTCGCCGATTTTGACTGTTGAGCCGCCGATGAGGGAGAAGGCACCGTAGCCGTGCATGTACATCCAGAAGAGGGGCATAAGAGGGAGCAGGTGGCCGACATGGAGGGAGGAGGCCGTCGGGTCAATGCCAACGTAGGCAGCTATCCGTTTTCTCCTCATGAGCTCGCGGATCGTGTCTCGTGTCCTGCCAAGTGTTAGGCAATGCTCGCAAGAAGTCAAAAATCGCAGAGCAAGCGCCTACCCAGCAGTGTCCTTCACATAGCCTCTCTCCTCAAGCATATCCCAGGTGTTCTGGATCTTGCCGTCCAGAATTTCCTGTGCCCGCTTCTGCCATGCCTCCTCTGCCTCCTGGGTTTTCCTGATCCAGCCCTGGGAGATGGGTCTCCGTTGATGGCGCTGCGGGAGCGCAGGACTCCTGGCCGACCCCAAGAGGCATGAGCGGCAGAGGGCGCCCCTGCAGGAGAGGAACCCCTGTGCCGGAGCCATTGCCTTGCCGTGTGCCCTCCAACCAGCTTCTAAGGTCGATCAACTGGAGGACAGCAGCCGCAAAGATGCCGAATTGAGAGGTTGCGGCGTGAGTTGTCGTGGGGCAATTCGCGGCTTTGGGTCTGGTCATGCACCTGACCTTGAGATGAGAGCGGGATACTCGAAAATTTCGGACCCCAGACCACCGAAGCATTGCCAAGACACGCCGGGGTCAGGACGTTTTGGTTCGTCTTGGCGCTGACACGGATCCCCGCGTCGAGGGAGGGGCACAGCGGAGAACAAGAAAATCCACTCCGATCCGGTACTTTGCAGCAGGTACCTCGTCGTGCTCTGTGGTGGGGTAGACTGGCTGACATCAACGATGCTGCCATTGGCTCGCAGGGGACCCGATTGCCGAGGAACCAGCAAGAGTCCCGCCGTTCGGGAAGCTGGGCATTTTCACGGGACCTGGACCCGTTGTTTCCGCGAGTGTCTCCGTGCCCATTGTCGTCGTTGTCGTCTTTGTTGAGGCTGCTGTCGCCGTCGTCGCCGTTTCGAGTCTCAAAACCCGCGCCAACCACCCACGCAGCGCAGCCGGACCAACCAATTCGCCAATTCGCCAATCCCCCTCAAGCAGACAGCCATGGCTTCGATTGCTCGCTCCTCCCTGCTGCGGCAGGTTGCTTCGGCCTCCCGGGTGTCGATGGCGACAAGGCCCGCCCTCCAGCAGAGCGTCCTCGCTCGCGCTGCCACCTTCCACACCACATCCAAGAGGGAGCTGCTGCCCCCTCTGCCGCGTACGTGCTTGCGTCAATTTCTCTTCCCCCCCCCCTCCCCTTGGATAGGATAGAGAGCGTTTTACTGATAGGACATTGAAACAGAGCGCATTAAGGGCACAGGTACGCGCGCATTTTCCCCGCCATGAGCACTGCCCCTCCAGCCAACCCAACCAACCCCACGTCTACTTTAACAATAACCCCTAACTCTCGAACCTCTTAGTGAACGACGCTGTCCCCGTCCCCGAACCCTCGCCCGCGCAGGGCTCCTACCACTGGACCTTCGACCGGCTGGTGGCCGCTGGTCTGGTTCCCCTTACCGTGGCCCCCTTCGCCGCCGGCTCGCTCAACCCGACGCTCGACGCCATCCTGTGCGCCGGCATCCTGATCCACTCACACTCCGGCTTCCAGCAGATCATCATTGACTACGTCCCCAAGTATCGTACGCCGACCGCTCGCAAGCTGTTCATGTGGGGCCTGAACGCTGCCACCGTCGTCGTTGGCCTGGCGCTGTACGAGTTCGAGACCACTGATGTCGGTCTTACTGAGGCCATTAAGCGTATTTGGACTGCTTAAGGGGTGAAGAGGAGCGAAGGTGATGTTGGAAGTTAGTGTGGTGGGTATGTGAGAAGCGGGAGACTGGTGGTGTTTTGCACACACGTTCTGCGACAACCAGTGTATCTTTCCTTGGGTCTATCTTTAAAAAAAAAGCAGTTTCCCGTTTCCCACCCATTTGGTGGTTGGCATCGGTTTGTGTTGAGGTGTATGGGAGGTTTTTTGGCTCCAGGCTGGTAGACAGTCAAAAAGGTATGAAAATCAAAATAATGGAGTTTGAGCTGAACAATGGACTCCAACGAGGGTTAAAAGAGAAAAGGTAAATTGACAAAACTGAACGAGAGACATCCTCGAAGTGCCAAAGTTAAAATCAGGCTACCAAAAAAGAAAAACGAAAAATGCTGAGCTCCCCCTCTCTCAGTCGTGTCCTGACTGGTCAAATATATAATAAGCTGATGCCAACATATAGCTTGAATAAAAGTAACCAAACAAAAAAGCCATAAAAAGGCCCAAACGCCTTCAATGCAACGCAGACTCCCGATGAATGCAAAACACACCCTGAGGAGCTGGCAGGATGTTCATAGCCAACCCCTGAGCCAACGGCCCCAGGACGGACCATATGGCCTGCTCCCATGGGAGCCAGCTGACCAAAAACCTCATGATCTATCCTAAAGGGTATCTAACCATGCAGTCAATGCCACGCCGTCATGATCGGGTATCCTGATCTATATCTTGACGCCTCTCCATCTCCAAACCCAACCCAAACCTCCTTATGAATTCATAATACCCAATCTCTCTCTTATCTATTCCCCCCCCCCCCCTTTCACATGCCAACACTTTAACAAAAAGAAAACCAACCATTCCTTTCTTCCCCCCCCCCCCTTCCTCCCTCTCCCCCTTTTAATCTTGCTCATCACCTAGCAAAACTCCTCGACCTTTCACCAACCCCCACACCAAAGTCACCAGCCCTCTGAGTCTGAGTCTGACCCAGCATTGCCCCAATCCGTTCCGCATACCACCCCCCAATCCTCCACCTCCTCCCCACCATCTCCAAAGCTTGCTTCAACCCCCCAACTTTGGCAAACCAGTCTGCCTCATTTGCCTCTCTCAATACGGCATTCCCGTGCTGAATGAGCAACACAGCTGCGTAGTACATGGCAAACGCCCAGGAGGGTGACAAGGTCAGGAGGCGGGATGGGGATTTGGTGATTTCGAGAGCGGCTTCGTTGCAGATGTAGCTTATTACTGTTTTGGTGGTGGTGAGGGCAGCGTGGAGTTTGGCGGTGTCGGGGTCGGAGGGGAAAAGGGGGGAGGTAGGTATATCTAGGTTGTGGCCGTGAAGGAGGGCGGGTTGCCATTGGGGTTGCCACATTTTCAGTAAGGCGCTGTAGAGGGGTAAATGGGGTGGGGTGGGGGGTTAAGGGTTAGCAGTGCTCCCTGAAAGTTCACCTCATTAGGGTTGGGATGGGAAAGGTGGCTCACATGAGATTGGTGCAGACAGCAGCATGGTTACTCGGGTTACGGTCTGAGAGCATCTGGTTTGTACGGGACGCCATCTCGGTTGCGTCAGAGTCCATGCCGGAGTACTCGCCTGGTTGTTGGAGCACATTCCAGAGGAAGCAGGCTGACCTCGCGAGGGGCATTTTGAGGTCGTCGAGCTGACTGTAATCAGAGCTCCCTATTCCTAGCGGAGAGCCAAAGCTTCCAGGCACGCGGGAGTTGATGTTTTCCGGGAGAGGGATCACGACGTCGGGGGGTTGGGCTGCGGTTGACATCGGGTACGACGGGTTATCGTAGCCGATGTGTAAGAGGCTGTGAAGTCACTTAACATTAGCATCCTACCCTCCAGAAGAGCATAGCATACCAGGAGAAGTTCATACCAATCCAAATACTGAATAGCCCACCACAAAACCGAAAACAATTTCTTCAGCCTCGGATTCCCCCCCAACCCCTCCCAAAACGCCTTCGTATACCACCGACACGCCTTAGCCATGTGAACACATCGATTCAACGTCAAATACGCCTCCCTCGGCATCGCATGACTCAACTCATACAAGGCAACCAACAATTCAGCCTGCAGCATCTCCACCGTCAACGTCCTGTTGGTCTCAACCAACACCAAAATCGCCTTGGCACAATGATACGGGTTGTTCCCCGTGCCTGTACCCTCCTTATTGCCCCTCGACACTCGCGTCGTGACGTTTGGCGGAGTAGCAATGAGGGACATGCACAGGACAAGGGCACACATCTCGGGGGTGGGGTTTTCCCACAGCGATTCAAGCTGAGATTCGAACTTCGGCTGGTCGACGATGGTGAACCAGGTGTTGGCGCCCGAGAAATAGGCGTCGATAGCGTGCTTGACCATCTGCCTTTTGGGAAACATGTCCAGCACGGCGCGGAAGGCGACGCCGCGGATGCCGTTGGCGGAAGAGATGGCGTTATAGATGCCGTCGCTTCCAATCAACGAGAGGTCGATATAGTAGCATTCGTCGGCTTTGTTGCGCCTGGGAGGACAGAGTCAGAATTAGAGAGGGCTGGCCCTTAACTGATAATAAAGAATTTACGTATGTCAAAAGCTTACTGGACGCAATGGCTACAGTAGGGTACGGCTTTGTCGCATCCTCGTTTGCCGGTATGGCACGGGAAGCAGACGTTACTGGGCATTTCCGCGTTGGCCTTGGAAGCGGCCGACTGCCGTTGAGATCTTGGGGATGGACTGGACGCCATGGATCGGACGCCTCGGGGCACGACGCTATCGGAAAAGTCGCCAGTGTCGTGTGTTGCGATAGAATAAGAATAATATAGGGAGGATCGTAAACCATTGAATAGCTATCGGAGTGCTACTGATGAATGCTGGTGTGTGTTTTGGGAAGCTTAACCAACGTCAACTGTCTGACTCGGTAAGATATAAAATAAATCGCAAAATGAAGTATATTGTATGTATACGACACGAATGCTACGAGGCATATTCAAGCAGCAATGGTGTGTCCTGATGAGATATAAATACACGATTGTCAAAGGCAAAAAACATTGAGAGGGCCGGATTCTGATTGATGAACGATGGGTGTGTGCAGACACTGTGTTGTTGCGGCAAATGGGCTTCCTCCATCTGCAAGCCCTCTGATCTCTTGGCTTCGCCCAGGCTGCGCCTCGCCGCACCTCTTGCTACCTTATGCAAAGATCCAGGACACTCCCGACCTTGGGCATATGTAATCTATCTTGAGGCTCTGTTGAGGACACTTGATGAAACGCTGGAACCTAACTCATGGGAGAATGATCATTATTGTACTAGTTACTGATCATCTTGGTTATCCATCTCTTGATTATACCAAGAAATAAAGTCTCTAACCTCACATTGAGATATCCAAGATTTATACCCAAACGACGAGCTGTCTAAAGTCAATCCCTTTTGATCTGGGGATAAAAGAAAAGTGCAATACATTCGAGTATAACCATCTGTACTCATGGAATATACTGTCCCAGACACTTCCCATAGCCCAAAGTGGGCCGCAGACAATGACAAGGCGTGAGCCACACACACCTTCGCTCAAAACCATACCTACACTTCCATCCCCACAAACCCACAGGCATCCTTACTGTCTCCCCCTCTCCCTCCTCCCCCCTCTCTCCAACGGTTATCGTGGCTGATGGTGGGGTGATCTCCTATCCCGGCGCTAAAACCCTTGTCAGTTGAGACCGGCTGCAGTTGGCACAGTGTTAATAAATCAACTCATCGTTGGTGAGTGAACGTTCATGTAGAATCATCACGGGGACTAAAAGATTGTCAAAAATTGAAGAAAACCAAAAAAAGAGCAAAAAAAAAATACATTCATGTCAAAACCTATATAGTATACTACAAGTGATTGAACTAGACTCTCGAAAAGCAAACTCCCAGTTCAATACGCTCCGAACCCCCGCCCTCTCGGTCCGCTCTCCTCAACACGGGCGGCCGCCCAATCGACCCACATCTTCCCGTCGGGGCTCAAGCCAAGCCCCGCGCACCGCACACCCGAGCCTACCGCACGGGAACCCCGGTGTTGGGACCAGCCGTCCATTGAACATACCAAGATTAATCTCACCTGGCACCAACACCATCGATTAAGTGGTAAGCCTGTTCCTCTGATCACATAAACAGACAACATGTTAACTTGTCCTCAACATCACATTCACTGCTCAGGCATTCTCCTCACCAAGGCGGATTCCCTTCGGACTCACGGACTTCTCTCCTCCTCCCGCAAACATCTCATGTCTCCTCCCCACCATCCTCCCCATCAAGTCAACCTCCAGCTCGTCCCCCTTCCAGATCAGCAACCTTCCTCCCCACCCAACAACTAGCATACATATTCACCCGATCAATCCACTTCCCGGGCTGTCTATCCCCCCTCTTCTCACACACAAACCCCCTCTCTTCAAACAGTCTCACATACCATGGTACTCTCGCCGCACTCCTGAACAACACCCTCCCGTTCATCGCCAGCGCCCTATTCAACGCCTCAACCTGCTTCACCGCTGTCTCATCCCCGGGAGCAAACCAATCCATCGAATCCATGATCACCGCCACCGTCAACGACCCAGGGGAAAGTGACTCTTCCAGGACGTCAACCAGACTATCCGTGTGAATACGTATCTTGTCTAACGCACCCCTCTGACTCAACTTCTCGTGTGCTTGCGGCGCCAAATACTCCGGATGACATTGTGGGGTGTAGGTACCAGCCAACGAAATAAAATAGTACGGATTCTCGCTCGCCACATGACAGTGCGTAAACACGGGCTCCAGCGTATCCATCATGTACTGATACAAGGCATTCCCCCTCTGCCTTTTACTACTAAACATCGGTTCCTCAAACGAAGAGGCATAATCTTCCTCAATCATGGCCAACTGCGTCTTGGGCACGCCCAGTGCTTTCCAAAGAAACCCCTCCGACTGAACTAGCATGTGGCTGATCAATGTACTCGACAGCGCAGGCCGCATTTTGAATATCCATATACTGCGCTGCTTTTCGAGCGTCGGCGCTTCCAAAAGCTGCTTCACCGCCTTACGGCGGCCAACAAGACGGGAGGCCCAGCGGATGGCAGGCAGGGCGTGTCTGCTGCCTCCAGTGTCGTACAAGCCACGGCCGGCGGCGGGGTTGAAGACGTTGGCGTGGTGCAGCCAGTATTGGAAGGCACGGCTGGAGAGGTGGGCTGATAGCCTGGAGGTGAGTAAGGACCGGAAGTCGGGATGTTTGCCTTCGCCAAAAAGCTGCCAGAAGTCTGAGTAGGGAAGGGCCATATAGCCGGCGAGCTTGAGCTCGAGAAGATGGTTCTGGGCGGGGTTTAGATCGACGGCGTGGATCTTGGCCGGGCTGTGTAAGGCGTAGGAGAGGACGTTGTCGCCTGCGCTGGTAATCGCTAGTACGGTGTCGTCGGGGCCGATGTTTAGGAGGGCTTGGTCAACCTCGGAGTCCTCCCACGTAAAAGAGTAGATGTACTCGTCGCTGAACTGTGTGTACCTCTCCAGCCGATCGTCGTAGTAGACTCGCCACGGCTGGTTTTGGTAGAAGGCCGCAGGAAGAGGTAGGTTCGCAGAGAGGTTGTGTAAGGCAAGTTCAAGCACCTTTGGCGGAATATCTGGCTGGCCTCTCCTGCCCTCGAGGTTGAGTTTGTTTGAGTCATTCTGTTTGCCTTTCCTAATCCAGAGAGGGGACTGAGCTGCCGCCGCTCCATGATGAAACCACGCGACGGTAGGGTCCTTGCGGCAGCCAATCCAGATGTAGTAAGGGATCGACCCTAATGACTTGTTGCGCAGGTTGAGGGTGAGAATTGTCCCCAGGCGATATTCTAGGTAGTCACGACGAGCTGGTTCAAGTCCGACCCAGTCGAGCTCGAACCATGCTCTCCAGAGGGTTCGGCTCAGATAGTTAACATGGCGGCCGAAGAGCCCTCCAGTGTACGTCCGGTCACTCGCGTCGGCTTCAGACTGGACGTAGAAATCGATCACACCGATGATGCCGTGGGGTGAGAGGAGATTCGAGAACCGGTCGATGACGGCGTGAAAATCTGGCTTTTTGGGTGTCAGCGTGTGGTGAAATCAGGGTATGGGGCGAAGTAGCTGCTGCCTACAATCATCGACAAGCTGTATGATAGAGTGATCAAGTCTGCTCCCCCTTCTTCATGACCCCGCTGTGCCTGGCCTGAGTTTACCGGGCTAGACGCATACCCAGAGTCCGGGAGCTCATAATCTTCCAGACGAAACGCTCTGGCATCCTGGCAGATAACATGAACGTTTGTCCAGCCGAGCTCGCAAAACCGTTCCCTAGCAATCTCGCATAGTGAAGGAACTAACTCAACCATGTAAACAGCGTCGAAGAACTTGGGTACATCGAGAAACTTGGACATAGCTTCGATATTATAGCCTGTGCCACCGCCGACCTGGATTGGATTACTTATGTTAGCTCCTGAGCCGTCTATTTGGAAGTGGGACGACCAACATCAACCCATATCCGTCTTTTCCTCGTCTCAAGATCGTCCCGCTCAGCCCTAAGGAGCAGCTGCGCCGAAACAATCGCCAACAAATCCTCTCTCCCCTTAAGCAGCTTCTCTCTCTTCATGTCGTGTTGCCGAGGGGCCGGACTGTGAGCAGATGGGTCTGATTGCGACATTGTATCAACGTATACCACACAAACTTGATTAGCGTAGAACGACGCGGGAGCACTCTGCCCAGTTGATCCCAAAAAACAGCGGAAGTATTTGGACGGTGACCGGGGCTTCAGGAACCTAGAAGCAGGAGCAGAAGAAGCGCAGGCAGGAGGGCTTCGAGAAAGGCTGGGGTTACCCAGACTTCCCTCTCGAGGTGCCGGGTGTGACACGAATGAGGAAAGTCCAAAGGAGAGTGCGAAGGTTGCCTTAAGGAGGAGGATATAAGATACGGTACCTATCTCCCGGCGATTGCTGTGTCCTAACCCTGCCGCTAAGGACAATGTAGGAAAGGAGAGGCAGGCCACACATTTTCCAGTATAGATAGGATTATATGAGAATGAAGCATTCATCCACGGCAGAGGTATACTATATTCACTACAGCAACAATTCATAACCTTCAACTTCTCCGTCAAAAACGCCTTAACACCCAGTCAAATATCAACGTCGCCGCCGCTTCATGAATAAAAAAGGAAAACAAACAGCGTACTATAGATGATAATTTTAACTCCCTTTTGTCCTGCGCATGAAGCCCTCCTTCTCCTTCATTGGTACAGAGAGCACCTTAGGGGAAAAGAAAAAGAAACAAAACAACAAGTACACGCATCCGATTTCCCCTACCCGACCGATTCCCCCGCTTGACCAACTTGACCAAGTCCAAGTCCCTGTAATGTCTATTATAGCTGTCACGAGCACATAAAAGCCGAAAAAAAAAGAAAAGAAAAGAAAAGAAAAGAAAAGAAAAGACAAGAAAAGAACCGTGAAGCCAACCCCTTTCAACAACCAATCCCCAGGATCGCGCAGAGGGACCCTAGGTAGTAAGGAAGCTAAAAGTTACTCCTCCTCAACCTCCTCATCCCAAGCCTCCTTCTCCCGCTTAATCAACTCGGCCATAATCTCCCTCCCGAAAATACTCGTATCCCCATCCTCCACCCTCGGACACTTCGTAATGCCCTCATCATCAAACACAGCCCCAATCTGCTCAATCCACCGCCTCCTTCTATCCATCAATGTCCTCGCCAAATCCCCAATCCCCGGCCTAGCCATCCCCGCCGCGGCAGCCGCTGCTGCGGCAGCAGATCCAGAACTGTGCTGCCCCGGCCGGTTCTTCTTCGGCTTCTTACCCATGGTGCGCGTCCGCTTGAGGTAAGCTGCGTTGACCTGCGCGTCGAGGTCCTCCAGGATGGTTTGGTACTCTTGGTAGGCCATGCGTTCTTTGACGAGCTCGGTTAACCTTGCTTTGCGGGCGCCATTAAGCAGGATTTGTTCGCGCAAGCGGGCTTGAAGGACCCGAAGGCGGGCGGCGACCTCATCATCGTAGTGTCCGTCGTATTCGGCAGTTGTGGCGGTTGTGCCTGGCGGGGGCGGGGCGGCGGGGGTAACCGATGCGGAGGAGTTGGAGGGATCGGTGGCAGAAGAGGGGGGAAGGGGCAAGAAACCGATGTGGCGAAGTTCTTGTTTGATGCGCTCGTCGACTTGGTTATAGTCTAGCTTGGGGTGAGTGGCTTTTTTCCAGGCTTCGGTGTTGGATTCGGGCATGAAGGTTGCGGGCGGGAGGGATTGGTGTTGTTGTTGTTGTTGTTGTTGTTGGGAGTCGCCGTTTGTGGTGGCGGCCACGCCGTTGACGCCGTTGGGTTGGGATTGGGATGGGTTAGGGGCGGCGGTGCTGTCGTTGAAATCGAAGGATTGTTGTGGGCCGTCGCCGTCGCCGCTAGTGCCGTTGGGGCCGGACTTGTCATCGGCAGTAGGGGCGCGGTTCTCAGGCCGCATGGCTTGCAGCAGGCGCGTGAGGAGCGGACCGACGGAGAGCTTATCTGTTTCGGCGACCTCGTCGTCCATATTGTCTATGCTGCCGCGGGCTTGGTTAGGGGGTAACCTATCACGACCTCCCGGCGGGGACGAGTCGATGGCCATGGCGCCGTCTTCCTCAGCCCAGATCTCCGTGTAGTGCTTTTTCCCGCGCTTCGGCATGATGAAGGGGGTCACTCGGTCGCCACGTTCCCTCAGGAAGGCGAGATCTTCCTCGGTGAAGGGTCGGAAGTACGGCTCGATGTAGGAGCTGAAGGTGCTGAAGTTGATCTGGTTCGTAGGCTTCGAGTTACTAAAATCCCTATCCGGAGGCTCACCGCAGGTGAGATGGGCCAGATCGCTCTTCGGGTAGCTCGCTACTGAGTATATCTCCTTGATTTCCTCTTCGCTCATGCCTGGTAAGACTGGACGAATTTCGTAGACGGTCGGGTCGGGGAAGGTCGAGGGGTCGTCGCCAAAGACGTTGGCCGGCGGCCGGGGCGGCGGCGGCGGGGCACCATCGTCAGAATCCGAGTCGCTGTCGGCCTCGGCCTTGGTCTTATCCTTATCCTTCTCCTTATCCTTGTCGTCGACGTCCATGTTGCTTGGTGTGCCTGCAGCAGCGGGGGAGAGCGAGGAGCTTGCGGTGTCGTCGCGGTCCAATTTTCGGGCTTTGCTGGTTGATTCGCGGTTTGGCGAGGAGCGTTCTGAAATAAATGGTCAGCAAAAATTTTCTTTGTTTTGTTGTTTCCATTATGCAGCAGGATGGGACAAAAAGCGAAGAAGTGAGGCAGCATGCAGCAAGGCACCAACCTGTATTTACAGCCCCCGGCGCCAAACTATCCGCCTTCCTCTTTTTCTTGTTCGCCTTCTTCTCATCATCAGCCTCGGCCTGCCGTCTTTCTTCTTCCCTACCCCTCTCAACCGCCAGCTCATCCAGCCGCTGGCGGCGGGTCTGCGCCAGCAGTCTCATTCCGCGATCACAGTTGGCGCCCCGCTTCTCGATAATATCGGCCAGCCGCTGCAGGCGAGAGATGATACCATCTAGACTTTTCGAGTCCGGAATCAGGGCGCTGGCGGCGGCGGGATCGACCAGGTCCTCAAAGGTAACATTGCGGAAGGTGTCGAAGCGTAGGTCGAGCGTTTCCGTCTCGACGGTCTCGATGGGGGGTAAACTGGCGACAGAGACCGAGACAGAGGTAGAAGAAGTGGGCGGGATGCCAGCAGGGCCAGGGGTAGTGTTGCGGCTCCGCTGCTGCTGTGAATGCTGCTGGTGCGAGCGGATTGCGCTGGCGGCCGAGCCCGCCTTCTTCCCTGTCCCTTTCTGACTGGATGACGGAGCCATCTCCACGATGGGATGGCCTGTTGAGTGGTGCCCTGTGCCTCGGCTGCCGAAACCTCCGAGTGCGCGTCAGCGGCTCAACTCAGTGATTCGATGGGCGGGCTTCGGCTGGGGGAAAGGGGGGGGGGTTGTCTTCTTTGCGATGACACTGTCGCTCATGCACACGCGATCACGGAATGGCAGTTCGGCGCGGCGTGTCGCTCGTGTTTCCCGGACTCTGCGGCTCAGTTTCGAGGATGGATTTCGTTGTTGCTGGAGCGCTGGACGATGCACGTCACGTTCGGTCGATGGCGCATCCTTGCTCGCGCAGCGCCGCAACCGCAGCATGACGCTCGCATCAAAAGATCGCTGGCCAATTGACGTGAGGGGTTGGACAGGGGTTGCTGAGTCAGCACGTGGGGCCTGCGGGCCATTGAGCAGGGGTCTTGGCATTGTTACAGGTCTTGGCAGTCGGCGGAAGCCGACTTTCAGTGCAATCCTCTTTGTGTTGTCAACGCAACCACGCAACTGACAATTGAACAATGGGACAAGAATCTTCCTGTATACCTGCGTAATCTATTTCTCTACATATGTTAGAGAGCCCTAGCTCTAATTTTACGTAAGAATGGCCCTTAAGATTGGCCGAAGCCCAAAGCAACAGTTTTTTTTCTTTTTTCTTTTTTTTTTTGTCTTCACATCCTGCCTACCTGATTGATTGTGATGGCGATCGATTTTCACGGCTCGGCTTTCCTACGAGATAAGATTGAAGTTGGTAGGTGAGCCTAACCCTTCAATGGGAACACACAGCCCCAAATCCCACGCCTCTAGTCGACGGACTGGGTAGTGCCAGTTCTGGATCTTCTCTTCTAAAACAAGTCCTCACGACCAGCGCCGTGTTTCATCTTTTATCACTGTCACTGTTGGAACAGCGTTCATCGTTTGGTTATAGTTGGTGCCTTAAAAGGGATGATCCAAAGAGTCGTCACACAATATCCCAAAAAGCCTATCAATCAGCTCACCGCCCTGATGGGCATTGAGGTGGCCAGCTGCAAAAAACCCTTCCGCTGGGGATTTTATTTCGTCGTACGGTCGCGGTCAGTGCTCTTTTATATGAAGGACTTGTTGTGCCTTCTAAGACTATCCTCCTTCAATTGATCCAGTCTACGTGTAGCTATCTCCACTGTCTATTTATGCTACATCCGGAGGTAAGGATCGTAGTTTTTTTTTTTTTTTTTTCCCTCTTGATCCTTACAGGACACCAAAGTTCTCAAGTGCCGCAAATGCTATCAAATTTTTCCTAATTGGAAGAAAGGAGTGTATCCAATGCAACCAGATGGGTATCCTTATGAGCGATATAAATCGGAGAAGACCGAAACTAATTGTGAAGACCAATAACAGGAAATGACCTAAAACCTGGGAAGCCTCTATGGTATATGTGCTGTGCTAGAAACGAGTCAGCATCAATCCAAAGGTCAACACTTGCTCCGAAGTACACATACTTATTTTTTGGCGTGATCATCGTCCCGGCATCGTGCCCGAGCCAAAGCGGCAGGAGGAATGACAGTCTCGTGTTCTTTCGACTGCCAAGCACCGCTCAAATCCTCGCTCTCACCCCGGTTCTGCTTCACCATCACTCGAAGTTCCATTTGCGACGATCGCCTACCTTCCTTTCGAGCTTGTGATTTCACCCCCGACCTTCTTCTCAAGTAGTCCCACCATGACATTTCCCCTGGAAGCTCACCCCTCAGTTTCCTTAAAGCCCTCTCCCTTCTCACCATCCCGTTCGTGATCTTGGGACAGTACCCTGGGGGCAGCATGCTCGTTTTGCAGACCGGACAGAGAGAGGTGGTGTGCAGCAGGAGAGTGTCGATGCAGGACGGGTGAAAGATATGGCCGCAGGGGAGCTCACGGATGGTGGTGACCAGGGGCTGGAAGGGTACGAGACAAGTGGGGCAGGCCGGTTGGTGGGAGAGATCTGATGACCTTTCGCAAGCTGTTGAGGACTCTGAGGTCCGAGTAGCCATCGAGGTCGTCGTTTCGTCTGTAGTTGGCGCTGTCGATGTCGTTCGATCTGGAGTTTCATTCGCGCACGTGGTCGTCGGATCGCAGTACGTCCACAAAGGAAACCCCTCCACCACCTCCCTCGGCAGCCTCCCTCTCCTCACAATCCCCATCCCCTCCAAATCAACTTCCCCGTCTCTCACTTTTTTCCTGAGTTTCGCCCTTCTCTGCCACTGCACAACCTCCATCACCCCCGACGTCACCGCAAATACCCCCACGACCAGCCCCACCACGACAAAAGCCCACACCCAGCTCCCTAACGGCGCCGGCGGCGTCTTCACCACCAGCTCGGTCCAAACGCGCAGATAATCATGCTCGTGAGTGTTGAATTTTTTTCGGATGTCTTGACCAAACGGAACTTCAGTCATGTTGCCCGAGTACAGGCTCATGTGCTGCATCATGAGCTCCCCAATACTTCCAGAAACAGCAAAGACTGGGTGCTTAATCCGGACCATCCAGTTATTATCATCATCACCATCGTCGTCGCCGCCGCCGTCGTCACTATCGTCGTCGGTGATTAACAAATCCTTCTTCCCCAACATCTCGTCGTCGTTGTCGCCAGGCATGTAAAAGATAAACCCCTTCACCGCGCTCTCCCCACGGACGGCCTTCAAATAAGCTCCCGCGCAGCGGTCGCTCACCCATGGGGCGATGGCGATGAGGTGATAGTTTGTTGGTGGTAGGTTGTACTGGCGGACGGCTGTGGGGGGGATGTGTGGGGCGGTGAGGGCGATGCAAATGTCGTGATCCTTGTTAGGGGGCAGGTCGGGGACGTAGAGCAGACCTTGGATGATACCTTCTTCGCTTGGGGAGGAGTAGGAGTAGTGGGAGGAGAGGATGGTTGTGGTCAGGTTGGGGGTGAAGCGGGTCGTGTAGGCCATGTGGCTCTGCGAGAGTTAGATGAGAAGTTTGGGAGGGGGAGGGGCCGGAAGAACAGACTGTTACGGCGGTAATGTTGCGGATGATGGTGCTGGAAATGACGCTAGGCCCGGTCCAGGACGGGCTGCTGAAGAGAAGGCTGGTTTGAGGTCAGACATTTTAAGATTCAATTGTACTCAATTTGGCCTGGGGAGAAATGGAGTGAGGCTAAGAGCGATCAAATGAATGCATATGCTGTGCTCGCCAAGAAGACAGGTCGGTAACACCGTAGATCAGATCTTAAGATTCCAAGCTTCTTGACGGGAAGAACAAGAGGAAAACAAGCGGGACAAAGAGCTTCAGGGTCGAGATCTCTTGCCCAACCCAAGTCCATCAACGACGAAAAAAAAATAACGCCAAACTCAACAAATATGCCCACATACATGACATTTCGAATTTCTTCAAGAGCTGCGGAACGCAGATAGCATGTCAGTCCTCAAGTTTTCGATCTCATTGGAGTCTTTACCCCAGTCTTGGCACACTTCTTGGCTCAAAGCCAAGGCTGCGGGAGCCGAGAGCTGGGCGGTATTGCCAAGAAAGCACCCGACGATGTCAGCGGTGTCATGGGCTTGAGATGAAACTTACACATGGACATTTTGACCATGATGGTTTGAGTTGCCGATCAGTGAGAACGGCTAGTTGGACGCGTAGTGCATGGCGAGCTTGAGAAGAGCAAGTAAGTGCAGGGAGATGGGATTCAATTGAAAGAAATGAGGATCTGAAATGGTGGTATGGTTGGTGGGGGGGACCTGGGAAATACCGTAGGAAAACTTGGATCTCTCCTCTCTCTCCCCAAGAGCCGAGAGGGCCCAGCCACAGCAGAGGAAGGGCGGGTCCACGGATTTTGAATACTGTGGATGCTATGGCAACAGCGCAGCGGGCTACCATTCACCCACTCGGACGACCGTCGTCACTAGGCTAGCCTTGTTACCACTCAAAAAAGGATACACCCCGGTGACAGGAACAGGCCGCGTCGACCTTCCCGCTTTTGAGCCCATCATCTCTCTGGTTGCATGCATCGGTGTTTGTTGCATGTTCCCTTTGTTATGGCTACATATGGCTACATTGGTGTCGCTATTTTCAGTGTCTCTGATCCAGATGAGCACACACAGCACACAGCACACAGCACACAGCACACAGTACACAAGCTGATCGTCTGTCTTGGGGGAACATGCTATGGAGGGAGGGGTTGTGGGCAAGGGGAGATAGGGGGAGTGAAGGATGATGCTTTTGTAGCTACTCCGCTGTGGGGATTTATTTTTCGAACTACAGGCTTGGGGTTTCCGGCTCTTGGATCCCTATCATCATTGGGTCTCCCAAAGTCCTTTTCGCGGCATCTTAACTTTGCTTTAGCCCCCGTTAATGGCATCTCTCGCTGCCAGCTCGAAATTTCCTGTAACACAGCTGATGAATCTGTCCAGGGCCCAGGTTTCGTCGTGGGCGTACAAGCACATGGTGCGAGGCTGATCAAGTTGCGGATCGCCGCCTGCAGATAAGAACGGAATTCGGCTGTCTCGGAGCTCAGGGAGGTCACTTGTCCACGTTCTGGAGATGCCTACGTCTCCTGTGACCCTCGCTACCTGACCTCTTTGAGAACCAATATCAACCTCTGGGAACCCGGAGCCGTCAGGAGGGCTCTGTACGAGGCTGTGTTTACACTGAAGAGTTGGAAGGTGACTTCTCCGATCTCCTGATCAGTGAATCTCGGATTTTGTTACAAGAAAATGGAAATACAAAATGCTTGAGCAACAGGAAACCAGAACACATCAGCCGTACGTATATATATATATATACATTATTTTTTTTCTCTCCACACAATGGGCACCTTGTGTTCCTGGAAAAGGAAATTCTTTGCCATCAATAGGTGTCACAGGACCTGTTCGACTCATGCTTACTACGACCTGATCCTTACTGCCTTGGTCAGGTCTTGGAGTAGACTCAACACCACGTGCCCCCCTTTAGTCTAAACTTTGAAGGTTTCGGGTGTTCTACAGCTCTTCACTCCTCACGTCCTACAACATACCCATCTCCAATATTATGACGATACAATCCGATATTCTCACTATTCCACACGCCTAGCGTAGTCTCCTGGCCCTAAGGCCAGATCTCTTGGCATGCATGAGATCCTGCCCCGGTGCCCCGATTGGACGGTCCAACAGGATCAACCCCCACAACCCACAAAGCTGCATGCTAGCCCAACATCCTGAACCGCTGATATTGGACTGGGCCGGTGGTGGGGGGAGAGGGGGCGGGGGGATCGTGTTCGGACGGGTAAATGGCGGTTTTCCTAACCGTTTAGTTCATTGACCTGAACATCTACGAATCTGTAGGTTCAGATGAACTTTGCTTAAACAACTCCCTTCCCTAACATACCGACCCAAGAAGCATTATAACACGTAACATTGAAAACCAATCCATCACGGCAACCCGACAACCAAAATGGCCCCCCTCGCAACAGACCCCCAACACCTCCTCCCTCTCCTCCCGCCCATTCGCCGCAAAGCCCTCTACACCCTCCTCGCCGAGATTACGTCCTATATGCGCTCCCAACTGACCCTCCCCAGACCATCATCCTCCCCCTCCCCCAATAACCTCTTCGCCCCGCTCATCCCCGTAGACCCCTTCTCTGGCATAAGCGTCACCCGCGCCGATCACGACGACATCCCTTCAAGGGAGATCGATCCCGCGTTGAGGACATTACGTGCTGCCGCGCTGAGGGAATTTGACATCTGGAGGGGGGAGGTACTGCGCAAGATGAGGGAGATCCTTTCTGGGCCGGAGACGTCGAAGATACTGGCACAGAGGAGGGAGAGGGCCGAAAGAGTGGCTGCGACGCAACCTCCGACGTGTGTCAACGCGGAGGAGGAAGTGTCGGCCTTACATGCGAGGTACCATGCTATTCCGACGAGGTTGGTCAGCATGCCCTATCAGGATCGGATGGAGGTGCTGAGCTGTGTATTGTTAGTTTTGTTGTCGAAGGGGTGTTATGAGGCTTGGTCGAGGACTATGGCTGTGTACCTTGCTTCGGCGCTCGAAGTTCCCTTGAGTGTGTTGGAAAATGAAGAGGTGGAGATTGCTGATATGCTGGTTGAAAAAGCCTCCTCTGCCCAATCACCTTCTGCCAAAACAGCAGCAGCAGCAGCAGCAGCAGCAGCAGCAGCAGCAGCAGCAGCAGGAGGAGGAGGAGGAGGAGGAGGGAGGAGGAGGAGGAGG